CTCAGATTCTCCAGCATCTGCAGTTCCTACTATCTCCAGTATTCAAGGTGTGATCTCTTCAATGCTGTATATAATTCTAGTTAAGACTACTTTACTTTCAACCTTTATCACAAAGGGTTTGGAGTTTTACATACAATTTACACTTTTTAATTGCATTGGCATATCACCAGGACAGTGCTGTGTCCCTTTTTGTTTGTGAAATATATAAACAATGTAGATGAAAATAGTGGTGATGGGGAAAATTGTATGCTAAATAACTTCGTACGTGACTTTAGATCCCCGGAAGCAGCAGAACAGATATTAACAGGGTAGTTAAGAAGGCTTACGGGACACTTGCCTTTATCAGTTGTGGCATAAGAGCAGGAAGGAGCTGTACAGGACTTTGATCTAGCCACAGCTGAAGTACTGTGTGCAGTTCTGGCCACTGCTTTATAGGAATAACAGGACAAGTCATACAAACACTGTAGCTACAAGAGCAGTTTAGAACCTAGGAATTCTGTGGTGCATAACTCACCTTCTGATTTGACAAATCCTGTCCACTAGTTACAAGGCAGGAGTCAGGGTTGTGATGGAATGCTGTTGACTTTCCAGGTTGGGTGCAGCTCCACTAACACTCAAGTGGCTTGACACTATCCAGGAAAAAAAAAGCAGCCTGCTTGATTGATGCTCCATCTAGCACCTTGAATGTTCACTTTCCACCACAGTAGTAGCAGTGCGTGCAACCTACAAAATGCTCTTCCACAACTCACCAAGGCCCCTTCAATGGCACCTTCCAGACCCGCAACCTCTGTACCTAGAAGACCTGGGGGCAGCAAATGCATGGCAACACTACTCCTTGCATGTTTCCCACAAAGCCACACATCCTGAAACTCCCTCCCTCACTGCAGGTTCAATGTACCTACATCACACGGACTGCAGCTTTTCAAGAAAACGACTCACCAACACCTTCAAGAGCAATTGGGTCAACATTTATTGCCCATCCCTGACAAGTGTAGAATAATCAAAAAGTGAACATTTGAATGTACAGTAATAGACTTGGATTTATTGCATTCCAATTTTTGAAAGTGGCAGGACAAGTACTGAAACCCCAAAGAAGACATACGGGATTCGAAACTACTCTGTCTCCATGGATGTTTTCCAGACCTTCTCCAGCATCTTCAGTTTTTGTATCAGATTTCCAGCATCCACAGGATCATGCTTCTATTTAAGTTGCAAAGGTTTTCGTTTAAACAAACAGTAGATGGGATCCCTGATATGATTAATTATAAATAGAGGACTGAACAAGGAAGCATAACCTTATCAAAATGCTAGTTTGCCCTTTATTGTATTACTGTGTTCACTTCTGCGCACCATGCTTCAGCAATAGTGTTGAGGCCTTTAAGGAAGGTATATGAGCTTTACTAAAATGGTGCCAGAGATGTGGAACTTCAGTTATTTGGAATGATTGGAAAAACTGGTATTGTTCCAGTTATAACAGGCAAAATTAGGATGAGATCAAACAAAGAACTGTGGATGCTGGAGATCTGAAACTTGCTGGAGAAACTTGGGAGGTCTGGTAGAATCGATTGCAAGAAAATATAGTTAATTTTTCAAGTCCAGTGACTCTTCACCAGAACTTAAGGTGAAATTTTTAAGGAGTGTTTAAAACTATGAATGGTGTTACACAGCAAATAAAGAGAAACTGTTTCCAGGGATGAAATGTGAATGACCAGAGAATACTGATTTAAGATGATTGATGAAAGAACTGAAGGCGGTGCAAGTTATGTTGATATGAAAAGCACAGTTTAAAAGAGGGGAAGCTGATTCGATGGGAACTTTAAATGGGAATTGGATAATTAGCTGAGAAGAAATAATTACACGGTTATGGGGAAGAGCAGGAGAGTTGGAGTATTTGGATAGCTTTACTGAAGATCTGGCAGAGGCAAGTGGTCTCCTGTGGTGGATCATTCTGATTCTGATGTAAACTGTTCCTTATCCAAAATACTGGGCTGGTATGTAATGATTGTAGATAACAGGATGTTAATGTCGAAACCGATATTTAAGGATCAAATCTTTTAGCATCCTCTTGATTATAATATTGTTGCTCAGTATTAATTATACAAATATGAGATGCCTTTTTTTTCCTTAGGCACGGTACATAAGAATAGATGGTAGTATTCCATCTTCGGAAAGGATTCATCTTGTCCATCAGTATCAGAATGATCCAGAGACGCAAGTTGCAATCCTTAGCATCAAGGCTGCTGGACAGGTATTGTGATTACAATAAAAAAAAGTGGAGATCAATTATTGATGTTTGATTAGGAGATACTAAATAAGAAGTGTAATCAATAAGTAATGTTGGATATTATTTTGCAATGTGATTTTAATGTAATTCTTGACAGAATTTAATTTTCTTCCATCAGCCCTGTTGCTCTCCCATTTCAGGAAATGTTGGAATAGATGAAACAATTTTTTTCAGGTTTTTTAGTATTTCTTTCGCACATATTCGTGCTTTTCATTTTTCTGCTGTTTTTTATTTTGGTTTTCGTTTGTTGCAATGATGTTTTCCCTTTTTTTTTTGTCCAAGGGCTCATTGTATGTTTTAAATGTCGGGGGCGATGTTGTGTGACAGGAATGGCTGGTGGAAAACCTTTCTTTTCCATATATTTAGTCTGAGGCCCGTTCTCTGATACACATTTGGTGAATGTGTCACCAGTGGGTTGTAGCTCAGCCTCTGGGTGTCGGCAGTACAGGCGTTGTCTGTAAACTGGAGTTGGGTGGTCTTGGTTCTGGATTGGAGGCATCGAAGATTGAATAGTTTCTCACTTGTGCTGTGGTTTAGCTCCACTCCAGCAGAGAGCTTTGTGGAGATGGAGTTGAGTATTGCAACGAGGAAGATGGGGAAGAATGCTGAATGTAAAGGGTCTGTGGTAAATCTTTTGAGGATCATAGCTTGCATTGTCATCGTGAAGCAGGTGAAGAATGGTGATAAATTTCAGTGGGCAGCCAAATTGAGGATTTCCATAATCCCTCAAGGTTGACAGAGTTAAAAGGCCTTCATGAGATTGAGGAAGGCCATGTACAGAGGTTGGTGCTATTCCCTAATCTCTTCTTGGATTTGTTGTGCTCTAATAATGTCCATTGTGCTTCTTGATGGACATAAACCACGCTGACACTTGGGGAGGAACTCTTCAGCCATTGGGAGAAGGTGACTGAGGAGGATTCTCACTATGACCTTTCCCGTCATGGATAATAGGGAAATCACTCTGTAATTTCCACTGTTGGATCTGTCTCCTTCCTTGAAGATGGTCACTGAGATATCCTGGCTTGCTGTCTTCCTTCCAGACAAGGACAACGAGATCATGGCTCATTGTTAGAGAGCCAATCTTTTTAGAACTTAAGCAGGGATACCGTCTGTGCTGGAGGCCTCACTGTTTATCAGCTGTCATTGGCTTTTTGAACCTCATGCTAGGTTCGAGGTGCGATGAGATGGCAACAAGTAATGTGTTGCAGGATAATATTGAGAGCACTTGTGTTTAAACATGCATCTTTGTTGAGGAGGTCATCGAAATGCAGCAGGCATCGACTGCCTTTTGGTCTTTGAAGAGCAACTCTCTGTTTTTGGCTGTCAGCGGAATAAGTCCTTGGATACTCGGAGTGTGGATGGTTCTGATTGGACTGAAGAAGCCATTCATATGTCATGGGTTGTCAGCATTTTGCTAAGTCTCCTGTGCTCTTTCCACTCACCATCTATTCTTCAGGTCATGCACTTTTTTATTTCACCTCAACCTTCAGCTGCCTGTCATCTTGTTTTGGTGTATTGAGTTTTGGTAGAGCTGCCAGTTCGGGGAAGCCTGATCCTGGATCTTCTAATTATTCTGATCAAAGTAGTCTTGCTGTTTCCTGGTGAACAATTATACATAGGATATTCCTCATGACTGCAACAACTTGTTGATACAATGATAGCCCCATTAGTAGATTAGGATAGAAACCTCTGAACAGGTTAATTATAAAATGTTATGACACACCTTTGGAGCAGGTGCATGAAGCCAGGGCTTCTTGTTCAGAGATAGGGACTATCACTGCACCACATTAGCCCTGTACATACAACAGTACAGCAGAGGAACAGGTCCTTCTGCCCAGCATGTCTGTGCTGACAATGATGCCGTTTTAAACAAATTCCATCTGCCTGTACAAGGCTTGTATCCCTGTATTCCCTGCCAGTTTGTGTCTGTCTAAATGGCACTTAAACTTTGCTAACGTATCTGCTTCTACCATCTCCAGGCAGGTGTTCCAGGCACCTACCATCCTCTGCTTTTTAAAAAAAAAAACTTACCTCATACATCTCCCTTAAACTTTTCCCTTCTCACCTGAAACCTATGCCTCATAGCATTTGACATTTCCACCCTGGGAAAAAGACTCCAAGTATCCATCCAATCCATGCCTCTCATAATTTCATAGACTTCTGTCAGGTTGTCCCTTCGCATCCCACGCTCCTTACCCACATCCACTGGCTGCAGCCACAGGTGTTACCCCTTTGGTCCCTAATAGGTCCCACTCTTTCCCTGGTAATCCTCTTACTCTTTAATGCACTGATAAAAAGCCTTGAAGTTTTCTTGATCCCATCTGCCAAAGATACTTTTTGGCCCCTCTTTGCTCTCCTAATTTTCTTTTTAAACACTAACTACACTGTGTACTTTTGAAGGGCCTCCTCTGTTTTTAATATGCTCCACCTTACCTGTGCTTCCTTCTTTTCCTTTGTCAAACTCTCAATGTACCTTGACATCCAGGATTCCCTAGCGTTGCTGCCCTTGCCCTTCACTCTTAGAGAAACATGCAGACCCAGAATTCTCACTGTACAACTTTTAAAAGGTGCCTACTTTCCAAATGTAGGCTCACCTGCAAGTAACTTCTCGCAGACTGTTTGCCAGATCCTGTCAAATGTTATTGAAATTGGCCTTTCCCCAGTTTAGACATTTTAACTTCTGCACTGTCCTTATCCCTTTCCATAATGATTTTGAAACATAGAGTTATGGTCACTCTTCCCAAAATGTTTGCCCACTGAAGCTTTAACTATTTGACGGGCTTTGATTTAGCACTGCCCCAGATCTCGTAGGACTATCGACATACTGACACAAAAAGTTGTCCTGGATGCTCTTTAAAAATTCCACCTCTTACTAATCCTTTTATCCTATAGCAATCTCAATTCGTGTTAGGAAAGTTGAAATCCCCTACAACTGTAACCCAGTTTCTCTCCCGCCTTTCTGTGATTTACTTCAATATCTGCTCCTTTATCTCACATATTGTATATTTCATTTTATTTTAATTCTCCTCAATTACAACATTAATTTGATCAATTCCTTTATAGCACCTGTCAAATGCCTTCGGGAAATGCAAGTGCAGTGCATCTACAGATTTCACTGTTCCAAAGAGCTCTAATTAAATGGTTAAACATGATTTCCCTTTATTCAAAACCAAATCCCAACAACCTTGAGTTTTTTTCAGTGCCCAGCGATAAACTCCCTAAGGGATTGATTTTAACCCATTCCCACGACAAATGTCAAGCTAACTGGCCTTTAATTTCCTTTTTCTACCGCTGTCCCTTCTTGAAAAGATAAATTATATTTTCTGCTTTCCAATTTGATGGAAGCTTTCCTGAATCTAGTGAATTTTGGAAAATTCAAGTCTGAAGTCTAATTAATCCTCTTAAATTACACATGACCGAATATAATCTGGTCCCTCATTGAAAGCATTCTATGAACTCCTTTTCCAGGCTGCCATTGCCAATCTGATTTTTCCACTTTGCATGTAGATTAAAATCACCCATGATTTATTGCAGCAGTTCCATCATAAGCATGCAATATTTTTTTCTTGTAATTTTTGTCCTGCACTGTGGTTGTTATTAGATATCTGTGGACTACTCCACACAGGTAAGCACCTGGAATGTGCAAGTTAATCTCAAAGGCTGAGGCTCCAGAACAGCAGTATTCTCTGACCCCTCTCCTACCTTATTCATTGTCACACCTTCCTGTCCTAAGTTGTCTGCTTTTTCTCTCCAACAATACAAAGACCTCCAGGATCCTTGGGTTAGAGAAACTGGAAGTGAATGAATTGCCACATTGCCACTGCTTCAAGGGACTATATACGCTGATCAATGTTGCTCATGTCCCTTACTACAGCTGGAATCAGACAGCCCTGACTTGAGGTGTAGGTCTGACTTCTGGAACCAAGTATTAGATATTTCTCCCTCCTCCCTTGCCGTATTGGAATATGTTCAATTTGGCAGCCACTTACATGACTTTGAGTTGGAGCAACTATATTTTTATACATTTGTTCCAGATGTGTTTGTCTTGGATCATTTTCAGGTCCTGAAGTTCCCACATTCCACATTTGTAACACACACCTATCCCATCAATGTCTATGTACTAATTAGTTTAATTTGTTCATTTAACTAATCATGTGAAATTAATTGCTCCTTTTGAGCAAAAAATTACTGTATGCATTAAATGCTGATATCACTTGGAATGTTGTATACTTCTCAATTAAACAGTTAAGTGTCTTGGGTATCTATATTAAAGTCTTAGTGCTTTCTATGAATAGACCTACCCTAACTGAAGCATCCTTAGCAGGCTATTTACACGATTCCTTTAGTTTGGCACAAGCTGGCAATCACTTTACTAGACACCTGTGATATCAGTCTTGATTTTCACTCTGCTTTTACAAAGCAGAAGCAGTGGAACCTGAGTAACAGAAATCAGTTGGGTACAGAATTATGGATAATAACCACTATCCAAAATCTACTGTATTAATACTTCATATTGTAAATGAGTTGCAATGATTCCACTCCAGTCTAGATGTACCAAGCTGTAACAGTGGTGAGTTTTAAATCATGTAAGCTATTAAAATATTGCTGTACATAATTTTATTGTATTAAACCTTATTCTACAATTCAATAATTTTGTGAATTTTTAATGTTGAAACGTGTGATTTTTATATTGGAGCAGCCTAAATGCAATGACATGTTTTCTTTTTCTTTTTTGTATTACTTACAGGGTTTAACATTTACAGCTGCTACACATGTTGTCTTTGCTGAGTTATTCTGGGATCCTGGTCATTTGTTGCAGGCTGAAGATCGGGCTCATCGTATAGGACAATGCAGCTCGGTTCATATTCATTATCTTATTGCCAGAGGAACACTGGACTCACTCATGTGGAGCATGTTAAAGCGTAAGGTACAGTTTCCACTGAATATTTTAACGAAAGTTATGTAACAGTATATTGAGTGCCAGTGGGCATGCAAAGAACAGCCTATCAAAAGTAAGATGCTAACTTGGTGAAACTGCAAAACAGGACCATTTACAAGAATAGTTCGAGGAATGTGGATAGAATCAAGAAGATGGGACAGTCCTCCTTGGAGAGAAGGAGATTTGATAGAGGTTTATCAAATCATGAGTGGACTAGATAGAGTAGACTGGGAGAAGCTGTTCCCGTTCATAAAAGGAGCAAGACAGAGAGGACATTTAAAGGTTAAAGATTTAAAGTCATGTGAGAAAGAAACAAGGATGAGTTGAGAAAAATCTCTTTCACAAAGCGAGTAATTAGGGTATGGAATGCACTGCCTGGAAGTGTGGTGGAGGCAGGTTCTATTGAGGTATTAAAGAGGACACTGGATGATTATTTGGATAGAAACAGTAGGGAGTATGGGGATAAACTGGAGACTGACACTAAGTAATGATTCTCATTTTGGCGAGCCAGTGCAAGAACACAGAATGAGCCAAATCACCATCTTCTGCATCATAACAATTGTGTGATTCTGGGACTTAGATGCCATACAGCATAAGCAGCAAGTGTTAAACACGGATAAGCGGTTCCACAACCAGTTGATCAGCTCGAAGGTCTCTAGTCCTATCTTATCCAGTCATGAATGGTAAGGGATAAACAACTTGCTGGAAGAGGCTGCACAATATGCCCATACTCAACGATGGGGGCGCCCAGTGCATCAATGTAAAAGATAACACTAAAGCATTTGCAACCATGTTTTCCGGTGGATTATCTATCTTGGCCTTCTCAACATGTATCACAGATGCCAGACTTCAGCCAATTCAATTCATTCCACATGATATTAGAAATGTGGGAGGCATTAAATACTACAAAGACCTGACGACATTCTGGCAACAGTACTGAGATGTGTACTCCTGATCCTGCTGTGGACTGAGCTAAGTATAAAAGCTACAGTACAGCTACAGTATTGGCATCTACCTGACAATGTAGATAATTGCCCAGTTATGTTCTGAACACAAAGCAACAGACCAGCATGGTCAATTATCGACCCATCAGTCTACTCTCGATCATCGGTAAAATGATAGAAGGGGTAATCAAAAGTGCTATCAAACATCAATTGCTTAGTAATAATCTGCTCACTAATACTGTTTGGGTTACACTAAGGCCATTCCACTCTTGACCTTATTACAGCCTCGATTCAAACGTGGACAAAAGAGTTGAATTCCTGCTAAGGCTGAAACCTTTGATACCAAGGCCTCATTTGTCCAGGTTTGGCATTGATGACCCTGAGCAAAACTAGAACCAGTGGTAATTGGGAATACTCGCCACTGATTGGAGTCTGTTATTGGAGGTCAGTCATCTCATTTCCAGGACTTCTCTGCGGGAGTTGCAACAGGAGCAGCTCCAACATTATTCAAGAAGCTTGATACCATCCAACATAAAGCAGCTCTTTGATTGGCATCGCATCCAAAAATATTCATTATCTCCACCATTTGCACTCTCTGGCAGCAGTGTGTGCCATCTACAAGATGCACTGCAGAAATTTGCCAAGACTCCTTAGTCAATACATTCCAAATCATGACCACTGTCATCCAGAAGGACAAGGGCAGCAGATACAAGGGAGTACCACCAACTGCAAGTTCCCCTTTAAGCCACTTCCCATCCACACTTGGAAATGTATTGCCAATCCTTTAGTGCACCTGCTGAAAATCCTGGAACTCACTCCCTAATTACATTATGGGTCTAATGACTGCAGTTCAAGAAAGCAACTCACCTCCACCTTCTTAAGGGCAACTAGGATTTGACACTAAATGCTAGCCCAACCAGTAATGTCTACATCCCATGAGTGAATTCTTCTTTTTAAAAATGCAACACAGAAATAAGCCATTGGCTCGGCAAATAGCCCAAGGATGTCTTCCTCCTGAGAGAGAATCTGAGTAAAGACTATCAACATGACATTGTCACCAAGAAATCTAAGATGGAACTGGGAAGAAATTTGTTTGTCTGAAGAGTGGTGAAAATGCTGAACTCTGTATCATTTGAAGTGGTTGATGCCAATAGTATAGATGCTTTTAAAGTGACTGTGTGCAAGCATATAAGTAAGAAGGGAGTAGAGGGTTGCAATAATAGAGTTAGGTGAGGAAAGATGGGAGAAGGCTCATGTGGAGCATTATTATCTGCATTGACTGGTTGGTAGAATGGCCTGATCTATGCTTTAGATCCTTTGGAACTAATTGCACTCCCTGACGCTTAGTCCCACTTGTGTTTGCTTTCCAATGATATATTTAATTAATTCTGCAAGTTACATTTGAATCCACTTCCAACATCTGAGTCTCTGCATTTCAGATCATCTTAACATGCTACATGAATAAGTTTTCGCTTCAATCTGATTATTTTACCAGTTATCTTAAATCTGTACCTTCTCTTCTCCAGGCCTCAGATCAGTGGAAATTTTCCTCCATGTGTACTGTATCAAAGCTTTTTATAATTTTTGAGCACTTGTATTAAAACTCCCAAAAAACTTCTCTGCTCTAAGGAGAACAATATATCTTTCTCCAATTTCTCCAAATTGACTGAAGTTCCTTATCCCTGATATCATTCTAGTATTTTTTTTACTGCACGTTGTTGACTTCTTTCCAACATGGGCATACTACTCCAGCTGTAACTTGGTGTGTGATTTATGAAGATTTTGTACAACATCCTTGGTTTTGTATGCATTTTTTCAATTTATAAACTTAAGGATCCCATATGCTTCTCTAACTAGAAGAAATGCTCTTCTACACGCTCGATTAAAACTTTTCTCAGTTGCATCTCCTGTTCTGATCCTGAGGATATAATCTTAATATTTCAAATCATTACATTAGATTAGTAAGTCACACCCCTGCCCCTGAGCCAGAGCTCTGGGTTTGAGTCTCATTTCAGAGCTTGTTGACAATTACAGAGATAAACACTAGACAGGGTGGTTAAAAAGGTGTTTAGCACACTTGCCTTCATTACACAGTCCTTTGATTACAGGATTGTGTTGACGTTGTACAGGACATTGGTGCGATCTTTAATGGAATACTGTGTCCAGTTTTGGTCGCCCAGTTATAGGAAGGATATTATGAAGCTGGAGAGGATTCAGAAGAGATTTACCAGGATATTGTTAGGTATGGAAGGTTTGAGTTATAAAGGAGGGCTGGATAGACTGGGACTTGTTTCCAGTAGAGTGTAGGGGGTTGAGAGGCGACTTTATAAAAGTCTGTAAATTAATGAAAAGTAGAGATAGAGTTAATGGTAGTTATCTTTTCCCAACGATGGGGGATTTCAAGAGTAGGAGGCACACTTTTAAGGTGAGAGGAGAGAGGATTTTTGAAAAAGACATGAGGAGCAAATTTTTTACATAGAGGGTGGTTCGTGTTTGGAATAAACTTCTTGAAGTAGTGGATGTGAAAACAATTACAACATTTAAAAGATATTTGGATAAGTACATAAACAGGAAAGGTTTGGAGGAGTATGGCTCAGAAGCAGGCAGGTGGAAGTAGGTTGAGGAAGGGTCACCTTATCTGAAACGTTAACTGATTTTTTTTCTTCACAGATGCTGCCAGACCTGCTGAGCTTTTCCAGCAACTTCTGTTTTTGTTCCTGATTTACAGCATCTGTAGTTCTTTCAGATTTTAGTTTGGGATTATGTTCAGCATGGATTGGTTGGACTGAAGGGTCTGTTTCTGTGCTGTGTGTTTCTATGACTTGTGACACTGTTCAAAGAAGTCAATAATTGATATGCAAATCCTTCCAACACTTACACTTATGCTTTGGGAAAAGTGGGTATGTGAAGATACAAAACAGATTCCTATTTTAGTGACTTCGCACAATGCTATCTTGGTGGCATTTAAGACTTCTCCACAATGAGGCCTCAAAACTACACTATTGAAAAACAATCTGTTTTACAAATTAGCATGTCTTCTTTACTCTTGTATTATGTTTATAAATCTCTATTTTTGATGGCTTTGTCTGCCTGAGCTTTACTAAATAATTATAAATGGGATTCCTGAATCCTTTCGTCGGCCATATCTTCCAGTGTCTTTGCATTGAGTGTAAACTCCCATTCTTTTCCCTTTCAAATGAATGCATCATTCACATCCACTTTAAATTACATCCGCGAATGTCTTCCCATTCTGTGAACCTGCCTTTTTACAGTCATCCTTACTGTTTGGAAAAGTCCCTATTTTGCCACAACAAAGTTATAGATTACACCAACTGTACATTGTGAAAAAAAATGTAATGTAACTTATGCCCCATGAATGCAAGACTTCTTTCATATCCAAATACTCCAATTAAACTTGTGTTAAAGATTCTGCATTTGATTAACTTGTCATTAATTGCCAGGTTTATCCAGCTCTTTCATCCTGAAATTGTCATACTCATTACCTTTGTAACTTGGACAATTAAGAAGAGGTTTGAAATATTGTCAAAAGCCCTCCTGTCTCCTTTCTGACTTATTTTTGCAGCTTAGAGCAAACATGATTTATCTGCTCTTTGCTATTTTTTCAGAATCCATTTTCTTCCAAACCTTGTACGTCTATGTTCTTTCTTCCATCACTGCTTTAAAAACTGCAACAAAAAGTTTTCCAAAAACCTGTATCCCTCCATCATCATTAATGACAACAGTAGGTTCAAAAGAATCCACCTAGTAATCTCCGATCGCCCAGAACTAATTTGAACATAGTACAATTTTCCACGATTTGCAATTAACAAACATGTCTGATCTCTTCAGGTTTCTGTTTAAAGAAGCTAGCTATGAATCATTATTGTTAAATATATATTGTTTGCTTCACTTCCTCTTGTCGCACAATCAAGTAATTTGTTTTTATAGTGTCGGCTAAAACTTAAAGAACATGCTCTTATTCAAGTTACCAAGTAGCTGTACTCCAGCTTGAGTGTGTTGTCTGAAGGAGATATTTAAACAGGAAGAGGATTTAAGAATTAAAAAATATGTATTTGTAAGTTTTTAATTTGACTTTGCTTTCTTTCACCACTGTCTTTATTTTAACCGTTCTCACTCTTAATTTTTCTGTCAGCCAATGTGATGTACGGAATAATGATCAATGTATTTCAGTATTGATTTGACTATTGGCTGTTGCCAATTATTCATTTCTGGAATTGAAGCGTTCCGTCATCTTAAAGACGGTCGCCAGAGAACAAACGTGAGAACTTAAAGTTCAAACTTCAATCATGAGGCATTTGTCCAAAGGTCTACTGCCGGGTTTAAGAAAATGAATAATTGAAGTGCAGACATTATAACGAATGTAGAATTTTTTTTAAGTTTGAAAATATGTTTCTTTGTTTCAAATATGTAGGCCTGGTCAAATTAGCAAATTATCTCCTGCCTTTATTCACTGAAGATGAGTTACTTTGCTTCTTAATTACAGACTCGTGTAACAAGTAACACATTAAATGGAATAATGCAACACTTGGAAGTGGAAGAGGGAGATAAAGAAAAGTGGGACTTCTTAAACACTGCATTGGCCTGGGTGCCAAATGAAAATTTTTCAGGAACTGAAGATGGAGTGTTTTTTACCCATGTAAGTAGTTCAACTTTGCTGACATGAATAGTAATTTTTCAAATCTAAGTATTAATAGCAATGATTTTTGAGTACACCTAATGGATAGAACATTCTGTTTCATGTTATGTTTGTTAATATTAATACTACAGTGCCAGTCATACATTTTCATATTCTGTGACACCAGTTCATTTTCAGTTTATCTCACCATCTTTGTTGCATCCTATTTCTCCACCCATGATAGTGAGAAAAATCAAGAAATATCTTCAAAATTGTCATACGTAATAGAGAACAAAGCACAGCTGAAGCAATCATTCAAGTTACAAATTCGATTGATGTTCGTGAACCACTGGAGCCACTCTTGTGGTTTGTGATATTACTATAAGAAGTTGATTTGCATACCCACTTGCTGCCGTAAATCTATTGTTTGTAAATTGCAAACTGTTTCATCCAGCTGCCTCCCTTCAGATATTTTATTTCTACAGAGCAAAGAGAGTATATAGGGTTTTAAAATTCAACAGTAAGATAAATGGTTTGCAAATAATAACAGTTTTGAGTTACCACTGTAGACCATAACATTTTACATGGATAAATGTTTTTAATTGTCATTTCTGAAATTTAAGATAAATCCGATGATCCCATTAAAGATTTGGCATTGGCAGTAAATGTTGAATTTAATAAACGCTTCTAAATAGTGCTTGGACTTTCCAAATACCATCTAAATTATTGCAGATTTAACGCAAGGTTAATTACTCCCCTTTAATGGGCTTTTAAGCTTTACAGATTTCTAATTTTGTCGTTAAATTGATTCATCATTCTTTTGAAGTAAATTATACTTTCCTTTCAGTTTGAGAAAGAAAAACAGCATGACATCCGCTCATTCTTTTCGTCAAAACCTGACTCCAGGGAGAAACGCAAGAGAACCCTTCAAGATTTACCAGTCAGCCAGTTTTCTGATACGTTCGAGCTGCAGCAATCACCTGATTCCCCCAATTCAGCTCAACAACCACAAGGAAAACTGGATAAATTAAATGCAAGAGGTGGTGAAAATGATAACGAAGTGATAAGCAAAATGAACAATGATGAGCTGCTGTTTAAAGATACCTTTGAACCACAGACTAAACGATTGAAATCTTTATTCACGCCAAACAAAAATAAGGCAAGTTCAAAAATGAAAAAGTCCAAAGGTGGGCTGACACCATCCACAATTAGAATTCCAAGTACTCAAAATTTTCTGGGCGAAGCACAACTTACCTCACGAAAACTGCCTGTAACTGAAAAAACGTGGAACTGCAAAATGTGCACGTATACTAATAATATCTTTCTGTCTTACTGTGAAATGTGTGAAACTCTGCGAGGCTTTGGTAAGATTTTTTTTTTTTATCTTGAAGCAAATATCTTATCAAAATACTTACTGGACAAAACATTCTTTATTAATAGTTTACTTCAATTAAATGTACAGGTATATTGGTTTACCAATCAAGGGGAAAGCTTCTGATCATGGGAAAGATTCTAGTACTCGGAAAATATATTTTATGTTAGTGTGATTATTATCTTAGTGCTGTAAAGGCTGACTGCTATTTTGTTTTTTTTGTCAATAAGCAACTAATATCACAGAAGAAAGTGGCTGCTATTGAGTCTTTGCACCTTGCACTCATCAGGAACAGATGGAGACTACCAAATATCAAACTTATATTCATGAGAAACCAGGGTGCTGACTGATTGGCAAGTGGACTCTAATTAGTTGAGATGTTGCCATGGAGAAGACACAAGGGACAGATACCCCAAAGTTGTTTTTTTTTTTAATTTTAAAAAGACGGGTTGGCTCTGATCGGCCAAGGTGTGCCAAAGGAATGCACCAGAGAACCATGTCCTCAGGTCTTTGCTTAATTAAAAAGGCACAATGTCTAGCAAGTGAGGCATGTTGCAAGCTTGACTGATGGTCTTAAGTTGGTTGTTAGTGTAATTCTTAATAGGTTTCACCTTAGTAAGCTCAATGTCGTGCTCAAATTCACCTTCGAATAGAGCTGTCTGCCATTAGCCAGCCTTCACTGATCAGTATGAGAGTTGGAATTCCTGTAGCTCTGCAATATTAGATTGACCCTAGCAGCAACTTTGTAAATAGGACTCGAGCCATTTGCTCACCATCCTTGCCTGATGGTGAAATAGGGTACTTCAAAGCTGTGCTGTGGGAATTGGCCATCCTGAACAGATTGCTTGATGTATATCATGCAAATAAACGGCCTGAGGTTGCTACGCTCATTCCTTAAGGGTGCCCAGTGTACCTCGAGTTAGCCTGGAAAAGTAAGTTGTCTCGAAAAATCTTGAGCATCAAGTGAAGCTGGCTATTTCATACTGCAGCTATGTAGAGCAACACAAGTGGTGTTATCCTGGAGCAGAATGCTACTGTCAAGTCAGAAGCTGTTTGGCCCACCTTAACAACGAGTAATGTGGTATACTAATTTCAGTACCACAGTGATGCCAGGTCACCACACATCCCAATAACTGACAAAATAGCAGAGGATAGTGTTCTCCATACTGTGTACTGTGTACAGCATGTCTCTTCAGCTGTCCACAACAAGCCACAGTACTGACCATATGCAGCATGTTTTAAGTTTAAGGAAAAGGATGATTTTCATTAAAAAAAAAAAAAGTTTTGGATTGGGGAAAGGCAGATTTGATTAAAATAAGGCAGGATTTGGCCAAAGTTGCCTAGGAATGGCTGCATGTGGGTAAATCTACAGCAGAACAGTTGGAGGCATTCAAAAAGGAATTGGGAAGAGTACAAGCCCAACATGTTTCCTTTAGGGTGAGACATTAAAGCAACAAACCCAGAGAACCATGGATGTCATGCAGTATTCAGGAATGGATAGGAAGGGGAAAAAAGAGGCTTTTAACAGGCACAAAGGGAGCATATGAACAGAAGCTCAAGTGGAGTATAGAAAGTGCACTGGGGAGCTGAAGAAAGGAAAGAGGGGACATGAAAAAGTACTTGTGGGTACGATTAGAAGAATCCCAAGATATACAAGTACACTTAAGGGAAAAGGATATCCAAGGAAAGTGTAGGACCCATCAGGGACAAGGAGGCGATCTGAATGTAGAGCCAGAAGTCATTGGTAGGGTGTTAAATAAGTACACCACTCAGTTGAGGGAGTTGTAGGTCCAGAGTTTGCGAAGGTGGACTGTGGGGTTCTTGAGCAGATTGATATGGGGAGTGAGGAGTTTTCGGAGGTTTTGGCAGGCTTGAAAGGTGGACAAACCCCATGTCTGGATGAGTGGTATCCCAGGATCCTGTGGGAGAAGAGGGAGAAAATTACAGGGGCTCTGACCCAAGTTATTTTGAAAATCCTCTTTAGCTAGAAGGGAGATCCAAAGAGAGCATAGGTTTAAGGTGAGAGGGGAAATATTTAAAAAAGACCTGAAGAGTAAATTCTTCACAACGGAGGATGGTGTGTGTATGCAACAAGCTGCCAGAGGAAATGATGGAGGCGGGTACAGTTACAACATTTAAAAGACATCTGGATGGGTACAGAGATAGTGGGAACTGTACATGAATTGGAAAGTTTAGAGCGATATGGGTCAAATGCTGGCAAAGGAGATGAGGTCAGATTGGGGTCTTGGTCAACGTGGACGAGTTGGACTGAAGGTTCTATTTCCGTGCTGTATGACTGACTGGAGGGCAGCTAATGTGACTGTAACTTTTCAAGAAGGGTGGTCGAACAAACTAGGGAGCTACAGTCCGGTGAGTCTCACAGCAGTGGTCGGGAAGCTATTGGAGAAAATTCTGAAGGATATAATTAATTTCCACTTGGAGAAGCACGGTTTGCTCAGGGATAATTAACATGGCTTTGTCAAAGGGAGATCATGCCTAACAAATTCTATCATATTTTTCAAGGGGGTGATCAGGTGTGTGGATGAGGTTAGTGCAGTTGATGTAGTTTATACGGATTTCAGCAAAATCCTACACGGGGGACTGATAAAGAAGGTAAAAGCACATGAGAGCCAGGGTAACTTGGCAATTTGGATCTAAAATTGACTTACTGATAGGAAAGTGGTGTTAGAAGGGTGTTTATAGAGTCATAGAGATGAATAGCGCGGAAACAAGCCCTTCGTCCAACTCGTCCATACCGACCAGATATCCTAAATTAAGATCGTCCCACTTGCCAGCATTGGTCCATATTCCATCTAAACCCTTCCTATTCCTGTACCCATCCAGATGCCTTTTAAATGTTGTAATTGTACCAGCCTCCACCATTTCCTCTGGCAGCTCATTCCATACATGCAGTACCCTCCATGAGAAAAAGTTGTCCCTTAAGTCCCTTTTGAGTCTTTCCCCTCTTACATTAAAACTGTGCCCTGTAGTTTTGGACTGCCCTACCTTGGGGAAAAGATCTTGACTATTCACCCTATCCATACTCCTCATGATTTTATAACCTCCTATAAGGTCACCCTGCAGCCTCCAATGCTCCAGAGAAAATAGCCTCAGCCTTTCCCCATAGTTCCAATCCTCCAACCCTGGCAACATCCTTTTAAAATCTGTTAGGGTGAGCCCTTTCAGGTTTAACAACAACTTTCCTTTAGCAAGGAGACCAGAATTGAATGCAGTATTCTAAAAGTGCCCTAACTCATATCTTGTACAGCTGCAACATGACATCCCTACTCCTATACTCAATGCACTGACCAATAAAGCCAAGTGTTCCAAACGCCTTCTTGACTACCCTGTTTACCTGCGTCTCCACTTTGAAGGAACTAGAAAACTGAACTCCAAGATCTCTTTGTTTGGTAACACTCCCCAGGGCCATACGATTAACTGTATAAAAGCCCTGCCCTGATTTGTTGTAACACAATGTAGCGCCTCCCATTTATCTAGACTAAACTTGATCATCTGCTCCTTGGCCCACCCAACCAAGATCCTGCTGTACTCTGAGGTAATCTTTGCTGTCCTCCACAACACCAATTTTGGTATCATCTGCAAATTTACTAACCATACTTCCTATATTCATCACCAAATCATTTATATAAATGACAATGTTTGTATGAATGGAGACCAGTGTATCACAGGGATCAGCGCTGGGTCCCTTATTGTTTGTGATATACGTAAACAATGTAGATGAGAATGTGAAAGGCTTGACAAGCAAGGTTGTGGATGACACAGAGACTGGTTGGGTGGTTGCTGGTGAGGAAGGAGATCTTGGGTTACAGGAATGTACAGACTAGGTGGCCAGATGGGCACATCAGTGGCTGATGGAATTTCACCCGAAAAGTCTGAGATAATTTACTTTGGAAAAAGTAACAAGACAAAGGAGTAGTCAATGAATGGCAGGTCACTCAGGAGATGAGAGGAACAGAGAGATCTTGGGATGCTTGTCCACAGATCCCTGAATGCAATGGCACAGACTAATAGAGTAGTGAAGAAGTCACTGAATACTTTATCAGTTGAGGCATAGATTATGAGAGCAGGAAGATTATGTAGAAGCTGTACAGGAATTTGGTTAGTCCACAGCTAGAGTACTGTGTGCAGTTCTGGTCTTTGCACTGTAGGAATGATGTGATTGCACTCGAGGGGCTGCAGAGGAGATTCTTTCGGGTTGTTGCCTGGGACGGAGCATTTGAGCTATGAAGAGGGGTTGCATTAGCTTGGGTTGTTTTCTTCAGAATAGAGAAGGCTAAGGGGGTGACCTGATTTGTGGTGCATAAAATTATGAGGGTCATAGGGTGGAAAGAAAGCAACCATTACCTTTAATTGATGGGTCAGTAAAAGGGGGCGTAACTTAAAGATGAAAGGCAGTAGGAGGTTTTAGGGAGCATTTGAGGAGAAATGTTTTTACCCAAAGAGTGGTGAGAATGTGGAATGCACTGTCCGAGATGACAATTATGGCAGGAAACCTCTCAATCTTTTAACAAGTACTTGGATGAGCACTTGAAATGCCATAACATTCAAGTTGATGAGCAAAGTGATGGAAAGTGGGACTACTACAGATTTTAGAGTTGTTTGGTTGGTGCAGACTCAATGGACATGTATGAATCATACTCTACCAGACTGTGTTTTCAAAACTTAAAGCATAGCCTCCATCATTAGTTGTAATTCCGTGAATGGGCAGCAGTTATTGAGCAATACCGAGTGTACCAAGAATTACAGAATTCTGATTATCAGTCATGTTTACAGTGTGGCTCAGTATAAGCTACATATAATCATGTATACGGCACAGTCCTCTGCAGGCAAGAGGAATTAAGACACACTGCCTTTTCAATTAAATAAAAAAAGTCATGGCAAATTATCCCTGGTGCATTCTGCATGGAAAGTCTTGACCAATCACAGTCCACTTACCAACTAATCAGCATACTGTTTCCCGTGCAGTATAAATTGTTTTTAATTTTGAACTTTGGTTTTCCAGAGCTGTATTTTCCCAAATATCAGCAAAATGTCAATTGTGAGGAGTATGACGATAGGTTTTCGTCCATGAGCTTGACCAACGTTATGTTCTCAATTTTATGCTACTCACTGAATTTTGAATGTACCATATCATCGTGGCAGCGTTCTGAGGTTTTGGGAATGCCGGTCAAGACGGAGACCTGGAGAAGACACCAACAAATTACAATCTCCATTTACCAATGAGACTTTGGTATTGGGAATTGTCATTATCTAGTTTCTGTCCCCATCTGGGAAAATAGCAAACGGAATATAAATGCACTGAGATTCTGCAATAATGAGATGTTTATGCATGCAAATCGTCTGCTCACTACTCTCCCGTGTGATTTTCATCTTGCAGTTAAAGCCTTAGGTGGAAAATCAGACTTTTTTATTTTTAACAGTGTCAGTAATCTCATTTTTCAGATTTCACCATACTTATGTAACAGGCTTGTCATTGCTGACATCGTTTAGGGCCTGGGAAAATATTCCAGATGTTTTAGCAACATTTTAGACTGAAGCTTTTCTTATCACAGGTGATCAAAAGGAAAAATATTTGTCTTGTCATGAAAACCTAAGTGAAAAAGAATGCAAAGGAGGAACCCAACCTGATACTGACTGCACTGTCCTATCTGTCCAGGAAAGTGAGGAAAAAGATGAGCCAAGTTCGCCTACAGGGCAGACAAATAATGAAGAGCTACACATCAGTACAGTGAAATCTGAGGAAAACCGTGTACTTTTCAATATTGACGAAAGTAGCAATCATGTTTCCATAACTGAAGGAAGAATGTGCAATGCCAGTCAGCAGCAACAGGGTAATTCAATTCATCTTCATTTCTACTTCTGCAGCTGTTTACAGACTTTAATTCGATTTAAACACAAGTAGTTCACAGATAATTCCTTTATGTGCTGTACACAAGTTAGTTAGTTTCTCGATGGCAGGATTTGCAGCATTTGTTGACTGACCATCTCAGAAATATCCCCAAAGTGTGTCTACTTCTTAAACTAATCTTATTTATCTTACATTATTTACTTTCTATTGGCATAGTACTTTACCCATAACATCTTGGGGAACAATATTTGATCATCTTGATGTATATCAGTTATATCGATCTCTTGATTCCAACATCAACCAATTCAATACCTAGGCTGGTATTTATCCTATATAGGAACAAGAATAAGCCATTTAGTCTCTTCAGCTCAGTACACCTTTCTATAAGGACATACCATCAGTTCTTCAACTTGATTTATCCACAATTGCTCCATACTATTTTATACCCTTAAGTAATAAAAATGAATCTGTCTTTAATGTTGCGATTGGCCCAGTGTCCATAGCCTTTGTGTTTGAGGTGCTCAAGATTTCTCTTGCTAGTTTTGTTAAAAAAGGTGTTTTATAATATCTTGCTCCTAAATATCCAGCTCTAAAACTGTTTAACACACTTGCCCTTCATTGCTCAGACCTTTTGAGTATAGGAAGTTGGGACATCATATTGGGGTTGTACAGGAAGTTGGTGAGGCCTCTTCTGGAGCACTTTGTGCAGTTCTGATCGCCCGCTTATAGGAAGGATATTACTAAACTGGAGAGGGTTCAGAAAAGATTATCAGGATGTTGCCAGGATTGTAGGGTTTGAGATAACAAAATAGATTGGAAAGGCTGGTAGTTTTTTTCACTGGAGCATAGGCAGCTGAGGGATGACCTTTTCAAGGTTTATAAAATCGAGGTGCATAGGTGAATGGCATGGCTCTTTTCCCTAGGATGGGGGAGTTCAAAAACTAGGGTTATATTTTTAAGGTTAGAGAAGAAAGATTTTAAAATGGGCATGAGGGGCAACTTTTTTTACACAGAGTGGTTAGTGTGTGGAATGAACTGCCAGAGAAAATGTAGGTAAGTACAGTTACAATGTTTAAAAGACATTTGAATGAGTTCATGAATAGGAAAGGTTTGGAAGGATATGGGCCAAGTGCAGGCAAGTAGGACCAGTCTAGTTTGGGAACATGGTTGGCGTGGTGAGTTTTTTGAAGAAGTAACGAAGAGGATTGATGAGGGCAGAGCGGTGAATGTGATCTGTGTGGACTTCAGTAAGGCATTCAACAAGGTTCTTCATGGTAGACTGGTTAGCACGTTAGATCACATGGAATGCAGGGAGTACTAGCCGTTTGGATACAGAACTGGCTCAAAGGTAAAGACAGAGGGTGGAGTTTGAGGATTGCTTTTCTGACTGGAGGCCCCTGACCAGCGGTGTGCCACACGGACCAGTGCTGCGTTCACTGCTTTTCATCATTTATATAAATAATTTGGATTTGAATGTAGGAGGTATAATTAGTAAGTTTGCAGTTGACACTAAAATTAGAGGTGTAGTGGACAGTGAAGAAGGTTATATCAGAGTACAATCGGACCTTGGTCAGATGGGCCAATGGGCTGAGGAGTGGTAGATGGAGTTTAATTTAGATAAATGTGAGGTGCTACATTTTGGAAAGGCAAATGAGGGCAGGACTTATACACTTAATGGTAAGGTCCTGGGGAGTGTTGCTAAACAAAGAGACTGTAGAGTGCATGTTCATAGTTCCTTGAAAGTGGAGTCACAGGTAGATAGGATAGTGAAGAAGATGGTTGGTACGCTTGCCTTTATTGGTCAGTGTATTGAGTATAGGAGTTAGGAGGTCATGTTGCGGCAGTGCAAGACATTGGTTTTGATCACTTTTGGACTATTGTGTGCAATTCTGGTCTCACTCCTAAAGGAATGATGTTGTGAAACTTAAAAGGATTGGGGAAAGACTTACAAGGATGTTGCCAGGGTTGGAGGGTTTGAGCTATAGGGAGAAGCTGAATAGGCTGGAGCTATTTTCCCGAGAGTGTCGGAGGCTGAGGGGTGACCTTATATAAGTTTTTAAAATCCTGAGGGGCATGGATCAGGTAAATAGCCAAGGTCTTTTCCCTGGGGTGGGGGAATCCAAAAATAGAGGGCATAGGTTTTGAGGTTGGTTGGCTCGCCGAGCTGGTTTGTTGTTCTGCAGACATTTCGTTACCGTGCTTGGTAACATCCTCAGTGCAGCCTCTGATGAAACGTCGGTGTGTTTTCCCGCCTGGTTTTTAAACTCTGGGGTCCGTTGCGATGGATTGCCTCACTTCCGGGTTTCCTCCATAGTGGAATGTATATGTTCATGTACTCTTTTTGTTCATCGGACAAACAGGAAGGAAACTAACAACAAGAGTACATGAACACCAACTGGCTACAAAAAGACACGACCAATACTCACTCATCTCAATCCACGTGGACAAGGAGAACCACGACTGACTGGGACAACACCAAGATCCTGGGACAGGCTAGGCAGAGACAAGCACGAGAATTCCTAGAAGCATGGCACTCCACGAAGCGCGCTATTAATAAACACATTGAACTCGACCCCACATACATTCCACTATGGAGGAAACCCGGAAGTGAGGCAATCCATCGCAACGGACCCCAGAGTTTAAAAACCAGGCGGGAAAACACACCGACGTTTCATCAGAGGCTGCACTGAGGATGTTACCAAGCACGGTAACGAAACGTCTGCAGAACAACAAACCAGCTCAGCGAGCCAACCAACCTCAACACCCACAACCCGAGCTACAGGTCTACTCCAAAACCTTAGAGGGCATAGGTTTATGGTTAGAGGGGAGAAGATAGAAAAGGGATCTGAGGGCAACTTTTTCATGCAGTGGATGGTGATTATGGAATGAGCTTCCAGAGGAAGTGGTGGAGGCTGATACAATTATAACATTTAAAAGGCATCTGGATGGGTATATGAATAGGAAAGGTTTAGAGGGATAGGGGCCAAATGCTGGCAAAATGGACTTGATTTACGATATGTTGTCTGCATGGACATGTTGAACCGAAGGGTCTGTTTTGGTGCTGTATGACTCTCATTCTATAATTATGCTGTCTTGCTCTGGATTTCCCCTGTCAAAAGGTACGGATTCTCTGTGTGTATATGTATCTAAAATAATGAATATTTTGTTTATTAAGCACTCAATTTAAATCACACTTTAATGTTTTAAAACATAAGGAATTTCAAAGCAAAGTAATGCATTGGCAAAGTTAGCCCTTTAAACCCTAGTACAATTCTAATGAGTATGCATTATACAGGTCTTTCACAAAGTTTAGTGCCCAGAATTATCACGCTCCCTGTACATTCCGTTTATCATTCCTCTCTTTGAACAAATAATTGCCTTTGTTACGATGTACAGTATGTATTGCTTCAGTAGCGATTTATGGCAAGAAGTTCCAATAACTTTCTATGTGCAGAAATTTTAAAAAATCCTTTTGTGGATATCTGAAATATCTTCTCCCTTCACGAATCCTTTGTAATCTGCAAGACATCCATCAGCTCCTCCCTTAACCTTTCCTGCTGTCATGAGAAAAACATCCTTTAAGTTTGGCATATGATATAACTTTCCCATCAATTTCTGCATGTTTCTGCCTACCGCCAACCACCCACCATCTGGCCTCCAGCCCCCACTCCCAACATTTCCTGTTTTGAAGGCATTGATTTCTTGCAGAGTACCCTGATCAATTGAGTGTCAGCAGGTGTTTCAATTGCAAAGCATGACAACTATATCTGTCCTCACACCAATTGTTCACAAGCAGCAGTTTCTGATATTTTTAACTGTTGTACTTTGTTAGCACCCCTTCCATATTTGAATGTTTTTTTTAAAAGAACGGAACTAATCATGATGTGTGTTCATACTTTTCTGATCTAGAACAATCTGATATCAACAGCAGTGATCCAGTTTATGATTGCTTCATGTTTTGCGCGAGCAAAAATACTGATAGAATACATTTGTACACCAAGGTATGTTTGGTCATTTCATCTCAATGTATATTGTGTAGATGTGTGTTCATGTCTTAAATTTGAAATATTACAGTTAACCTTCCTGATTGCTTGATGGACTTATTAACCATTTTACAATTTGACTGTTCAGAAACAATTTTTAGTAAGTTTCCCTATTTAATAAATAAAATCTATGTTCTGTTTCTGATCACAAGTAATGTGTACTTAAAAGGCAGAGCATTTCTTTGTCTCCTTGCAAACAAGGAGCTTGTCCTTACAGAATACTTTCAGTACTGTTACAATTCAATGATTATTTCATATCGTTTCACAGCCAATTAATTACTTTTGAAACATTGCACCATTGTTTTGAAGGCAAAGATAACACAGTAAAATGAATTAAGATGCATAGTTAAATAATTGTTTTCTGTGACACCAGTTGTTAGATAAATATTGATTTATAATACAAAAAGAATAACCCACAGATTCTTTACATTTTCATAGATCATAGAATCCCTACAGTGTGGAAACAGGCCCTTCGGCACCATGAGTTCACAGCAAACCTCAGAGCATCCCACCCAGACCCATCCCCCTGTAACCCACCTAATCTACACATCCCTGAACACTACGGGCAATTTAGCATGGCCAATCCACCTAACCTGCACATCTTTGGACTGTGGGAGGAAACCAGAGCGCCCAGAGGAAACCCACGCAGACACTGGGAGAATATGCAAACTCCACACAGACACTCGCCTGAGGGTGGGATTGAACCTGGGTTATTGGCTCTGTGAGGCAGCAGTGCTAAGCAGACAGAACCTTGATTTAACATCTCATCAGAAAACAGCACATTCACCAAAACAACATTTTCTTAGTCCTATATCGAGGAGATGGCCTTGATTACAAAAGAAAGTCCTAGAGTTGATTTTTAACTGTCTGCACCTGTCTAACATGGGGTTGTGATGGCCTGAAAGCTGTCTGTAATTTTCAACCCTATTTATGATGCCACTTGTAATATTTACACTGTTTCATGCTTAGGAGTCTCATTGCAATTGTAATGCATATCATGTTGTTTATTCATAAGTAGAAGTGAGCAGTCTAACCAATAGTCCTTAAAGATAGTACTGATGAGGAAAAATACAATTAAATTGGTGAATGACATATAACTGATCTGAATCATCTTGTCCACATCAAAGTGGAGAACCAGCATGACCACTGCATTCATTTCTAATCATTACTGGGAAAATTGGAAACCACACTCAAACAATTCAAATAATGTTTTAATTAACTTCAACACTTATTACTTCTGATTCTCCTCCGTCCCCTCTTCACTCAGACTCTGTCTCACTCTGCATTGGTAGTTAGGTACCTATTATCTACAAACAAGGTCTTTGCCTCAAATTGTTTGGGTTCTTGCATCATTCATGTGGCAGGGAGTGAATACAAGAGCGAAGAAGGTTACCTCGAGGAATACAATGGGATCTTGAATAGATGGACCAATGGGCCGAGGAATGGCAGATGGAGTTTAATTTCGATAAATGTGAGGTGCTGCATTTTGGAAAGATGAATCAGGGCAGGACTTACCATTAAGTGTGTAAGGTCCTGGAGAGAGTTACTGAACAAGGAGACTTTGGAGCGCAGGTTCATAGTTCCTTGAAAGTGGAGTTGTGGGTAGGTAGACAGAATAGTGAAGAAATTAGGGATGGACAGAACATTGGTTTTAATCACATTTGGAGTATTGTGTACAATTCTGGCCTCCCTCCTATAGGAAAGATGTTGTGAAACTTGAAAGGGTTCAGAAAAGATTTGCAAGGATATTGCTAGGGTTGTAGGGAGAGGCTGAATAGGCTGGGGCTCTTTTCCCTGGAGCATCAGAGGCTGAGGGGTGACCTTATACAAGTTTATAACATCATGAGGGGCATGGATAGGGTAAACAGACAAGGTCTATTCCCCATGGTGGGACCGTCCAAAACTAGAGGGCAGAGGTTTAAGCTGAGAGGGGAAAGATTTATAAGGGACAACTTTTTCACACAGAGGGTGGTGCCTGTATGGAACGAGCTGCCGGGGGAAGTGGTGGAGGCTGGTACAATTACAACATTTTTTAAAAGGCACCTGGATGGATAGATGAATGGAAAGGGTTTAGAGGAATAGGGCCAAATGCTGGCAAATGGGACTAGATTTTTTTTAGGATATCTGGTTGGCATGGACAAGTTGGACTGAAGGGTTGTCTCCACGTTGTACATCTCTGTGACTCTGACATCTCTCTCTGTGTCTAAGCTTAAATTCTCTCCCCGAGGTGGAGCTTGAACCCACAATGCTCCAACTTGGGCCCATGAGCAATAAATCCCCCAGTGGCACATAGTTTGGTTTGATTTTGACTCTGTTTTCTGTGCCAACCTTGGAGCAAGAAATCAGGCTGCTGCTGAGATACCTTTTGCCTTTATTTTAAGTCTAAAAGCAACAGCAGAAATCTGGCTCAAATGAAGGAAAGTAGTTATTTCCTTTAAGTTTAATGGTGCAGGTGCTGTGATTCCATTTGAACTACTGCACTGAACATGTTGGCTACACACCTTATGAAAATAAGGCGTGTCATAATGAATGTAACTTACTTCATAATTTTGTTTTTATTTTGTACTGTTCAAAGTACCCCATGACAAAATGGAACATTGCGATGGTACAAAGACCCTGGAAAATCTGATTCATCGCTATAAGGAAAACTCCAAGGCTTTTTACACATACATGAGGAATAAGAGAATGACCAGAGAAAGGGTAGGGCCGATCAAGGATTGTAAAGGGAATTTGTGCACGGAGCCTAAAGAGATAGCAGAGGTCCTTAATGAATACTTTTCTTCGGTATTCACAACTGAGAAGGACCTAGTTGTAGTGGAGGACAATGTGAAACAGTCTGGTAGGCTAGAGGAGGTCGATGTTAGTAAGGAAGATGTGCTAGGAATTTTGAGGAAGTTGAAGATAGATAAGTTCCCCCGGGCCTGATGGGATTTATCCAAGGATCCTATGGGAAGCGAGGGAAGAGATCGCAGGGCCTTTGGCGATGATCTTTTCATCCACACTGTCCACGGGTATAGTGCCGGAAGATTGGAGAGAGGCAAACGTCATTCCCTTGTTCAAAAAAGGGAATAGGGATAACCCTGGAAATTACAGGCCAGTTAGTCTTCCATCAGTGGCAGGCAAATTTATTGGAAAGGGCTCTGAGAGACAGGATTTATGATCACTTGGAAAGGCACAGTTTGATTCGTGACAGTCAGCATGGATTTGTGAGGGGTAGATCATACCTCACAAACCTTATTGAATTCTTTGAAGAGGTGACCAAACACGTGGATGAAGGTAGAGCAGTGAATGTGGTATACATGGATTTAAGTAAGGCGTTTGATAAGGTTCCCCATGGTAGGCTCATGCAGAAGGTAAAGAGGCATGGGATAGGGGAAAATGTGGCAGATTGGATTCAGAATTGGCTAACCCTTAGAAGACAAAGGGTGGTAGTGGACGGAAAATATTCAACATGGTGCTCAATTACAAGTGGTGTACCACAAGGATCTGTTCTGGGTCCTCTTCTATTTGTGATTTTTGTAAATGATTTGGATGAAGGAGTGGAAGGGTGGATTAGCAAGTTCGCGGACAATATGAAGGTGGGTCGCGTTGTGGACAGTGCAGAGGGCTGTTCAAGATTACAAAGGGACATTGATAGGATGCAGAACTGGGCTGAGAAGTGGCAGATGGAGTTTAACCCTGAAAAGTGTGAGGTGATTCATTTTGGAAGGACAAACTTGAAAGCAGAATACAGGGTTAACGGAAAGATTCTTGGTAGTGTGGAGGAGCAGAGGAATCTTGGGGTTCATGTTCACAGTTCCCTGAAAGCTGCCACCCAGGTGGATAGAGTTGTTAAGGCATGTGGTGTATTAGCTTTCATTAATAGAGGGATTGAGTTCAAGAGCCGTGAAGTTATGCTCCAGCTATACAAAAGCCTGGTTCGGCCACATCTGGAGTATTGTGTCCAGTTCTGGTCGCCTCATTACGGGAAAGATGTGGAGGCGTTGGGAAAGGTGCAAAGGAGATTTACCAGGATGTTGCCTGAAATGGAGGGAAGGTCTTACGAGGAAAGGTTGAGAGAGCTAGGGTTTTCTCTTTAGAACAACGAAGGATGAGAGGTGACTTTGATAGAGGTGTACAAAATGATCAGAGGTATAGATAGAGCGGACAGCCAGAGCCTTTTTCCTAGGGTGGACGTAGCTATTACGAGGGGCATAGTTTTAAAGTGAGTGGAGGTAGAGGGGAGACGTCAGAGGTAGGTTCTTTACTCAGAGAGTGTGAGGGGCGTGGAATGCATTGCCGGAGAGGGTAGTGGAGTCGGCCTCATTTGGGGTATTTAAGCGGCTATCAGATAGGCATATGGATGATAGTATAAGGTAGGCGTGGAGGTTAGATAGACCTTAGGATTAGGGTAAAGGTTCGGCACAACATCGTGGGCCGAGGGGCCTGTACTATGCTGTACTGTTCTATGTTCTATATAAAAAGTTGCTTACTCAAACATCTTAGTTTTTGCACTGTGTCAAAATGAGTACTTACGGCAAATGTATTGAAAAACAGTTAAATCGGTTCTACAACTAGAAATGCATTGTACAAATAATGGAAATGAAATTTTACGCTATTATCTTCCCCTACTGAACGCACATGCAGCCCTCCCACCAAAACAATGTCATTGTACTCTGTTTCTGTTAATTCACCCATTTTTTTTCTACTTGTTTTAGTAGTGTAAATTAAACTAAATGAAATAGCGTAGATTTATTTTCATATTTTCATGGAATGTGGAAGCAGGTGAAAACAGTCCAACTTGACAGTTGAAATCTTCCAGGTTTGGCTTGTTTGGGGAGGAAAGGTAGGAACAGTAATAGAGATGGCTAAACAAATCTTAAACGTTCTTATTGTCAAAGTTTTCCAGAGTTTCACACTCGATTTTAAGGCAACAGAGTGAATGAGTTAAAGGGGAGAAAATGTCCATGTTGTAACTGTACTGGAAATATTATGGTCAAGTGTGCAGCTAGTTCTTCAATGCAAATCTTCAGTGCCAAAACTGGAATGCTTTTGGAATCCATAGCATTCCACCTTCAGCACTTTCTTGGAGTTGTTTTAGCATTTCTGGCTTAAGATGTTTCAGATCCTTTAATATTTTACACTGATCATTGAGGGTGGGAATGTTTGTAGCATCACATTTTTACTTTTAACCATCATTTATGACTGGATTAGGCAGAACTTCAGGGTTTCACTATTTAAATAAATGATAAAAGGCGATGGCCTCGTGATGATATTGCTGGACTGTTTAATCCAGAGACCCAGATAACGTTCTGGAGACCCTGGTTCGAATCCTGACACCGTTGATGGTTGAATTTGAATTCAAGTTTTAAAAAAATTGGGAATTAAGAAGTTAATGATGACCATGAATCCATTGTCAATTGTCATAAAAGTCCATCTGGTTTGCTAATGTGTTCTAGGGAAGGAAACTGCCATTCTTACCTGATCTAGCCTAAATGTAACTCCAGACCCACAGCAATGCGGTTCACTCTGAACTGCCTTCTGGGCAATTAGGGAATGGCAATAAATATTGCCTAGCCAGTGATGCCCTCATCCAGTTCATGAATTTAAAAAAAAAAATTGGATGAAAGGTTCCAAGGTATGCCAGCTAAATTTGCTGATGATACAAAGATAGCTGGGAATATGAGTTGTCAACAGGACATTAGGATTCTATAAGGGAATATAAATAGGTTAAGTGAGTGGGAAATATCTGGCAAGTGCAATATAATGTGGGAAAGTGTGAAATTGTCCATTTTGGCAGAAAGACTGAAAAAGCACATTATCTAAATGGTGAGAGGATGTGGAGAGATTTGTGTGTCCTAGTCCATGAATCACAGAAGTTTAGCATGCAGGTAGAAAAAGAAATCCGGAAAGCTAATAGAATGTTATGGTTCATTGCAAGGGGCAAGGCAAGCAAGAGTAGGGAGGTTAGTTTTCAATTATATAGGTGAGACCAAACTAGAGCTAGGAGTCTAGTTTTAAAAATAAAGGGGTGTGACCATTTAAAACAGAGTAGGAAACATTAGCATTGCCTGGTGCAGTTCTGGCATGTTGTCAATGAAAAATATAACAATGTGCCACATATTATTTTGCTGTTTTGATATGATCTTGAACTAAGTTTTAGTTTGAACTGTTAGGATTGTAGATTACATTTTCATTGAATTGCTTTGTGCTGAAGCGGTCTTATTCGTACAACTTTCAGTGTACTTATTTCTACTGAATTTTATGGGAAGCGTGTTATTTTCATTAGTTTCAATGCCAGTGTGTGGTACTGAAGCATTCAGGTGTATGGTTTCCACTATTTGTGTATTATTAGGAGAGAGAACCTTTAAACTGCAATTTTATTCCTTTGGATGTGAAGTCAGAAAACTGGGAGGATTTGCCACCGTTCTTTGACCGGAAAGAAAATCGTGCTGTGGTAAGTCGTTGTTAAATTTTATGAAATAAAATAGAATATATTTGTAGACTTTTTTTTGTTAAGATGCATTAGTTTGTATGTCGGGTATTATCAGAATCCTGTAAAGTATAATAGTAACTTGGCTGCAGTCTGAATCTCATTACATGTCTTGAGTGTGAAATGCTTATACAAGTGTGTAAATAAAATTGAGTTTGACAAAGTACACTTCCTTAAACTGCCGGAAATACTGTGCAACAGTTAAAGTATGATGCAGTGTTCTTCAGACATGTGGAAACAAGGCTACTTACAAATTAATTCATTCCCTCATTGTTGCTGTGTCAGAATTTTGAAGCCACTTAGCTAACAGCATTGTGGGTGCACCTACACTACATGAATTGCAGACGTTCAAGTAGGCCTCTTACTATAATATTGTCAAGGGCAAGTAAGAGTGGGCATTTAATGCTGGCCTTGCCAGCAACTCCCTCATCCCATGAATGAATAAAAAAAATTATTAAATAATTAACTATTGAATTGCAAGTGTGGTAAATGTTATAAACAACTGTAGCTGAATACTTCTAACAAATGGAAAGAAAGAATTTGCATTTATGTAGCTTTTGAAGTATCAGGAAAATCATTTGCAGCACGTGAGCATTGCATCTTTCATTAACATGTATTGCTATTCCTGAATTGCTGTGAGAAGATGATGGTGAGCAACCTTCTTGAACCACTACATTTCATATAAGTACATCCATAGTGCTATGAAGGGAGTTCCAGGATTTTGACATGGTGACAGCAAAGGGGCAGCAAGATTTCCCAAGCAGGATTGTGTGGATTTTGTGGGAAAAATGTACACAAAGTGGTGTTCCCATGCATCTGCTGCCCTTAACCTCCAGAGGGAAGGACCCTTTTGAGTTGTTGCAGTGCATCTCGTAGATTGCATATGATGCTGCAACTGTATCCTAGGGAGTGAATGTTAAAAGTGTTAAATGGAGCACCAGTCAAGCAGGTTGCTTTGTCCTGGATATTATTGAGCTTCTTGAGTGTTCTTAGAGCTACACCCATCCAGACAAGTGAAGAGTATTCCATCATACTCCTGAATCATGCCCTGTAGGTGGCAGGCAGGCTATGAGGAATCAAGACTTCCCAGACTCTGACCTGCTCTTATAGGCACAGTATTTATGTGGCTGGTCCATTTTGCATCTGGTTGATGATACCTCTCAGGACGTTGACGGTGGGAGATTCAGCAATGGAAATGAAACTAAATGTCAAGGGACGTTATTGGAAACTGTCTTGTGGCGGACACTTGTTGCCACTAATGTGAACACAAATCTTGCATGTCAAACCAGCCCAAATCTAAATGTTATCGCAATTTTTTTTTTTTTTTCTTTTTTTCTCTGCCAGTTTTCAGCCCAAACCTGCATTTTATTAGTGCATTTGGACATGGACAACTTCAGTATCTGAGAAGTGATAGATAGTGCTGAACATTGTATAATCATCAGCAAACATCTCCATTTATAATAATATAAGGTATTCATAATGACCATATAATCTGTTCTTGTGGATTAATAACAGAGCAGAAAATCAGGAGAACTCCTTCATTCAAATATTCTACTATGATCTCATGTTAATCTGAGTAGACAGTCTAGTCTTTAATTTAATATCACATTCAAAAGACAGCACTACAGTGTTAGCCTGGATTATGCACTCATGTTTCTGAGATCAAACTTGAATCCACAATCTTCTGAACCATGAATACATCCAGCGAGCATTGGCTTATCATTTTTGCTCATCAGCCTGAATATTTGAAAATAATTAAAGATATTTTCAATTGAAAATGGTGCTAACAGTTGCATATTGAATCAAAAGTTAATTTTAGCTGACATTGGACAAAATCTTCCGGGGACTGCCAGTCACAGTTGGATTGCCACTCTACTCTTAAACTTACTTTGTCCTGATGCTTCACATTTCTGGCTTAAAATTCTGATTTGAGCCTCTTAAGGAGCATAGAGTGCCCTTACTGTGGGACACTTCCAAAACTGTGCATGGTAAGTGCTGGAAACCAAACCGTGTGCCCCTTTAGTACAATAGCATCTGCTTTTTTCCAGGGTTTAAAGTTCCAAAGTCTCTTTAAGAAGCTACAGAGGTAAGTTGTTAGATAAGTGAGGAATGCACAGTATGTCATGGGCTGTTGGGTTGGCTGGGTCAGGGTCATGTCTGTGGGGGGAGTGGGGTCCAAGTGGATCGGGTCAGAGGGTGTATATACCACTGAAACTGAATCTACCATTATAACAGTTTGCTTTACCTCCAGCTCTGCATAAATCTGCATCTTGACCCCATGACTTTTTTTTAATTGAATTTCCAGCTTCTGCGTTTTGTACGAGAATGGCTCAGCTTGTCTACTATGAAACAAAGAATAATTAGGAAGAGTGGTCAGATGTTCCGCAGTCCTATTCTTGCATTAGAAAACATATTAAAAGGTCAACATAGACAAAGCTGTACAAAAAGGTAAGATTTTATTAGAATGCTCCTAATAGTGTGACATCATAGTTATTTAAGATTGAAACAAAGATGTCAGAATATGAAGTTTGTACAATTTACTTTGTGCATGATGTAGCACACTTTATTAATTTAAAATGGTAGTCCTTTCTCAGTGAAGGACATTAATGCTCAAACAAAAAACGAAATTGCTGGAAAAGCTCTGCGGATCTGGCAGCACCTCTAGAAAGAAATCCAAGTTAACGTTTTGGGTTGAGTGACCCTTCCTCAGTTCTGTTTTTGTTTCTAATTTACAGTATCTGCAAGTTTTTTTTAGTTTTTACTTAAGAGATTAATGCTGCGGTTTTGGTGACTGTCTGGTCATTGGATTATTTCACTTTCTAATCTTCCTGAGTTCCTATCCACTAAATTTTTAAAATGAAATTTTAAAAAAAGGTGAAAACTGAAGACGTTTAAAAATATTTGTTTTAGTTTGTTTACTTTAATGTTTCTTCCTTATTTTCCAATAATAAAAATGAAATGCCTTACTGAAAATCTGTATGAAATATTTCTTTTATTTAGATTTATAACAAAAGATGATGTAGCTGCTGTATCTCTAAATAAGGCACAAAGTGAAGGAGGAACTGTGCGAGTAATAGCAAGAGTGAATACATTTCAGAACAAGACTAAAATCAAAACTTCCAATCAACCAAGTGAGGAAAATCTGAACAAGTATGTCTCTATGGTTTCCTGTTTAGTAGATGGTGTACCATTGAGAGATGGAAATGGTTCATTTTACAAATGGTACAGTTCTTGGGTAGCATTTCACCACTGAAGAAATAACTAAAAAACTTGCCAGAAAGGCACTTCATTTTAAGAGAATAATTGCTGTATATAAAAACTGAATCAGATATAATTGATGTTGTTAATACAACAATTAAACAAAATGGCATTTTGTAACACTATAAAACTAACTGCAAAATTTTTAATTATAAACATGCATTAAATTGTTGTGCTATATCAGACATTTGTCTACTCAACCATCTGGCTTTTCTTATCTTAAAAATCTCAATTTAGCTTCTTGTTGTCATTTGAGTAATACTAATTGTTGGAAGTTTATACTACACGCTTCATTTACTGTTGCAGGAATTAGTTGCACTGTTGAATGATCATCAGATATTTTTCACTGGCGTTTTCAGGCTGAAATATATCATTGCTGCAATGAACTTTCTACCAGTTTTCTGAAAATGTTCAATTTGAAATATTGTTGCAATCCACCAAATGTAATTATTTAATTTGAGATGTAAATATGATTGAAGTGTTCATACTGTGAGCCTCTACGTATGATCCAGTATGCAATGAGTATCAAAATCATGCAATTGTACTTAAAAGAAATTGCTTGAACATTTGAAATTTGTAATGTTCACTTAACATTGTAAAATTTAAACAACAAAGTATAAATGTGGTAACAACATAACGACATAACCATGCCTGCAGAATGAGCCGAAAACAGTTATCAATTTATAGGTATCAGAGCGTACCATGACTTAGAATCAAATTTGAGCACAGAAGATTAATACATTTTAGAACAGTCATATTTACAAAGAGCTAGCTCACTTTAAAGATGGGAATACATTTTCGACTCATCCTTAAAAATATGTGCATATCATTTGTGCTCGTCTTTCTTTCAGCAACATAAGCGAAAGCATTGAAAATAAAATCAGCAACAGGACTTCTTTAACTGATGAAGTAGCTGGCATTTCTTTGGAACTTGGCTATGTACAAGCTGTGAATGAGGGAGGAAACCCTCTTTGCCTGGCTTGTCAACAGCCAACAACCCAGGTCAGCAAGTATCATAAATCTACAGCTTGGGATACACGATATTGCTCCCAAAAATGTCAGGAAGATTTTTTGGTTCGATCCAATCGATGCTACATGAGATCAAAGGTTTTTGAAGCTGAGCATGGAATCTGCCAGCAGTGTGGCCTTGATGCACAGCAGTTGTTTCTTTGTGTCCGTGATACACAGAGAACCCACCGGAAAGAGCTACTTGAAAATACATGGCTGTCACAGCTTTCCCTCGATCAGGTAACTGCAAGAATTCAAGTTAATTTGTTTTACTTCACGTAAAATTAATTTGCAGTGTTTGCTTGCCCTGCATTTTATTGTACAACAAATTATATTCAGGACTAGATAAAACAAAATGTTTCTGCATTGAGTTTAATTTCATATCCCTGCCTGTACCATGCCAATTGCCCCTTCCTGTCTGCTGCATGTAACTACAGAGTGGGACATATCATTAGTCAATGTTGCTAAAGATGCTGTCCATCTATCTTGTGAAACCTATTTGCTGTGGTCTTTATTCTCTCAGACTTTTCAGTCAGTGTTTGGGGTTTCTAAAATTGAGGAGAAAGATTTGTAACTTGTGCAGTTGTTTTGATCTTCCATTTGGAGTTGATAATCCCTTGCAATTGGATCTGGTATTAAAGCAGAAGATTTTCACCACCCTGAAATGAGTAACCTCTTTCTCACTCCCTCACTCTCATAAGCACATTAATGAACTAGATAGGTTTTTACAACTATTGACAGTGGTTCCATGGTTGCCATTAGGCTAGCTTTTAATTCCAGATTTTTATTGAACTTAAATTTCACCAGCTGCCATGGTGAGATTTGAATCATTCTCCCCCAAAAAATTAGATTAGGATTCTAAATTCTAGTCCAGTACACTATGCCACCACCTCCTTTGAGGAAAGATTGAGGATACCGAGCCTACATTTTCTGGAGTTTAGAAAAGTGAGAAGTAATCTGAGAAATTTAGAATATTTTTGAAGGTATCGACAATGTAGGTGCAGAAAGGATGGGCTTGATTTTTTCTAAGGATTGGCAATCAGTGTCAGATTACAACTGTGTTCCTCTTTTTCTATACTAATTAAGAGCTCCAATCAACACAATCTAATCAAGGCTCCTTTAGAAGTTTGCAGCGAGCTTTAGATCCAAAGGTCCCTCTAGTGTAGGATATCAGGGGGATGTTAAACCATGCCAGCTTTCGCATAGCAGTAGTTGCAGTATTTTGCGATTATCTATCATACTGAACATTTAAATCACTTTGACAGCTCCTGTGAAAGAGTAAGTATGTAAAGTGTGTGGTTTGAATAAGAGGGTGCAGGGTGGGAAGGATGCCAGGTAAGTAATGGAATATTTAGGGTAGGTCAGGGTGCATGCATGCGTTGTTCTGTGGGGGTGGGGTGTCAAGTCCAGTAGCAGGCAGTTGGGGCAAGAAGGAGGTGGGGTGATGGGCCCTGGATGGGGAGATGAAATGGTGTTAAGTCAGCTGGGTGGGGCAAGCTGGGTGTCAGGTTCTGGGAGGTGGAGGGGGTTGGAAGGTCAGGGGTCAAATGAGGTCTATTTGGGGACATGTGTTGTGTTTGGGGTGGGAGGGGGTGCAGTTTAGTAGTTAACCAGAAATTGGATGAGGTTTTTAATTGTTGAACTCTTCCTGGATAACTATTTACTTAACTGCAGTGGAACCCTCCAAAGTCTCTGATTTGATTGGATACTTTTCAGAGCGCTCCAGAATAGGGGAATTGCTGAGCAGAATCTGCGATTTCCTAGGAAATCTGAGTCCGCTGTGCCGGGGTTTCTGTAGAGTGCGATATCTGGGCATTGTAAATTCTGAGCTGATATATTTCCCTTGGCTTTGGGTCTAAAACCAGGGGATACAGCCTCAGAATAAAGGGCAAGCCATTTAGGACTGATATGAGAGTAAACATTTTCACCCTCTGCCCCAGAGGACTGTGGAAGCTCAGTCATTATATACCCCAAGATAGAGATTAATAGCTTTCTATTGACTAATTGCAACAAGGGATATGGGATTGTATGGAAATATGGTGGTTTTGTAGACGATCAGCCATGATCGAGAATGGCAGAGGCAGTTAGAGCTGAATAGTCTACACCTGCTCCTATGTTCCAAAGTACTCCGTCGATCACTTTGCTGCCCCCTCACTTAACCTGCCTATATCTGTTTGCAGCCTTTATGTTCTCTTCACAGCTTGCATTCCCACCAAGCTTTGTATCCAGATTTGCTAATGATAACACTACTTGTTGTCACTTTATCTATTGTTACTGTAGATTATAAATAGCTGTGGTCCACCTACATGCTGTGTTTCAGTGCTATCATGTGAAAACACTGCATCTATTTTCACATGTACACTGACAACACCTAGCTGTACCTCAGCATTGCCTTATTTGACTCTTCTGCTGTCCCTAAACTTAGCCATTTTTCCAACATCCAGTACAAGATAACAGACGGAAATTTTGCTCATTGATTTTTGGTATTGCTAATAATTAATGTCTTTGGTCCTCACAAAAGTTCCTTCACTTAACCACCGTCTCTATCCCTCCCCTGGACTTTATCACATCGAATCCTATTCATTCATCACCAATGCACTCTGACCTCCATTAGTTCCCGGTTAAGTAATACCTTGACTTTAAAATCCCAAGGGGAGACTTTCAAGTCCCTCCATGACTTTGTTCTTCCACTCCTCAACTCTCCAAGATATCCCTGCAACTATAAGTCTGGCCCTGAGTACAACTGAAATGGCTCCACATTGATAGCTATAATTTCAGCTGAGGTTCCTCAGTTCTAGAATTACCTCTTTAAACTTCTCTGCTGGCCTTTCTTCCTTTTTAAAGTCCACCTTTGAATAAGCTTTTTACCATCTGATCCTATATTTACTGGAGTGGATCAGTGTCTTCCTATGAAGTGCCATGAGTATTTTAATACATTGAAATAATTTAATTCTCTAACACTTTTAATTTTTTTTTAGAAAATGCACAAAGCCCCTGTATAGCCCACTCCTGAATCATGACCTAGTTTCTACAGTAATGTTTGTGCAGGAATAATTAAATTACTATAACATAATCTCCTCAAAAGAAATGCTGTTATTGAACATGCTCCCTTTCATTTAAAGTAGCTTTATTTGCAAATAGTTTAAGTTAATTCTTCAATAACTTGTTGTGGCATTAAAATTCATTTAAAAATGTGATTTTTGCTGAAATAGGATACATTTACTTAAGTTTTGGACCGTGAAAAAACTGATTTTTTTTTTGATAATCCATTGGTTTCAGTTGAATGACATGATTTGGAATCCAACTGAGGGACAGTTCTGGCAAGTGGACCATATCAGACCAGTTTTTGGTGGAGGAGGACAATGCTCCCTTGAAAACCTACAGACCCTCTGTACTGTCTGTCATAAAGAGGTTAGTAAACTCGTCTAGCTTTAATCTGATGGTTGATGACACATTTCTTTCCCACAATAGTATTTTTAAAATTATCACCTGTTTCTCAGGTTTTTGACTGTGTGTCATGATTGATAAGAGAAACAAAAAACTGTGTCAGTCAAAGTATTCTTGTTACGTGACATGTAAATATTGTGCCTTATTAAGACGGTACTATGTAATATAAGCACTGGCTTACAGTACTAAGCAGCACTTAAGCCTTAACATTTGCACTCCATCCATCTACCAGGTGCCATAGGAAATAATAATAAATATCAGATGTCATCCACGATCCTGCTGCAGACTGTACAATTAGATTTATCTTGTCCTTAGACTAGAAAGCAGTTATTGTGCTGATGCCATGAAATTTAAATAACTGTATTGTTTTCCCCACCCTTCCCCCAAACAACAATTAAAAAGCTGTTCGTATTGATTTCCTGCGACAATATTAGAACCAATGTGTAAAATTAAGATCAAGGCATTAGGTGGAGCAAGAAAAAGTATTCTTTTTGGGAATTTTTTGGGGGTATTGAACTTTTTATCCTAATGGATATCTCCAAGTTCAGTTTCTTAGCATGCATTTTTATAGGATTTATTATAAATCACATTAAACATTGAAAATCATTCACAATCACATTCTTCAAGATAAGCTTCCAAAACAACAACAAAATCCTGGAAACGCAGAGCAGATCATACAGTATCTACACTATTCTTCTTTTTCATGTGTTAAGTTTCTACTCTGTATGTAATAAGAATGTGGAAAACTGGGCACAAATTACACTGGTAATGTTATAGTTTAAGATTTCCATCCAGATAATTAGTATTTAAAATTGTGCTATCTTTGTGTTGGTTTCACCCAGATTGTGCTGATGAAACAAAAAAAAACAGTGGAATCTACTGCTATGCTAATGTGTATGAATAATATATAGGCTGACACTCAAGTTGACACATTTTCTTGTTGTGAGTTCATAATTTTCCTTGGACCCTGACTGTTTAAGCTGATTAACAAATATTACTGTCCTTTTTTTTATTGTGACATAAACTAATGAGATTGGTAGGAAATTTCAGCAAAAATAGGCACAGCTTAACGTGAAACTTCAGGTGTAACTTGCCAATTCAATCATAAATTCATGTTACTCCCATCCCTAATTGCCCCTGAGAAGGTGGTAGTGAGCTGCCTTGTTGATTGACTGGAGTACTTGGTGGTGTTAGGGAGGGTGCTCCAGGATTTTGACCCAGTGGCATAGAAGGGATGATGACGGTTCCAAATCAGAATGGTGTGTTATTTGCAAGGTGACTTGGAGCGGGTATTCCCATGCATCTGTTGCCCTGTCCTTCTTGCTGGTCGAGACTGCAGTTTACACATATGCAATTTGCAAACACGAAATTTCTTTGCTTGGTTTTTTTAACTAACAGTGACCAGGCTGTTTTTGCACACAACCCAAAGGCTAAAACTACTGATGAGATCAAAGATTCTGCACAAAACGTGGCAGAAATAGTGAATTTGCAATTTAAAAATGCCTGAGACAAATCAGAAACTCTACATTTGAGATGAATAGTTAACTTTGTTCATTCTTGGGATATGAACAGTATTGACAAGGCAAGGCAATATTTATTGTCAGTCCCTATCTGATTAAGAAGAATGTCATATATAAACAAGACCACTTAGGGATGGGAAGTATCTTACCCCACCCCAAAAGGGCACAAGTCATAAAATTAGCTTTTAGTAACAATATAGCAGCTTTCCTCATCGTTTTGTCTGGTTCCCAGTCCACAAGCTACCAGATTTATATCCTAACCTTCAATATACTTTGACTTTCTTATCTCTTGTTATGATCATGGCATTTTTTTTTTGACTCTTTCAACCCCCAAATGCACCATCCTAATCCTGCCAGCCTTCTGACTCAACATGTCATGGGAGCTGGTCTACTGAATTCTTCCCTGTGCATTCAACATCATGGCCCTAACAGAAACCTGGCTGGTAGAGCCCTCCCAACTGAAGCCTCTGCTTCTGGCTATACCTTTCACTATTTGCCTCACCTAGAGTCCAAAAATGCCAGTATAATCAATCTTACGTTATTCAGAGTAACTTGTTCAGGCCGACCAGACATCGTTCCCATTTCTCCCATATCCCTCTGAACTATTCCTATTATTACACCCATCCAGATGCCTTTTAAATGTTACAACTGTGCACCTCCACCACTTCTCTGGTGGCTTGCTCCTTACATGCACCACTCTCTGCATGAAAAAGTTGCACTTTAGGTCCCTCTTAAATCTTTACCTCTAGTTTTGGACTCCCCTACCCTGGGAAAAAGACCTTGACTATTCACCCTATCTATGCCCCTGATGATTTTATAAACCTCCTATAAGGCCACCCTTCAGCTTCCAAGATTCCAGGGAAAAAAGCCCCAGCCTATTCAGCTTCTCCCTAGAACTCAAACCCTTTAGTCCTGGCAGTATCCTTTGTAAATCTTTTCTGCACACTTGTCAATTTTAACAACATCTTCCTGAAGAAGAATGACCAGAATTGTCCACAGTATTCTAAAAGTGGCCTTACCAATGACCTGTACAGTTGCAACATGACATCCCAACTCCTATGGTCAATGTTCTGACAAATGAAAGTATGCATGCCAAAACCATTTTCACCACCCTGTCTACCTGCAACTCTACTTTCAAGGAACTATGCACTTGCAGCGCTAGGTCTGTTTATTTGGCAATACTCCCCAGGGCCCTACCATTAACTGTGTAAGTCCTACACTGGTTTGCCTTACCAAAATGCAACACCTCATTTATCCAAATTAAACTCCAACTTCCATTCTTCGGCCCATTGGCCCATCTGATCAAGGTCCTAGTGTAATTTGCAAACTTACTAGTCTATATTTACATCCAAATCATTTATATAAATGACGAAAAGCAGTGGACCCAGCACCAATCCTTGTGGCACATCGCTGGTCACAGGCCTCCAGTCTGAAAAGGAACCCTCTGCCTCCTACCTTCAGGCCAATTTTGTATCCAGTTGGCTAGCTCCCCTGGATCCCATGTGATCTAACCTTACAAACCAGTCTTATCATGCAAAACCTTGTTGAATGCTTTGCTGAAGTTCATATAGAAAACATCTCATGCTCTGCCTTCATCAACCGTGTCAATTCTTTTCAAAAAAACTGTCCAGTTAGTGAGACTATCCCAAAGCAGTCCAAATGCATGTGTAAACCTGTCAGAACTCCCTCCAATAACTTACCCACCACTGATTTAAAGCTCATCCGGCTGTAGTTCCCTGGTTTTTCTTTACAACCTTTCTTAAATAATGGCACTACATTAGCCAACTTCCAGTCTTCTGCCACCTCACCTGTGGCTGTCGATGATACGAGTAGCTTCCCAGAACTTTGTGGGAAAGATTTACCTCTGGCATTTATCTCTCCTTTTTAGCATCTTATTGTTTTCCACCCCTTTGGTCTTCCATTTAGGATTCTAGCTCTGTACTATTGCCCAAGTACCATGTTAATTTTCTCAACAAGCAACAAGCAACCTTTACTGTTTTCTTCCCTCAGCATTTGTGGGGAGGACTCTTTGAGGACATGAAGGAGAATATTGAAAGTAGGAGAAACGTGGAAGTGTTGCACTTTATCAGCATTTCATAATCTCCATTGTTACAATTTATGAAAACATAAACTTATGTTTTGGAACTGTCTTGAGTTTAAGATAAAACGGGGTTCATGTGAACTGATTTCCAACAGGGTTTAAGTGGTTAAAGGGCATTGTGGATTGTTACTGGGATGATGATTATAAGGTATTCATGTTGTTGGAAATGATTGCAACATTGAGTTACAAGGAGTAGACTTTGAATTTCCCATAATCCCAGAGACATATTTAAAGTATTGGATTGTAAACTGTTCCTTTATTCATTAATGTGATGAGGCTGGCTGGCTAGGCAGCATTTATTGTCCATCCCTAATTACCCAGAAGGCAGTTCAGAGTCAACCACATTGCTGTGGGTCTGGAGTTACTTGTTGACCAGATCAGGTAAGGATGGCAGTTTCCTTCCCTAAAGGGCATTAGTGAACGAGATGGGTTTTTCCAACAATTGGCAACGGATTCATGGTCATCATTAGATCCTTAATCCAGAGATCTAGATAACACTCTGGGGACCTGGTTTCAAATCCTGCCATTACAGATGGTGGAATTTTAATTCAATAAAATATCTGGAATTAACAGTCCAGCAATAATAGCTCGAGGCCATTGCCTCCCCTCTGCTTGTGTTGTAAACAGTTGATTTAATTCTAAGATGAAAGAAAGTTAGAGTTAAGAATGGCTAATCAGCATTTCTACCTGGATGCAAGGCTAATGTACTTTGCCTTGTCATGGGAAGAATGTAGAGGAAGCCAATTTTGAGGTCTGGTTACAGGCTTCCATACAAATCAAGTATCACAGATGCCAATTGTGTGGTCAGCTGACAGAAAATGTTGCTTAGCTTTGCAAACTACCTCAGCTGGATGAGATGGGAAGATGATCTTTAATTGAAGAGATGTATTCTCTGAGGATGCTAGATTTTATTCTGGAATGAGAGGCATCGCATTGTTACCAACAGTGAAATGTGTCTTGATGAATATGAAAGGAGAACATTCCTCTGCATAGTTCAAAGTATAAATTGCCTACAAATCAAAAGGTTAGTCTAAGTGTTTTTGTTATTTGTTGCAGTAAATATTAAAATATATCATAACATGATCATTTTAGCTATTAACTGGAAGTTCAAATTTCTCTTCAAGGATTAGCAGTCTCCACGGAGAGTGCAACACCAGTGGTTAGCACTGTTGCCTCACAGCGCCAGGGACCCAGGTTTGATTCTACCCTCCCGTGACTGTCTGTGTGGAATTTGCACCGTGTTCTCCGTGTCTGCGTGGGTTTCCTCCCATAGTCCAAAGATGTACAGGCTAGGTGGCTTGGCCATTGAAATTGCCCATTGGGCCCGGGGCTGTTTAGGTTAGGTGGGTTAGACATGGGAAATGCAGGGATAGGGGAATGGGTCTGGATGATGCTCTTCGGAGGGGCGGTGTGGACTTGTTGGGCCGAATGGCCTGTTTCACACTGTAAGGATTCTATGATTCTTTTGGAATGTAGATGTTTTAGAAAGTTGTGAGAGCAACACTTTCACAGCAGCTTGTTGGATGTGGACTGGCTGGATGTTTCCTGAGCGATAGAAGCTTTTTAGTTGCAGGGTAACACCTCAGGGAACAGCTGTGTAACTGAAATTGTGTTGAGTTAATACAGTATGGTACTTGACTAAATGTCCTCTTCACTTGTTTTTCATAAGACAATTAATTTACAAAACTGCACATTAGCAATACGTTGGACCCCTTCCAAGCTTTTATTCAGAGACTGCTTCCTTAATGTTTCAATATTGAAACACATTTAATATTGTTTTACAAAGCTAGTGTTTAGGAAACCAAATGATTGATTCACAGTAAGCATTGCTACCTTTTCATTTGAAATGTCTGTGACTGTAAACTGTAATTATAAAAGTTTAGCTAATTGTCTCTCAAGGTAACAGTGAACTAAACTTTCTCCTTCTATAGAGAACAGCAAAACAAGCCAAAGAAAGAAGCCAGGCAAGAAGACTTTCAGATACTTCCAAAAATGCATCAGATATCCGAAGGTTTTTTACAAAGAAATGAAAAAATGATATTTGTAAACCTAACTAGCCATTAACAGGTTCCTGGTTTATTCATGTACTAATTGACTTACTGACTTGTAATTGTTATTATATGTAATAAGACCTTTTAACTTTGCATTAAAAGAGTGACAAATAAATACATAATTCCCTATATCACAAATGGCTTCCAGGTTTCAGACAAAACAGTACGTAATTTACCAAGAACTATGCTACAAACCTAGCTAAGATAGCCATTAAAGTGGAACGTTTAACCAGAATGTCACACCTGAAGATTTCAAGGAAGTTCTTAAAGGGAGAAATGCAGTACAAATTGAACTGTAATCTCGAGTGAATCTGACTGAACATGACAGGTTTTTAAAAAAGATAACATTTGGACAAACAGATGTTTTCCCCTTTCAATAATATACAGGGATAGTACATGCTAGTGAGTAAAGGTGACCATGTGTACCACTGGACTGAAGTGCTTCTGTGTACGAGCCAGAGTTCAAGCACCAGTGTGTTATGAAAGTCAAAGAATCATTCATTAGGGATCTCTACATTGCAGGAAAAGTACTCTCTTGCTCGGAGTACTGGAAGCTAGTCAAAAGGAAACAGCTCAAGAGAATTTCAGCTCACTCGCAAAACCAAGAATCAAAAACTGTTCAACAATCAACTTTGTAACTGTCTATTCTCTTCGAACAGCCCTGAAATTTGTTTTGTTTTATTCATGGGATATGGACATCACTATCTAGATTGGGCAATAAATGCTAGAGGGTAGGTAAGAATCAACCACATTGCTGTGTGTCTGGAGTCACACGTAGGCCAGATCAAGTAAGGACAGCAGTGATCCTGATCGGTTTTTCTGACAATTAGCAACAGTGTCATTAAATTCCAGATTTTTAACAATTCAAATTTCACCATCTGCCATGGCAGGATTTGAACCCAGATCATTACCTAGCTTCTGGATAAATAATCTAGTAATAATAGTACTAGGCCCTTGTCTCCCCCAGTTGATACCTTCCAACAAGGCAAAAAAGCATAATGATCAATACCACTATAGCTATTTGTAATCATTACAGAATAAAGTCTTAAAGTCTAAAACATATGAATCCAAAGTACATCTAAGTCTTTTCTTAATATCCATACATCTGCAATACCACTTCTATACCTGCAACTGAGGTGGAAGCATGTTGCTACTCAAGATGTCTTGTAGCTTGGGGTGTCCTTAGATGTATTCTGCTGCATAATGGAAGTGCCAGAGTCTCTGGCAGAGGGGTTAAGAAGCTGTCCTGTGCAAGTTGCTGAAAACAAGTCACTGACTCACTTGTGACATTGATTTGAGAGTGTGGTCAGGGTGAAGGCAGGCGGATCCAGGCTGGGTGTCTATTTCTGGGGTTGAGGACCTCTGATCTTACCCTTGCACTGACTGGAGAAAATCCTGTAGAGACATCATTAAACTATGGAGCAACTTAAAATTGTCCCTCACCCAACTCCTTGGCTGGTCTTGTCATCTATTGCAGGTTGCCTCTAATTTTTTTTTTTTCCTATTCATTTGTGGGATGTGGGCATCACTGGCTGGCTAGCATTTCTTGCCCATCCCTAGTTGCCCTGGAGAAGGTGGTGGTGAGCTGCCTTCTTGAACCGCTGCAGTCCTTCTGCTGTGGGTTGACCCGTAATGCTATTAGGAAGGGAATTCCAGTTTTGCTGAAATAGCTGTTTTAAACAAGACAACATTGAATACAAGGTTGACATTTGTTTAAATATGATACCAACACTAATCTTTTGAGCCAGCTAGCATTGTACTAATACCTCATTGTACCCTGCTGTTTAATTAAACAGGCTCTGTACCACCAGTTAGTTAAATAACCAGTCACCGAACAATAGTGTTGTATCCTCCAAGTTACTTTTAAGTGGAAACAGCATGACATCAGGAGCTGTAGCCTTTGAACAAAGTTCAGTTCAGTATTTCTAATAATGACAGCATCTCAACACCATGCAATGAAGGCCACAGGCAAGTTATATACATTCATTGAGCAAAACACTAAACTTGCATTGAGAGAATAAAATGGGTACCTTGCATACAAGAGAAAACTGCTTCTTGGAATTTTAAACTGCTAAAAAAAGTGAATTAGAGCTAATAATGCATGGTAGTTTTGAAGTTAGAGGGTAGGAGCACAGCTAAATGAAAGAAAACCAAATGGATTGCTATAGTTTCAATCATTTTTTTAAATAAAATTACCAAAAGCTAAACCCTGAATTAACAATTGTGTGTGCTTCTTTCACACTTTATATTTAAAAATGCTAGCATTCATGATGAAGGCTTGCACTGATAATGGATGGAATGAGAACAAAGTTGTTACTACACACAGTAAATATTTTTGTTAGAACTTATAACCACAAAGATACATGCAGGGAGGATGTTCCTGATGGTGGGTGTGTCCAGAAGCAGGGGTCACAGTCTGAGGATTTCGGCGTAGACAATTTAGGTCAGAGATGAGGAGACATTTCTTCACCCAGAGTGGTGAGCCTGTGGAATTCATTACCACAGGAAGTAGTTAATGCCAAAAAATTGTATGTATCCACTAGATATAGCACTTGGGTGAATGGGATCAAAGGTTATGGGGACAAAGCAGGATTAGCCTGTTGAGTTGGATGACCAGCCATGATCGTGAAAGATGGCACTCACTTCTGTCTTCTACATTAAAGGCTAAATGACATCACAGCCTACCATGACTCAAACTATAAAATATTCGTAATATCACTAGTATTAGAGTTTTAAGCAAGATTTCAGCAGTTCAAAATGAAAGTAATACTGTAATGATAGAGGAATTTAATCTTCAGATTGATAGACAAACAAGGTCTTAACTAAATCACAAACTCAATATAAAATTATATCCTTCTGATCACTTTTTCTAGAGAAATTCTTACCAAGTAATATATCTCATTGCTCAACACTGGATCTAGTTGTTTAACAGCACTGAATACTTTCTATCAACACATCCTTTTCACCTTTAAATCGGAGGAAAAACTATAGGTTTGTAGAACAAGTTAGCTATAGGGACATTAATCCATACAAATCTCTACCCTAGAAAGCACTGGAGTCTAGTTTAGGCACATTTTTGATCTGGTGAGTCCAGGGTTTTTACAAGAAAACAAAAACACCTGCTTTAATAAGATTTATTAATGCAATAAAATTCTTCAAGCATGCACAACCAGCAATGTCTTTGATGTGGAGTACATGTTACAGAACAGAATTCTTCCACATCATTAGTAGTTCTATAAACAATGTTGCTACTCCTGCATTAACCAATATAGCAACTGAACTAATGACCATATCAAAATTCACAATGCACTAATCAGTTTCATTTTACATTTGGACAGTTTCATAATTATAACTATACTTTTTTAAATATTTGTGCTGAAATGGAGATTCAGACCATTATCTGCACTACTGCCAGAATCAACGCAAGTTTTCTACATGTGCATGCATTGTACTTGTTTACACTGCTAACTTGAAAAACATTTAATAGCATTTTAGATTGGGCCACCGATGTTTAACATAGAACCCAAACATATTCCTTTAAAAGTCTACTCGAGTATGTGAACATATGTAGGAATGACATTGAATTATTTGGTATGACAATATTTTAATGGGTTAAATGATCAAATATCCAAATCCTAAAAGAATGATGTATCTGATGAAAATGCTCCAGCTAGACGGAAGTCATCTTTTAACATAACACAGTACATGCGTTGTGGTAAAGATTTGGAGTATGGTGCAGGACGAGGTGCAGATGTCCGGAGAATTATTTCACGTCCAGTTGGAGGAGGAAATTCTGATACTGTTCCTGAGCTTGACCTGTGCTCGTCAGAAGAATCTGGCTTTCTAGGTTCATCATCAATTGGAGTCAAAGTAGCAGTCTTAAATAAAAAGAGATGATTTTTGTTTTACACCAATTACATCTGAACAATGGTTAAAATTAATTCAGTAGTCAGTGACAGGAGCAAAGTAGTAATTTAGTGATATGCGCAGAATTTAATGAGGAAGCCGAAAATTAAGTTGACCAAACATGTAGGTACTGAAAGTGATTCTACAAATATACCTAAAATAATACAATAGGCTCTGTGTTTGAAATCATTCAATGCCTCTGAACCAAGAAACCAGATCAAAACTGACTAATGTTTTTAAAATGCAAATTAATTACTTTATGAAGTGTGAATATACAAGTTCAAATCTGACTCATGGCATACAGCAGACTTGCACTGAATGAACATTGTGCTTTTCACTCAAATTAACAAGTGATTACGATAATATATTTTAATATTTTGAAATATGTATAAAAACTTGGTAAGAAACACTTCCCATAATATTAGTGACATTCTCTCTGAATGATCTGGTCAAGCATATGGGCCATTAAAATAAATCTTGTATTTAAACATAATGAAACAGAAGTCAGAATCATAATGTTTTATGCTAGATTCCTGCCGTTTATACACTATTCTAAAAAAAACTGCATCTACATGAGGCATGATATGAGGGTAATGGAGGAGAAAGGCTGGTCGTTACCTCTTCAGTAGATTCAGCCAGCTTGAGAAGGGTTGAGAGAATAGTAGTATTAGGAGAGAAACAATGATGAAGAAAGGAAAGTCAAGTCAGATGGTTAATAAGGGGTTAAACAAAAGTTAAAATAAATATTTTCATTTTAAAATATGAAAACACCCCTTTGACATAAAACACTAAACTGATCACTATTTAAACAGCCATCACTGGTATTTATTACATAATCAACCACTAGAAATGTCATAAAACAATAGATATGTCAACAGCAATTTTAAATGAACAGGCTATTAATTACCAGAAACCTATAAATGGCGCACAGCAATTCACTAATTTAACTTCACACTTTGCCATTGCTGTTTCAAAAAAAGGGAAGGGGACAGTTTTCATTATTATGCTCAATGAACAGATATTGAATTCCAATGTTCTCTTCTGGCTTGTTACTACTGCTGCCACGGAATCTCCCTTGTTGCTACCATTTTGAAACTAACTGATCTATTCATTTACATGTGCTCCATATAGCTACAGTACCCCATGTGCACATAAGCATCAGTGTATAATTGCATTACTGGCACTGCACTGGATTTACTGTGGAAATGTACAAGGAGAACAGAATAAAGTTAATTCCAAAGGAATAGCAGCTTCCCTGTCAAAAGCAGAAATTGCAATATTGGTTCTCACAACCCAAAAAAAGTTTAAATTAGTTAAATTGCTCGAATTTAGGGGAGGCAATGGCCTAATGGTATTATAGCTGGACTGTTAATCCAGAAACCCCAGATAATGTTCTGGGGACCTGGGTTCAAATCCTGCCATGGTAGATGGAGGAATTTGAATTCAATAAATATCTGGAATTAAGAATCTAATGATGACCATGAATCCATTGCTAATTGTCAGAAAACCTCTCTGGTTCACTAATGTCCTTTAGAGAAGGAAATTGCCATCCTTACCTGGTCTGGCCTACATGTGACTCCAGACCCACAGCAACATGGTTGGCTCTTAACTGTCCCCTGGATAATTAGGGATGGGCAATAAACGCTGCCTAGCCAGTGACGCCCTCATCCCATGGAAAATAAAAAATTATTCATCTATGTACTTAACTGACCTCTTGGGTAGTATTCTGTCCTTTCCAAAAACAGCTGTAACTTTGATAACTCTCCATTAAGAATTTTTACAACTTTAAGAAAGCTAGGATTGGAAGATCCAAGTGTACATAATGTAAGGATGCTTATCTTAACCTGGCAATAGCTATATCTGTGCTTAGAGCCTGTATGGTACATTTGTAAGACTATATCATCAATAGGGTGTTAACATGCTGCTGATCATTGCTCAGTAAATTGTCTATTCCTTGTTTCTAAAAAATTCAAAACAATTCAATCCTCATTTATTATTCCAATATTTTGCCTTCTCGTGGCATAAAAGAAAGAATTTGGATGATCTCATGACATCTCAATCTACCAAACAACCAACGAACTGTAGGCATTGCAATATTTTAGAAATTGCAATGGCCAGTTTGTGCACTGCAAGATCCTACAAACAACACTGTGATAATGACCAGATAATCAGATTTTCTCCCGTCATGTTGTTGAGGGATAAATCTTAGAGACAACTCGCCTGCTCCTATTCAAAAATAGCAATTGACTTGTTGAGATGGTTTAACATTTCACCTGAAAGACAGCACATCCACGAGTGCAGTTTTTCCTCTCACAACAGATTTTTGTGCTAACCCTGTGCAGGGAACTTGTACCCATAATCTCTGTTTTAGAGGAGACACCCACTGTGCCATAGCTAACAGAGCAATTGACTCACAGGATGGCAAGTCACTTGATTTCATTTTGTGGCATGCTGTACAGAGAGCTGTAATGTATTAATGCAAACAGCATTTCAAATGATTCTGTCCATGTTATGTTCAGCAGACCTTAACTGAAAGCATGAAGGACAATGCACAAATATTCTAATATTTATTTATTTGTTAGATCCCTTCACATATTTGCTTGGATTGGAGCCTTTAATAATTTCCTCAGCAATATATATTGCATTGCATACTGTTCAGTTTCCAATGTAATAAAGTATGAAATTGACCATGTGTTCACTCGCACATTCCCTTGAACTGTGTTATTAACCGGAAGGAAAAAAATGGTACTGCATACCATAATCTTTACAAGATGGGCAGAACAACTGACAAAAATAATTGCTGTATTTTTTTTAAAAAAAGAAATCCAAACATTGACAGATTCAATTTCAGTTTGTCCTCACCCTCTGTGCATTCACAAATAGTTTGTAAATAATGCTCCCTGTAGGCCCTCGTCCTGCTCCAATGACTGGTACTTCAGGCTGTTCTAAGAGTTGGCTCACGAACCTAATGGAAAAAAAATTAAACCAGTGAATGATACGTGAGAAAACTTCATCAATCTTCTGAATGTCTACTAGTATGCCCATTTCAGTTCAATTTTAGACAAATTCCAAGGCTAGATTTGCATGAAACTGGTAGAAACATCAAAAACTGAGCGCTTATTATGCAAGACAGGCAAATTATCATTGAGCACATTAATAATCCATACTTTTAAGCAAAATCACAAATATTGTACTACATGTCAGTAATATTCTAAGTATATCTAAATCTGTATGACAATGCTTCTATTTCAATGCCACTGTTCAAGGAAAACAAGAATACCATTAGATTAATCAATCATTATTTGTTAATGTAACAAAGAGCCACAGCTCGACGTGACACAGTTCCCCTAAAGAGAAAGGCACTGCTGCAGGGGGCTAGAACATAGGAGAGTTTACGCCCTAAAATTATTGAAAACGATATTGAGTCTGGAGGGCTGCAGGGTCCCCAAGCAGAAAATGAGGTGATGTTCTTCCAGCTTGCACTGAGCTTCGCTGGAATACAACAGCAAGCCAGGGAACAGGGTGGTGCATTAAAGTGGCAGGCAACAGGTAGTTCAGGGTCTTTTTTGCAAGCAGAACTTAGACATTCTGCGAAGTGGTCCCCAAGTCTGCACTTCGTTTCGTTAATGTAGAGGAGACCACACTGTGAGCAGAAAATGCAGTAGACTAGATTGTGGAAAGTGCAGGTGAAGTGCTGCTTCACCTGGAAGGTATGTTTGGGACATTGGATACTGGGAAGGGAGGAGGTAAATGGGCAGGTGTTACAACTTCAGTGGTTACAAGGGAAGCTGCCGTTTTGCTCTGGGGGTGTTGGCAGTGAAGAGGAGTGGACCAAGGTGTCCTGAAGGGAACGATCCCGGTGGTGGCATCTCACCAGAGGCGGCAGAAACGGCATCCGATGATCTTCTGGATATGGATGCTGGTGGGACGGTAGATAAAGACAAGGGGAACCCTATTGCTGTTGTGGGAGGGAGAGGGGGTGTGGGCAGGAGTGTGGGAGATGGGTCAGACTCCGTTGAGGGTCCTGTCGACAACAGTGCTGGGGAAGATGTTATCTCCGATTTCTCTTCACAGATGCTGCACCCTCTCAAGTTCAACAACATCCTTCCTATAGAAGGGCGACCAGAATTGAGTGCAGTATTCTAAACTGTCCTCACCAATGTCCTGTACATTCAAGGCTGAGATAGACAAATATTTAAATCAAGAAGAAAAATAAAGGGTTATGGGGAATAGGCAGGAAAAATGGAGGTGAGGATTATCAGTTCAATGATGAACTCACTGAATAGTGGGGCAGATTCAATGCGCGTAACTGCCTACTTCTGCGCCTACGCCCTATTGGCTTTTATGGGTTCTGGAATGCTGGTCCAGTGACATTAGCACAGTGCCCCCAGTCCCTCAAGAATCCAATTTATTTTTTATTTTAACAACCCACCTCAAATTTATCAATTCCTTATATAAGGATTAACAAAAAAAAACTAAAGAACCCAGTTATTTTCATTACAAGTAAATTACAAGCAACAAGAGTGAAAGTGAGGGAAGGTTAGGGAAGAGGAATTGGCTAAATTAAAATGGAACTGGAGGGCAAGATACTGCACTCCTATCCCCATGCTGTCCACCACTCTCTACAGACTTTGAGGGAGCTGGTGGGTACCATGGTGCTCCCTCTTCAAGGGCATTAGAATGGGATTAAAATAGATCGTTGATTTTGACCGACATAGGTGCGACAGGCTGAAAAGTTTTTTTCTGCGCTGAGGACCTCTATGACATCCAGACACAAAAGTAGCTGTGGAAGAGATGCCTATGGTCAGGAACAATGAGTAACTCCATGGCTCATTGTCTAGACCTATTGATGGTTCTTTTCGCCAGTCCGAAGAACCCAGTTTTTTATGTGTACTTTCTATCGAGAGATGCTTTTAAGTACCACAGAACTTTTTTAAACCACCACTAAAAAACCTGCTACTTTCTTTTAAAACATTTTTTTCACCACCAAAACACCAATGCTTCAAATTAAACAAAAAATTTACAAGCATCAGCATTAGCACAATTACTAGTAGTAGTTAGGAAAGGTAAGGAGACAGGGAGGGTAAAAAATTAAAATGGAGTTGGAGGTGAAAATATGGCACTCCACTGTCATGGTGCAAACCTCTCTCGAAAGTTTCAAGGGTATTGGTGGATGTGTATGATCCTTCTCCAAGGACACCAGGTACAAACATAGCTGTTGAACATAGGCTAGCAAACAGGATCTGTGACCACCAAACCGACTGCTTGGACCTGTTGATGGTTACCTTAGCCAGGCCCAAGAACTTAGTTCTTTGTAGGTATTTCTAATCAGCCTGATCAGATGTGTTGGGGCACACCTCTGGAATAAGTGAGACTTAACTTCTGGCTCAGAGGTAGAGACACTAAAAAACCCAGTTCTTTGTTTTTTCTGTGTACACACTAACAAGTTGACTCATCAAAACAACCAAAAAAAAAGCCAAAAAAAAAAAAGAATCAGCAAGCATTGCTCACCACGGGCAGTTCAACATAAAAGCCAAAAAGATAGACAAAACAAGGGAGGGATTAAATCAAAACAGTGTTAGGAGAGAGATAATGCACTCCAGCCCACCTCTTTCTAAATAGCCTTAAGGGTACCAGTAGACAATGTCAACTCCCTCTCCAAAGATACCCAGGTACAAATGAAAGAACCAGTTCTCGTTGATTAAAAAATATCCATCTGTTCAGAGATGCTATCATAGAATCATAAATTAACTAATTCCTACAGTGCAGATACAGACCATTCAGCCCGTCGAGTATACCCCTCCAGATCCCCACTATATCCACATAACACCGCATTTACCATGGCAGATCCAACTAGCCTGCACATCCCTGGACACTGCAGGGCAATTTAGCATGGCCAATCCACCCAACTTGCTGATCTTTGGACTGTGGGAGGAAACTGAAGCACCCAGCAGAAACCCACACAGACATGGGGAGAATATGCAAACTCCACACAGACACTTGCCCAAGGCTGGAATCGAACCACAATGCTAAACACTATGTGTCTCCGTGCCACCCAAAATTACACATCTCTGGGAGCTGATGGACTTGAACCCAGGCCTCCTGGCTCAGAAGTAGGGGAACTACTACCACAAGTGCCATTTTTAAAAAAAACAAATCAACTGATTCAGACATGTTATGACACCTTCAGAGCAGGGAGGACTTAAACCCAGGAAACCTGGCTCAGAGGTAGAGCCACAACCTCTGCATCACAAGTATCTTAGTTTCATATTTTCTAATCACCCTGTTTAGAGATTTTATTACATACCTGTGGAGCAGAAAGGAGTTCAACCCAGGTCTCCTGGCTTAGAGGTAAGGATACTGCCATTATGCCACGAGAACACTTTGGCACTTTTTAATATTTTCTAATCAACCTGTTCAGCAATGTTATTGCAAACCACTAGAGCAGATGGGATTTGAATCCAGACCGCCTGGCTCAGAGGCCAGGGTAAATACCACTGCATCATCAACTGCTCTCAATCAACTGAAGCTTTTCTGCTTTACCCTTAAAGGGATTTGCACTTCTATCACTAATTAACACTGTGTGGGATTACTGTACAGCATGTTTGCAGCCTAGTTGGGCAGTAAAAGAGGAGGTCCTTCATTCGAAGGCACTCAGTACTTGGTCATAGGTCCTGGCAACAAGCCGTAGGCTACCCATTGACGAAACACATTGTCAGAGTCCACCTCCCAAGGCTCCATCCTGGTATCATTTTCCCTTTTTCAGGGATCCTTAGTAAATGTGCAGGAGAGTTACTAGCATTAGCCACCACTCCTGGAAAGCTTCTGGCCTGCCTGGCTAAGCCCTCGGGGGGCAGCATTTCCCCAATGGGGTAGGTTCCATAATGAAATCTCCCTCATGGAGCCAGGAACCCTGGTGACAGGTTTCCCTCTTCAGATTAGGAACTTCATTCCCTTGGTCGTGCCAGAAATTGGGTTGGCAATGGGACTAAAGTGACACTATTGGTAAGAAATTGTAAAAATAATTATCAAGTTACTGATTAGGAAAGCAATATCATACATCCTTCACCTCTCCAATTCTTCACGTTCCTCTTCCTTTTCACATTTCTGGATTCCAAATTTAGCTTGAAGTGATCTGGATCTTGCAATAATGGCTTCTGAAGCTATTATCTGACCAATTATCTCCTAGAAAAAAATACCATATAGTTGTTTTCTAAAAGGTCCATTTTACAAAAATTATAAATATTCTTGATGGGTAATGCCAGCAAAACTTACTTCCAATTTTTTGATATCAGGGTTTGAATATCTTAGAAGTTTGCTAGCATGAGCAATAATCTGCTGAATTATTTTTCTCACAGAGGGGATATCTTCCATTGATTCTGTTGAACATAGTAAATAAATTAGCTGTACCATTACTACTGAAAGGACAAAGATAAAGTAACACACGTGAAGACCATAAAGTAGAATAAAGGCTTAACAAACAACTTAAGTCAATTAGCACCTTAGATTGAAATTCTACAAAATGCTGAAAACTTTCAATCATAAACAACTACAAATATTTAAAAATGTTAATGTTATATCTGGTGTATTCACAAAACAGTTTTACCTTCTTCTTTCACTTTCAGCAATGCAGCATGCAAAATGCATGGTAGTAAATGTCGAGTCAAATCTGCAGGTTTTAGGCCAACTAAATAGTGAAGAACCTGAAAAGGAAACATGTCTTATTAAATGGGTCTAAATTTGCAAACAAGTACCATTAAATTATGGCTAAAATCCCATGAGTAGAGCCTTTACAAAAAATGCATCAGATATTATGTTATCTTACCAGTGAAGACTTTGTAAATTACATCATCCTTCTGAGGAAGGGTCACCGGACCCGGAATGTTAACTCTGATTTTTTTCTTCACAGATGTTGCCAGACCTGCTGAGCTTTTCCAGTAACTTCTGTTTTTATTCCGGATTTACAGCATGCGCAGTTCTTTCAGTTTTTATTAAGGTTTCTCTGATCTCTGCCCATAAAGTCTGTCACACCTGGTATGTGCTTAGTAAAATTTCTTCTGTACTTTCTCCTTCGATTGGATATCCTTACTAAAGTAAGACACTCAAAACTGCAGTCTAACGAATGTTTTATACAGATTGTTTGTTTGATTTCGTACTGTATGCTCTGTATGAAAATTTAGAATTCTGTAGCTTGTGCATCATAGAGTTATCGACCCGTTCTCCTAGATCTTAAAAGATGTTTGCATGTAAATTAAGTTTCTGTATTTTGCTACTTTTTAAAAGATCTACTATTGAGTGTACATTTCCTATCCTCCTCCTCTATAATTTTATCTGACAGTCTGTTTAATTTAGCAATTTATAACGTCCTGAAGTTATTAAAGATATTGTTTACATTTCTATTATCTGTGTATTTTGATATTGTGTATTTTTACCTGGGAAATATCACCCTTCACATCCGTTTTCCATCTGCTAAAAAAACACGAATTACACAACACTATATTGTCTGTACTGACAGCAAAAAATGCTGGAGATCATAACGGATCAGGCAGCATCCATGCAGAGAGCAAGCTAACACTGAGTCTAGATGACCCTTCATCAGAGCTACCATGTTGTCTATCTTGTCATCAATATTTTGTATTTTTATGATCATATTTCTTTTCTATTTATACAGTTCCAATGCTACAACTTACCAAATGACTGAAAATCCATACAAACACCACTCACTCTATTACCTTAATCAACACATTCCATCATTTCTCTAAAGGGATCTATTAAATTATCTTTAGTCAAAGCCCCAACGGCTGTCCTTAATTAACGTATAACTTTAGTCAATTTTATGCCCTGTAAAGCAGCAATGTCCACTAAATCTGCTGACTAGACATATTCATGGTTACAGCCACACAATATTAGCTACATGCACTAATTTTAGTCAAAAGCATCTTACATATTTTCACAACACAGGTAGATGAGCTTTACACGTACGTTTACTTAAACTTGTGTTATTATTCAATATCACTTTACTGATAGACACACAGAAAACGCAAGGTTATACACTATGCATTGAAGGCTACCAAAATCATACGCTGACAAAGGCATCTATTACTCATTTGCTTACCTCACAGTCAATGATTTGGACAACAATGGTCCCTCAAAGCTTTTCTACAATTAATATTAAGTTATGGTTACTCATTGTTATCTCTGTTTCGCTTGTAGAAATATAGCCTTACAAACTTATGGTAAAACTTTCATATTGCAACAGCCAATCATTTATGGGCTGACTTCTGTTAGTACTGTGTAACAGGCCTGTGTTTCCCCCACTTTGAAAGTCACCAACATTTTCAGTACTGTCTCCACAATTATTATTAGTCTATTTAATTGGCTACATCTCCTGCTCATGAATCTTTCCATTTCCAACATCAATACTCACCTGTAAAGTGAAGCGAAGAATAACGTCATCACAAAATTTCTCATCTCAAATTCTCTCTAATCCTTATTATCCTGCTTTTCAAGTGCCTAAGATCCTTTGCTATTTTCCCAAACTGCAAACTGCTTTCACACGTCTCTCAGCACTTTTTTTTTCCTCTCACAATTGCATCATTAGTGTAGCTATTTAAATTAGTTATACCTTTTCAGCCTCCCTTGTGTCATCAAAGAGACGTCTTTGTCGTCGAGCAGGAATTGACTTTGCTGTTTCCCATGCCTCCACCCACATGTTACCAGGAATTTTCATTCTGGCACTTAACTCTCCTCTGAGAACTTTGTCACCTGTTTCATCAGTGAATTCTTCCTCAATGTAGTCACGAGGAGAATACCACCTCACAAAATCTTCCAGACAACAGCCAGGATTTGCAGCCTAAGAAACAAATCAATTGAGTCACAAAATTATTTTAATTGAAAATTTAAGTTATTTTCTTTAAGTAGCAGTGGTTATTGTTCAAGTGTTTATTAAAGAAAATTTACTTCATGTAACCCCAGGCAATTAAACATCAGCATACTTTTGCATCTACCCACTACCCTCCTCTCCAAAGAGTTATCAATTGGTACTAGCAATTATTGCCCATCCTCAGTTGCTCTTGATAAGCTGCTTTCTTGAACCACTGCATATCCCCCAATGTTACTGGGAAACAGCTCCAAGACTTTGAACCAGTGACACAGAAGTAACAGCAATACCTTTCCAAGTCAAAATGGTGAGTAGCTTGGAGAGGAACTTGCAGGTGGGAATGTTTCCACGCATTTTTTTTTATTCATTTGTGGGATGTGGGCATCGCTGGGTGGCCAGCATTTCCTGCCCATCCCCAGTTGCCCTCGAGAAGGTGGTGGTGAGCTGCCTTTTTGAACTGCTGCAGTCCTCCTGCTGTGCATCTTGTATATAGTACACACTGCTGCTCCTGAGCGTCGGTGGTGGAGGAGTGAATGCTTGTAGATGTCGTGCCAATCAAGCCAGCTGCTTTGTCCAGATGGTGTCAAGCTTCTTGAGTGTTGTTAGGGCTGCACTCGCCCAGGCAAGCGGGGAGTATTCCATCACAATCCTGACTTATGCCTTGTAGATGGTACATAGGCTGTGAGGAGTCAGGAGGGGAGATACTCACCACAGTATTCCCAGCTTCTGGCCTGCTCTTGTAGCCACTCTGTTAATGTGCTGAGTTCACTTGAGCTTCTGGTCAATGGTAACCCCCAGGATGTTGACAGTGCAGGATTCAGTGATGGTAACACCATTGCATGTCAAGCGGCGGTGGTTAGATTGTCTCTTATTGGTGATGGTCATAGCCTGGCATTTGTGTGGCGTGAATGTCACTTGCCACTTGTCAGCACAAGCCTGGAAATTGTCCAGATCTTGTTGCATGTAAACATGGAATGCTTCAGTATCTGAGGAGTCACAAATGCTACTGAACATTGTGCAATTATCGGTGAACATCCCCACCTCTGACCTTATGATGGAGGGAAGGTCATTGATAAAGCAGCTGAAGATGGCTGGGCCTAGGACACTACCCTGAGGAACTCCTGCAGAGATGTCCTGCAGCTGAGATGATTGACCTCCCACAACCACAACCATCTTCCAATGTGTCAGGCATGACTCCAAACACTGGAGCGTTTGCCCCCGATACCCATTGATTCCAGTTTTGCTAGGGCTCCTTGTTGCCACACTCGGTCAAATGCAGCCTTGATATCAAAGGCTATCACTCTCACCTCCCCTCTGGAATTCAGCTCTTTTGTCCATGTTTGAACCAAAGCTGTAATGAGATCGGAAGCTGTGTGGCCCTAGCGGAACCCAAACTGGGTGTCAATGAGTAGGTTATTTCTGAGCAAGAGCTGCTTGACAGCACTGTTGATGACACCTTCCATCATTTTACTGATGATCGAGAGGAGACGGTAACTGGCCGGGTTGGATTTGTCCTGCTTTTTGTGTACAGGACATACATGGGCAATTTTCCACATTGTCGGGTAGATACCAGTGTTGTAACTGTACTGAAACAGTTTGGCTAGTGAAGCAGCAAGCTCTGGAGCACAAGTCTTTAGTACTATTGCCAGAATGTTGTCAGGGCCTGTAGCCTTTGCAGTATCCAGTGTCTCCAACTGTTTCTTGATATCATGTGGAGTGAATCGAATTGGCTGAAGACTGCTATCTGTAATGCTGGGGACCACTGGAGGAGGCCGAGATGGATCATCCACTTGGCACTTCTGCCTGAAGATCACTGCGAATGCTTCAGCCTTATCTTTTGCACTGACGTGCTGGGCTCTTCCATCATTGAGGATGGGGATATTTGTGGAGCATCCTCCTCCAGCGAGTTGGTTCATTGTCCACTACCATTCACGACTGGATGTGGCAGGACCGCAGAGCTTAGATCTGATCCGTTGGTTGTAGGATCGCTTAGCTCTGTCTATCACTTGCTGCTTTCACTGTTTGGTGCGCAAGTAATCCTGTTTGGTGGCTTCACCAGGTTGATAACTTATCCTCCAGTATGCCTGGTGCTGCTCCTAGCATGCCCTCCTGCACTCTGCATTGAACCAGGGTTGATCCCCTGGTTTGATGGTAATGGTCGAGTGGAGGATATGCCGGGCATTGAGGTTACAGATTGTGTTGGAGTACAATTCTGCTGCTGTTGATGGCCCACAGTGCCTCATGGATGCCTAGTCTTGTGTTGCTAGATCTATGCAAAGTCTGTCCCATTTAGCACGGTGATAGTGCCTCACAACACGATGGAGATTGTTCTCAATGTGAAGGTGGGACTTTGTCTCCACAAGGACTGTGCGATGGTCACTCTTACCGATACTGTCATGGGCAGATGCAACTGCAGCTGGCAGATTAGTAAGGATTAGGCCAAGTATGTTTTTCCCTCTTGTTGGTTCCCCCACCACCTGCCACAGACCCAGTCTAGCAGCTATGTCCTGTTGGACTCGATCAGTAGTACTGCTGCCGAACCACTCTTGCTGGTGGACACTGAAATCCCCCACCCAGAGTACATTTTGTGCCCTTGCCATCCTCAGGGCTTCCTGTAAGTGTTGTTCAACATTGAGGAGTACTGATTCATCAATTGAAGGAGGACAATATGTGGCAATCAGCAGGAGGTTTCCTTGCCAATGTTTAACTTAAAGCCATGAGACATCATGGGGTCCGGAGTCAATGTTGAGGACTCCTACAGCAACTCCCTCCTGACTGTATACCACTGTGCCGCCCCCTTTGCTGGGTCTGTCCTGCCGGTGAGATTATAAGGCATGATTCTGTGAGTATGACTATGTCAGGCTGTTGCTTAACAAGTCTGTGAGACAGCTCTCCCAATTTTGGCACTAACCTCCAAATGTTAGTGAGGAGGACTTTGCACGGTCTGTTTCTGCTGTTGTCTTTTCCGTTGCCTAGGTTGATGTGTCCAGTTTCATTTCTGAGTCTTTGTAGCAATTGGTACATCCGAGTGGCTTGCCAGACCATTTCAGAGGGCGGTTGAGGGTCAACCACATGGCTGTGGTTCTGGAGTCACGTAGGCCAGACCAGCTGAGGGTGGCAGATTTTCTCCCCTTAAGGATCTTAGTGAACCAGATAGGTTTTTCTGACAATCGGCAAGGATTTCATGGTGATCAGTAGATTCTTAATTCCAGACTTTTTTTTCTTGAATTCCAATTCCACCATTTGCCATAGTGGGATTCGAACACGGATCCCCAGAACATCTGCTGGGTTTCTGGATTAATAGTCTCGCGATGATACCACTAGGCTATCGCCTACCCCTGCTGCCCTTGTCCTTTTAGATGGCAGTGGCCGTGGGTATGTATGGTCTTCAAAAGCCTTGAGTGATTTCTGCACTGCATCGTGTAGATGGCATACAGTGGCATTACTGAGTGCTGGTGTTAGAGGTACTTAATGTTTATGTGCGGGGTGGCAGCAAGCAGGTTGCTTTGTCCTGGATGGTGTCAAGCTTTCTGATTGTCTTTGGAGTTGCACTCTTCCAGGCAATTGGCAAGTATTGCATCACAATCCTGACTTGCACTGTGCAGATGGTCAACAGGCTTTGGGAAGTAAGAAATGACTTACTCACTGCAGGAGTCTGAGCCTCTCACCTGCTCTTATCGTCACAGTATTTATATGGCTAATCCATTTCAGTTTCTGGTCAAAGGAAATCTCCCAGATGTTGATATCAGAGGATTCGGCGACAGTAATGTCATTAAATTAAAAAAAAAAGAAAAAAATCGAGGAACAATGGTTGAATTCCCTCTCGTTCGAGATGGTCATTGCCCAATACGTGTGTGGTGCGAATATTTCTTAGTACTTGTCTGTCCGAAGCTGATATTGTCCGGGTCTTGCTGCATTAGGACATGGACTCCTTCAGTATCTGAGGAGTTATGCATGATGCAGAACATTATGCAATCATTAGCATGACCTCCAATCCCATGCACTTTAATTTTGCATGCTAATTTCTTACATGGAACCTTATCATATGACTCCTGAAAATCTAAGCAAAACACATCCACTGGCTTCCTTTTGTCCATGCTACCATGATCAAAATACTCCAGCAGATTTGTCAAACAATTTCACTTCCATAAATTGTTTGGCTAACAGAAATGTGGGTCCATTATAGGTAGTCTGGAGAATTTATAAAGGGCAACAGAGAAATGGCAACGAAGCCAATGATTATTTTGTGTCTGTTTTCACTTGAGAAAAATACAAGAAATCTCTCAGATCTACAGATCCAAGTGGCTAGAGAAAATGAGTGAAGGAACTTAATATTAGTTAGAAGACTGAACTAAAGGAATTAATGTGGCTGACAATTGATAAATCCTAAGTCTACATTTTGGAGTGCTGAAGGAGATGGCTATAGGGATAGTAGATGTATTGGTGATTATCTTCCAAAATTCGATAGATTCTGCAATGATTCCTTCAGACTGTAAGGTGGCAAATGTGATCCTGTTATTTAAGAAGGGAACAAAGCAGAAAACAGCGAATTACTGACCTGCAAGACTTAGGTCAATAGAGAAAATCTAGATTCTATTTTAAAGAATGTGATAAATAGATAAATGGATGATAATGATCTGAGCATAATCAGAATAGAAAATCAACAGGCTCGTCAAACACAGTTTTTTTGAAAACGTTACAAACAAAATTAATAAAGGACAGCAAATGGACATTGTATGTTTATCAAAAAACTCTGAAAATCTAAAGTCCCCACAGAAGGCTAGTGAGAAAAATTAAACCACATGGGATAAAAAGTAATGAAGTGGCATGGATTAGCAATTGGCTAACAGACAGAAGAAATAAATGGATCATTCACACACTTACAGGCTGTTACAAGTGGGCTACTAAGAGAATCAAGATCTGGTCCTTGGTTGTTCACAATATATGTCAATGAAATGGATGGGGAGTGGGAGGATAAAATATATTTCCAAATTTGCGAATGATACAATGTGGGAATCAGCATTGCAAGGAAGACACAAAACAGCTTCAAGAGGATTTAGACAAGTTTCCTGTCTGGATACGAATATAGCAGATAGAATATAATGAAGAAAAATGAGAGGTTATCCACTTTTCTGATTAGAACGGATTTGCAGAGCATTTCTTATATAGGAGGTTGGAAAATGTAGATGTACAAATGGACCTGGATGCTCTTGTCAATTTGTTATCGAATACTAGCATGCAGACTATTCGGAAGACTAATGGAACGTTGGCCCTTATTGCAAAATGGTTTGTGTACAATAGTGAAGTCTTGCTCCAAATGTTTGGGAACTTAGTTAGATTGCAGCTGGAGTATGGTGTGCAATTTTGGTTTCCTTATCCCATGAAAGGTATTATTGTCATACAGGGAGTGGAACAACGGTTCACCAGACTTGTTCCTGGGATGGTGGGTCTGTACTTTGAAGAGAGTTTGGGCAAACTGGACCTGTATAGAGTTTTGAACAATGAGAAGTTATCCCATTAAAATTGCCAAAATACTTAAAAGGGATAGACAGGGTAAATACAGGTGAGATTTTTACCCTAGTTGGGGAGGGAGCTATTTCAGAGGAAATAGTGGGACTACAAGACGCATATTCCCATAAAGACAAGGGATGGCACTAAGACCAGGAACTCTGCATATCAAGGAATATAAAGCTTATAATTAAGAAATAAATAGAAACTTATTGCAAATACCAAAGACCGAATATACGGAGTCACAAGTATAAAAAATGGCAACTTGGAAAGGAAATCAGGAAAGCAAAAGGATTGCGTAAGAAAGAATCAGTTGGTAGAATAAAGAACAACCCAATGGGGATTTTTAAATATATAAAGAGCAAGACAATAACTAGGGGAAGAGTAGAGCCTGTTACAGACCATCATTAGACTTTTAACTCCAGATTTTATTAAGCTGAAATTCCATCATTTGCCACAATGGATTTCCAACCCACATCTCGGAATATTACCTAATGTCTGAATTATTAGTCCAGAAACAAAACTACTACATTAATCATATCCTTTTCTAATAATATACATATCACTTGATCTTCTAGTGCATTTGAAGTGATGTTACTGCATTTCCGCTGTTGCACAATGATGTAAAATAATGCATCTAATTAAATAAATTTGTGCATCATAGCAGCACAACATCCTTCTGTTATACAGTACAATTCGGAATGTACTACAGCCAACCCTTTCCATTCAATCAAATGACATTTTTAATTGGGTGATGTTCCCCTAAAGTTTGGTGATTAGGGACAATGGGATTTGGAAAAAATTCTTTTACCTTGAAAGATTCCATGTCTGACAGCAAACAGGCGCTCTGCATTCTAGCACGTAGATGTGCTCCTTCAGCTGATGTTCCCAATTTAGCTAATACTTCTGACTGTTCTTCCAATAAATCTTCTGTCATTGGTGCTGGTTCCTGACAGGAAGAAAGTTTCAGTAAATCAAAATGATTGTGTTAGGTTTGTTCCCTGTGCTTTCTGGTAATTGTGGAAAGGAGGGGAGGAGAAAGCCTGATAAAGAGCAAGAGAATACACCTTAGATTGATCTAATGATACATTGAATAATAATTTGATTATTATACAATACTGAATTGTGAAAAATCTAACAGACCATTCCTGACTTTACCATGGCTCTTTTTCAAAATTTCTTGATTTGGTCATGGTTATAAGATCTATCATCCAAGCTGAAGGTGGTGAAAGGGAATGGGAATGTAAAGTATCACATTATCATTGTATTATAACTGGTTCCTTTTGCACTGTCGGTATTTCTTGAACAGATGGTTACATACAAGTGTGTGTTGATAAATGTGTGATTTTTTTTCCATTTGATTGTTGTTGACCAGTCTAGTTCCAATGACCTTGCTTATTAGGATGTATGGATATTTTAAAGTAAAGGAAAATCCTAGGTGTTTACAAAATTATCTAGGGCTAGGAATTCTGATGACATCTCTACCCCCTGCTATAACTTTTCAGCTGTTTAAGCAAATCCTTCAGAGGGTCCTTCAACTTGATAAGCGCACACACATATCCATTCTGTGATTATCACTGAAGCGCTACAGTAGAAAACAGTTGTCATTTAATTAAAAGTTGTGTAGAATCTGCAAATTATTTTTAAATGTTTAAAAGTCAATTTTGAAAGTTTCTATCAAATCTGACAGCATCACTTGAAATTTTCTGCACTAATAAGAAATACTCCATCATGTGATCTGGAGGCCCTCAAAATGAAAGTACTGTGTACAGAAAAGAAGTAAATAAGAGAGCCAAGTGACTTGCAGACTATAAGGAGAACCACAGACACAAAGAACAGCTACATGCAATGGAGCTGAAGGATCATAGCTGGGTTGCACACAAAGAGAAAGCAGACAGGAACAGAAATAGGAACACACTGAACTCCTGAAAAAGAGAAAAAGCAAATCACTCTCAGGAAGGGGCAACAGGAACTGCAGATGCTGGAGAATCTGAGATAACAAGTTGTAGAGCTGGATGAACACAGCAGGCCAAGCAGCATCAGAGGAGCAGGAAGGCTGACGTTTCGAGCTTCGACCCCCCTCCTTCATTTTCTGAAGAAGGGTCTAGGCTCGAAACGTCAGCCTTCCTGCTCCTCTGATGCTGCTTGGCCTGCTGTGTTCATCCAGCTCTACACCTTGTTATCTCACTCTCAGAAAGGGGGTCAGTTTTTTGTTGGACTGTAAAGAAGACGGGAGGTCTTGGAGTCAATGTGCGAGCTGCTAAAAAGAGATTTATAATAATTCATGCATTCACAAACATACTATAGGTGCAATGAGATTTAATAATCAGGATCAGAAATCCTGCCCTATTATTTTCAAGGTGAACTTGAATGCATCAATGTTAACTCAACAGAGATCAATAAGTTTAGCAGCAACCTGGAAGTGTTTGTCAGTCTTTCTGCTTTCTTGGTAAATGTATCCACTTGGCCAGAGATCTCATGAAATACTTTGAATCTATTCACAAGGGACGACTTTAGAAATTTACAAAAATATTCAACATATAATAACTTGAAAGTACCCCAGTCAGACACAGATAGGGTACATTGGAAGAAATGTTTCCTTTCGTGCAGAGATCAATAACTATGAGCAAACATTTAAAGGTAAAGGTCAAGTGGTTTACAGGAGGATTTACAGAATAATTTTTCAACCAGAGGATGGTGGGTACTGGAACTCACTGAAGCACCATAGTATACAAGGCTACAGGTCAAGTGCTAAAAAATGGGACTACTGTAGGTTAGTGCTTGATGACTGGCAAACACAATTAAAGAGATAATTCATGACTCTCAGCAAAAATATTTTTAAAAAAAAGACAGAACGATAACCCAACCACGGCTAACCAAGCAAGTTAAATGTATCAAGTTGAAAGCGAAAGAACATAAGGAGGTAAAAATCAGTGATCCCCTGAAGACTGGCATAAATTCAGAATCCAGCAAAGGGGGACTGTAGATAATAAAGGCAAAGAAAATAAACTATGAAGGCACATTAGTGAGGAATAAAAACTGACGATAAGAGCTTCGTTTAATATGTAAAAAGGAAGACAGAAGTCAAAGTGGACATAGGCACTTTAGAAAATAAGTCTGGAGAGATGGTTTAGGGGAATGAGGAAATGGCAGAGGAATTAAACCGATACTTTGCATCAGTCTTTATAGTGGAAGATATTTCAAATATCACATTAATACTAAAGAATACGAGGGAGGAATTAAGTACCATCTCCATCTCTTAAGAAGTTGTATTAGAGAAACTTGTGGGGCTTAAGGCAAATAAGTCCCCGAGCCCTGATGGCTTGCAACCCAGGATCCTAAAAAAAAATGTAGCTACCGAAATAGCAAAGCTTGTACTTTTCCAAAAATGACTGGATTCTGGAGAAATTCCAGAGGATCCAAAAACTGCTAATGCTCGAGGGGCTGAATGGCCTATTCCTGTTCCTATTTCTTATGGTCTTACTGTACCATAAAACACTATGACTATAATACTATGACACAATTTTAAAATGCAGAATTGGAAAGTAACGTTTGTTTTATTCAAAGCACTTCTTACCTGTGTAACTGGAATATAAAGTGGATCTCCTGTACGAATCAGAGTCAAGTTGCCATGTTGGTGAAGACGCCCTTCGGGTCTCCACTTATGTGTATCTTTCTTTCCACCATCTTTCTCCTCTCCTTTTGCTGCTTCTTCTTTCATGTCACCATCTTGCAATTCTTCTGTGTCACTCAGACATTCAAAAAACTCATCTTCACTATCACTCCACGAGTCCCACGATTTCTGTTGAGAAGTTTCTCCTTTGTTATTAAGGCATTCTGGTGTTACTTTGCTATTTGACACCTTCCTCTCCATGGAATCGCCCAGCGCATTTTCAGCTGTTTGTTTCCTTCCATCGTCTCTTGCTTTTTTCCTCTCAATGCAGCAATTCAGCATCTTAAAGTTAAAAATAAAAGTTTTCACAGGAAGCTAAAAGCTTTTACCATTGTCCTTTTCATTCTGAACTTTCCTCTAATGTTCAAGGGTTCCAATGCAGTGCTGCAGAGGGTAAACAGCATATACCAAAACAATTCAAAGGCCCTGCTGTTCCACAATTCTGTGGTCACAATAATCACTGTTGATTCTCACATCTGCCACAAAATTTCAGTCTAGTACTTTCCTCTCATGTCCCTTTTTAAAATATTTTTTGATTGTAATTGAATTGCTCCCAATGAATGGAGTGCCACTGTACAGTGTTCTGATTTCAAGTGACAGTTAAGCACAGACAGGAAGAAAGGAAGAGGCAATGACAGAATATTGTATGTATAATGACACCCCAACTCCAAACCCAAACCCCACCAAATGTTCAAGATTGAATGATAATCTGTTTTGCAAGAGTGAATTAAAATTCACACAATAGTATGTTACAAACAATGTGAATTAATGGAAGTTGACTGCCATACTGATGTAGAATTACAAAGAATATGACATACAAACAGGCCATTCAGACCAAACAGTCCACTGTATTCCACTGAAGACTCTTGCTGTCTTTCCTCATTAAAATACATCACTGCAACCTTCTACGTAATCCCCTCACCCAACATGTTTATCAAGCCTCCCACAATACTCACTCCTCATTTCTTGTGGTTACATGTTCCAGATTTGCACCTCTCCCTGGGTAAAGATATTTCTTACGAATTTCCTACTTGATTGGTGACTATCTTAGTGATGAACTCTAGTGTTTCATAAGTGGAAACACTGTGTCCACACTGTCAAAAACTGTTCTAATTTTAATAGGTCACAACTTAGCCTATCTTCTCAAGAGAGAAGCAGCCTAACCTGTCCATCAGTTCCCTACCAGAATTTGCTGATTCATCCTTGTACATCTTCACAACTTCTTCAATGACTGAATATTTTTTATGATATGGCAAACATAAATATGTAGTGTACTCCATATGTGGTCAAAGCAAAGTTCCATAAAAGTTTTAACGAGTTGTGTCCCTTTCAATTCTCTCTCTCTAGAAATAAACCCTAATTTTGAGTTTTCAATGGCCCCTATTAGCCTGCACTGCTACATTTAGTGATTTGTGCACTTTTTCCTAAAGATTCTTTGGCTCCTTTACTACAAATTCCAATTCCCCAAATAATAAGAGGACTCCTTATTTTCTATCAAAATGTAATACCTACGCATAATCAATGTGAAATACACATACCAATTAGATGTCCATTTTGCAAGTCCATCAATGTCATCTTGCAATTTGTTTTAGTCCTCCTCAATATTGACTAACCCATCACACCCCCATAAATTTGGTGCTATCTGCAAATTTCATAATTATTTTGATTCTAAAATCCAAGTTGTTAACAAAATTTGTGAAAGATTGTGGTGCCAGCACTGATCCAAATGGGATGCGCTTTCCACCTAATACTATCAAAAGATGGAAACCCAAGCAAGCAGGAATATTGTGTATATGACAGCTCTAAGTAGATACTGGAATTTTGGTGTAAGTCAATTATTGGCTCCAAAAGGTTCACTGGTTTTGAACAATAGCGTAGGTGTAAGAGGTCTCAATGGACAATCAATGCAGAAAACCAACCAGAAAGAAAAGCACGGAAACTCCAAGCAGAAGTAGGTCATTCAACCCTGCAAGTCTGCTCTGTCATTCAGCATGATCATTGCTGATCAATGCATAATCTCGCTTTCTCCCCATATCCCTATCATTAGAGACTTGGCATTCTTCAATGGTAGAGAATTGCACAGGTTCACTATCTTTTGAGTACAGAAATGTTTCCTCATCTCATGCCTAAATTGTCTACCCCATACTCTGAGACGGTGTCCTGTAGTTCTAGAATTTCCAACTAGGAAAAACATTCACTTTGCATCTAGTCCTTGTCCATGCATTATGTTACTGTTGCCATGATGTTCCGACATAGAATCCCTAGCGCAGAAAGAGGCCATTTGGTCCACTGAGTCCTCAACGAGCCTCCGAAGAGCATCCAACCCAGACACAACAACCTTCTCCATCCTCACATTTACCATGGCTAACCCTCCTAGCCTACACATCCCTGGACACAACAGGCAATTTTAGCTTTGCCAATCCACCTAACCTGCACATTTTTGGACTGTAGGAGGAAACTCATGTAGACAGAGGGACAACGTGCAAACTCCACACAGTCACCTAAAGGTGGAATTGAACCAGAGTTCCTGACAGTGAAGCAGCTGTTCTAAACACAGAGCCAGATTTACATTAAATATCTGCTCTGGTTCAATCCTCAACCTGAGAGCAAATCCTACCTTGTTGGGTTGTTTTGGTCATTCCTCCATCCCTTTTACCTACCCCTTCCAACTAATTAATTGAAATTGTTGAAATCTCTCTCATTATTCTAGGTCTTCTTTCCCTAATTTGATATTTCTTCTTCCATCTTCCTTCAACTATTACACAGATATCTCCAGTAGTGCGTTTGATCCTTTATCATATTTTATCTGTTTTGACACAGAATCCATTTTAGTTTTAATGATAGATGTGTCACTACTTTCCAATGCCATCATGCTGTCTTTAGTCCTGATTTTCCAGTGGTCATTAATCAGCAATCGTTACTATATCCAACACAATTATTGCTTGCAATTTCAATTTTATTACAGGCACTACGGATATACATTACTATATAGAGAGTGTTTAGCTAATTTTGAAGAATGGTTCCTCTCACTTCATAATTTACATCTTTTAAACTCATTCTATCAATCTGTTAATCCTGGTTTTAAACTCTCTTATTTGAGACTGCACTGTATTTATTTTTCTGGTTTGTTTCATTTCTTGTAGATATCTAGTTTATAGGTTAAGATAGGAGAGGATACAGTTCTGATCACTGAAATGAAAAGATATGGGTAACAAAAAAACAAATTTGCAAATATGATGCTTTGCTCAGTTAAGTGAGAATTAGCTGCAAAACATGAACTAAATATATGGTTCAAAGTATAATTTTTAACACGATTCAAGGATCTAAAAGTACCAGAACTACCAGGGATGATTCCCATGTAGAACAGATATGGTGAAAAGTATCAGATGTTTAAAGTGCAAGTCCAATATCAATTTGCCAGAGATATTTGTTAAATTAAATGACATTGTGAAACATTTATATAAAATGCATATTTTCATAGTTCACGAGAATTAAAGGAGAACGATGTCCATTATTACTGAACATTAAGCCAAATTGTTTTCTGTTGAGAAATTTTTTTAGCAGTGCAATGCATTCAAAAGCTTAATGAGATAGCATATATTTAATATTTACCTTTTTTTTTCATTATAAGTAAGGACACAAGGTGTTGACCTAAATTCAAGAAGAACATGGCAATACTATTCTTTTCTTGGCTTGGAGATATTTAATTAATTCAACTCAAAACATTTTAATGAATAAACCTTAACATGTCTATCATGAAATTTGATGGTGCAATTTTCAATCCTACCTGCAGTTTTTGATGTAAAAGGCAGCATTTTAAATCTGGAGCTCCGGTAGCTAACCTGAAAAAGAGAACTATTAATTTGATTCTTTCTTCATGATATAATTGTACAACAATACACTCATTCAATGCTACATTCAACAAATTCATCCTTAAAAATCTTTTATTAAATTTTCACATACTCCAAAACATCTTAGGATCTAGGCATCTACGCATTTTAGATCAGACTCTCTTCAATCTTTGCAGGTTTCATAATGTGTAACTTGACTTTCCATCCTGCAGTTTGGTCTGTCAATTGTTTTCCACAATGCTGTTCCAAACTAATGAACAGCTTGTAATCTGGGATTACAACTTGAAATGCAAAGATTCAAACATGGGCTTCTCAATGCACGGCAGATACTTTACTGCTTTTATAAAAACTTACCCTGGTACAAGATAATTATTTTCCAATCTGTACCGCATTTCCAACACAAACTCCTGCCATAAATGGGCTACGCCCCTCATTCCGCCATGATAAAAGTTAACCATACAAAGACACAATGACAGTTTGTACGTCAGACTGTCTGAGGGAGCAGATTTAAATTGGCAATAAAGACTCTGGTAAAAAGAAAAAAGAAAATATTAGAAATTTAAGATATTTACAATTTTTATGGAACAGAGCTAATTTTATTTCAATAAAAAAAATCTGGAAAATGAGATAGTATGAACAGATGATACACCAGAAGCAGTGAGACAGGAAGTGGATAAGCAGCTCCCTTTAGTCAACCTGAATGATTAAAAAAATTCCCGCCATGGCAGCCGGTGGAATTTGAATTCCATAAAAAAAAACCTTGCATTAAGAATCTACAGATGACCATGAAACCATTGACAATTGTCAGATAAACTCATTTCCTTCAGGGAAGGAAATCTGCCACCCTCACCTGGTCTGGCCTACATGTGACTTTAGACCCACTCTCAATTGCCTTCTGAAATGGCCTAGCAAGCCATTCAGTTGTACCAATCACTACAAAGTCTCAAAGAAACGAAACCGAATTGATCATCAGGCATCGACTTAGGCACCAGAAAAGACAATGGCAGAAACAGCCCTGTCGACCGTGCAAAGTCCTCCTCACTAACATCTGAGGGCTAGTGCCAAAATTGGGAGAGCCGTCTCTCGGACTAGTCAAGCAACAGCCTGACATTGTCTTTAAGGTATGATTCTGTGAGTATGACTATGTCGCAGACACCACCATCACCATCCCTGGATGTCCTGTCTCACTGGCAGGACAGACCCAGCAGAAGTGGCGGCACAGTAATATACAGTTGAGAGGGAGTTGCTCTGAGAGTCCTCAACATTGACACCAGAACCCATGAAGTTTCATGGCTTCAGGTTAAACATGGGCAAGGAAACCTCCTGCTGATTACCACATACTGTCCTCCCTCAGCTGATGAATTGGTACTCCTCCATGTTGAACAACACTTGGTGGAAACACTGAGGATTGCAAGGGCACAAAATGTACTCTGGGTGGGGGATTTCAATATCCACCACCAACAATTGCTCGGCAGCAGTACTACTGATCAAGCTGGTTAGGTCCTAAAAGACTTAGTTACTAGACTGGGTCTGCGACAGGTGGCGAGGGAACCAACAAGAGCGAAAAACATACTTGGCCTCATCCTTACTAATCTGCCAGCTGCAGGTGCAACTGTCTATGACAGTATTGGTAACAGCGAAGACTGCACATTCCTTGTGGAGATGAAGTTCTGTCCTCGATTTGAGAATAACCTCTATCGTGTTGTGTGGTATTACCACTGTGCCAAATGGAATAGACTTCAAACAGATCTAGCAACACAAGACAGGGCATCCAGGAGGCGCTGTGGGCCATCAACAGCAGTAGAAATGTATTCCAGCGCTATATGTAACCTCAAGGCCCGGCATATCCTGCACTCAACCATTACCATCAAGCCAGGGGACCAACAATAACCATGCAGAGTACAGGAGGGCATGGCAGGAGCAGCACCAGGCATAAATAAAGACTGGGGGTCAACTTGATGAAGCCAAACAGGACTACTTGCATGCCAAACAACATAAGCAGCAACTGACAGACAGAGCTAAGCTATCCCATAACCAATGGATCAGATCTCAGTCTCGCAGTCTTGCCACATCCAACCGTGAATGGTGATGGATGATAAAACAACCCACTGGAGGAGGAGGCTCCACAAATGTTCCCATCCTCAATGATGGAAGAGCTCAGGACATCAGTGCAAAAGGTAAAGCTGAAGTGCTCACAGCAATCTTCAGCCAGAAGTGCCGAGTGGATGATCCATCTCAGCCTCCTCCAGTGGTTCCCAGCATTACAGATATTAGTCTTCAGCCAATTCGATTCACTCCACATGATATCAGGAAACAGTTGGAGGCATTGGATACTGCAAAGACTACAGGCTCTGACAACATTCCAGCAATTGTACTGAAGACTTGCGCTCCAGAACTCGCTGCTCCCCTAGCCAAGCTGTTTCAATGCAGTTACAACACTGGCATCCACCCGACATGGTGGAAAATTGCCCAAGTATGTTCTGCACATAAAAAGCAGGACAAATCCAACCCGGCCAAGTCTACTCTCGACGATCCGTAAAGTGATGGAAAGTGTCAGCAACAGTGCTGTCAAGCAGCATCTGCTCAGCAATTACCTGCTCAGTGATGCCCAGTTTGGGTTCCGCCAGGGCCACTCAGCTCCTGACCTCATTACAGCTTTGGTTCAAACAGGGACAAGAGCTGAATTCCAGAGGGGAGGTGAGAGTGACAGCATCACGGAGACCTAGCAAAACTGGAATTAATGGGTATCAAGGGGAAAACTCTCCAGTGGTTAGAGAGTCATACCTGACACATTGGAAGATGGTCGTGGTTGTTGGAGGTCAGTCATCTCAGCTCCAGGACATCTCTGCAGGTGTTCCTTAGGGTAGCGTCCTAGACCCAACCATCTTCAGCTGCTTCATCAATGACCTTCCCTCCGTCATAAGGTCAGAAGTGGGGACGTTCACCAATGATTGCACAATGTTCAGCACAGCACCATTTGTGACTCTTCAGACACTGAAGCAGTCCTTGTCCAACTACAAGATCTGGACAATATCCAGGCTTGAGCTGACAAGTGGCAAGTAACATTGGTGCGAAACAAATGCCAGGCAACGATCATCACTAACAAGAGACAATCTAACCACCACCCCTTGACATGCAATGGCGTTACCATCACTGAATCCCTCCCCACTATCAATTCCTGGGAGTTATCATTGATAAGAAACTCAACTGGACTCACCACATAAATGCAGTGGCTACAAGAGCAGATCAGAGGCTAGGAGTACTATGGGGAGTAACTCACCTCCCATCTCCCCAGAGTCCACCATCTACAAGGCACAAGTTCGGAGTGTGATCGAACACTCCCCACTTGCCTGGATGAATGCAGCCCCAACAACAGTCAAGAAGCTTGACACGATCCAGGACAAAGCAGCCCGCTTGATTGGCACCACATCCACAACCCTCCACTCCTTCCACTACCAACGCTCATTAGCAACAGTGAGTACTAACTGCAAGATGCACTACAGAAATTCACCAAAGATCTTCAGACACCTTCCATCTAGAAGGACAAGGACAGTAGATACGTGGGAATACCACCACCTGCAATTTCCCCTCCAAGCCACTCATCACCTTGACTTGGAAATATGTCGCAGTTCCTTCATGTTTGATGGGTCAAAATTCTGGAATTCCCTCCCTAATGGCATTGTGGGTTGACCCACAGCAGGAAGACTACAGCAGTTCAAGAAGGCAGCTCACCACCACCTTCAAGGGCAACTAGGGACAGGCAATAAAAGCTGGCCAACCACCGACACCCACATTCCACAAAATGAATAAATTTAAAAAAACTAGTAGACATATTTTGTAATGAAAAAGAAGAACTAGGCATTAAATTACTAACTACCACAGAAGGCAAGCTAGTCACTGACATGATGGGTTTAATGGACTCCTTCAGTGCTGTACAGGGGAGGCGATGGCCTAATGGTATTATCGCTGGACTGTTAATCTAGAGACCCAGATAATCTTCTGGGGATCTGGGTTCAACTGCACCACGGCAGATGGTGGAATTTGAATTCAATAAATATCCGGAATTAAGAATCTTATGATGACCGTGAATCCATTGTCGATTGTCGGGGAAAAACCCACCTGGTTCACTAATGTCCTTTAGGGAAGGAAACTGCCATCACTACCTGGTCTGGCCTACATGTGACTCCAGACCCACTGCAATGTCATTGACTCCTAACTGCCCTCTGGGCAATTAGGGATGAACAATAAATGCTGCCTAGCCAGCGATGCCCTCATCCTGTGAATGAACAATAAAAAAAATTTCTATGCTGCTATGACTCTATGACATTTTAGACCATAAGATGGAGGAGCTGAGGTAAGCCATTCACCCATGGAGTTTGCTCCACCAATTAATGAGATCATGGCTAATCTGATAATCCTCAACTCCATGTTCCTGCCTTTTCCCCCTAATCCTGGATTCACCTGCTGATTAAAAATCTCTCTATCTCAGCCTGGAATATACGTTATGACGCAGCCTCAACAACCCTTTGTGGTAATGAATTCACTTTCCTCAGAGAAGAAACTCCCTTTCATCGGTCTTAAATATGCGGCCCCTTATTTTGCATCAATCCTGTCACGTTCCCTAAGAATCCTATAAGTTTCAATAAAGTTGCCTCTCATTCATCTACATTCCAACAAGCACAGGCCCAAACTATTCAACCTCTGCTCACAAATGACAAGGAGAAAAGAGCATGCAAAAGCAGGAATAACGCAGAGAAGTGTAGATTGCTGCAACAGAATTTAGGGGGAGACAATGGCCTGGTGGTATTATCGCTAGACAATTAATCCAGAAACTCAGCTAAAATTCTGGGTACCTGGATTCAAATCTTGCCATGGCAGATGGTGGCATTTAATTTCCATAAACAATCTGGAATTAAAGGTCTAATGAAATTATTATCAATTGGCAGAAAAACCCATCTGGGTCACTAATGTACTTTCGGGAAGATTATCTGCCATCCTTACCTGGTCTGGCCTACAAGTGACTCCAGACCCACAGCAATGTAGTTGACTCTTAACTGCCCTCTGGCCAATTAGAGGTGGGCAATAAATGGTGTCTTTATCCAGAGATGTCCACATCTTGTGATGAATTTAAAAAAAGAACCAGCTGACATAAATCAGACAACTGTGGCTTAGGTACACTGTACAATGTGCCAACATTTTAAACAACAACAAATTTTTAGAAAGAAATCCACATGCCAGATGCCAAACAAACAAAACAGAATTAGAACTTTGACACTTACATAAGTCACAAAAAAAACATGCTTTACATGCAATTAACTATCAGGAATGCTGAACCAATATGTAATTCCCAACTGCTTTAAGTTCTGCAATGTCATGCAGGTTAGTGTTGATGGAAATCTCCAAAAGTAAAACGAAATGAAAGCTTCCCTCATGGGCAATAGCGTGCAAAAATGCAAATAAGAATGGTTAGAGTTCATCAAAGGACAAAAATCAATGAAGTTCAAATTGTTGTTAGCGGTACAAAATTTGAGCATGCTGAAAAAAGACATTCTATGAAAGCCTTTCACATTGCATGCATGAAGACAATTCACAAAAAACACCATGTAAAGGTAAAACAATATTTGCACTTCATGAGAGGAGAGTCACAGAGCGCATCAAAAGAGCCTTCAGCCCATCACATCTGCACAAGTCAAAAGCAACTGTTCTAAATCCCATTTTCCAGCACTTGGCCCGTAGCCTTGCGTGCCATGGCACCATAGGTGCACATCTAAATACTTAAGTGTTATGACAGTTTCTGCCTCTACCATTTTTAGCTTGTCTCAGGGTGTACTCCTTTGCCTTGACTGCCCCACCCTAGTACATCACATTTATTTAGATTGAATTCTATTTGGCACTGATCAGCCCATCTGACCAGCCCCTCTATATCCCTTTGAGCTGATGTCTATTGTCCTCACTATTTACCCATCAATTTTTGTCTCATTTGCAAACTTAATGATCAACCTTCCCACATTCAAGTCTAAATCATTTAGATAAATCACAAACAGCAAGGATCCCAACAATGACCTCTTTGGCTCCCTTGTGTACAGACTTCCAGTCAGAAAAACACCCCTCAACCATCACCCTCTGCTTCCTGCCACTCAGTCAATTGTGGATCCAGGGGCTCTTGATCTTTGCAATCAATCTCCCATGTGAGACTTTATCAAAAGAGTGCTGATTGGTACAGGCATTGTCATGGAGAATGCACCAGTTAGATGATGACAGACAGTTAACTGCCAAGTTTTAAGTTTTAAACTAGACAGGTTGACTCTGATTAGTCAAGGCTTTACCTTGAGAAATGAACCAGAGAATGGCCATCACCTATTTTGTCAAGTTGAAATTCGTACAGCACGTGCAATTCTTTGCCTACTCACAACTGTTTAGCAAATGTTGTCCAATTGTGGAATCACATTTCATGTTGGATATTGTATTTTGAGTTTTGCAAAGGCAGGCTGGTTACACTGACAACCCAACTAACAATTGGGTTCACTGAGGGGCGGACATACAAAGATTGAAAACTACATATGTAAAATACACAGGGCCCTCTCTTTTCTATACACAAAAAGAATAGCATACACACATTGTGCTTGTTCCAACTCAACAAAATAGATAGCAGGTAATAACCATTTTCTGGTTCATTTCTCAAGGCAATGCCTTGACTGATCAGCATCAACCTGCTTGGTTTAAAAGTTAATCAGTTTGGCAGTTAACCATGAATCATTATCTAACTCGTTCATTTTCTATAGCAATGCCACTACCTAGCAGAGGCCACTTGCCAACCAATCAGTACTCTCCTCTCAAATTATAAATGCTGTTTTCCCCTTACATGGTACTTTTGTGAATTGTCCAAATTAGTGCAAGACAGAACAAAAAAAAATTTATAGATAATGCAGAAGGCAGAAATGAACGGAAAACAGAAAAGCAACTGAAAATATTATAGAGATAACAAGGTGTAGAGCTGGATGAACACAGCAGGCCAAGCAGCATCAGAGGAGCAGGAAGGCTGACGTTTCGGGCCTACTTCTACACCTTGTTATCTCAGATTCTCCAGCATTTGCAGTTCCTATTATCTCTGAAAATATTATATATTTTCAATGTTATTGCCCTGATCCTCAGGGGTTATCTAAAAATATTGGTTGTACAGAAGAGGAACATAGCTAATATGGCATGGCCTAACTAGCTTTCATCAAGTGATTCATTTAAAGATGGTTGATTATATAAATTTGGTGTTCCTAGAAATTAATCTTGGACATTACGTCTTTGCAACTCTCCAGTCCTCACATATAATATGCACACAGACATGCAGATACCTCCCTATTACCTTTTTACTGAATGGAATTATCCAAATAGTGAAAGGTTGCTGAGCTCTGAGAAACGGAGAGATCTGGATGTCTTAATGCATGAATCACAGAAGATTAGTATAGCAGTTGTAGCCAGTAATCAGCAAAGTTCTGTTTTATTGCAATTGAATTGAATGCATGTCTAGGGAGGTTATGCTTCAGTTATATAGGGCATTGGTCAGGCTGCATCCATAATACTGCATACAGTACTGGACACCGTATTTACAGTACTGGACACCATATTTACAGCAGGATATTAATGTGTTGGAAGCATTTAACAGAAAGTTTACTAAATTATTATTGGGAACGAGCAGATTGCCTTGTGAGGAAAACCTTGGCCTGCATCCTCTGGAGTATAGAAGAGTTACAGGAGACTAAATTTGAAACATGCAAGATCCTTATGGATTTGAACTGGTGAATGTTGAAAGGATATTTTGTCTTGTGGCAGAATCTAGAACTAAGGTTTAAAAATAAGGGGTCGCACATTTAAAACAGAGAAGAAGAAACATTTTTCCTCCCCCACAGAGGGCTCTCTCTCTTTGGAATTCCTTCTTCAAAAGGCAGTGGATACAGAATTTTTAAATATTTTTGAAGATAAAAGGTAGATAGATTCTTGATTACCAAGGGGATGAAAAATTATCAGGGATATGCAGGAATGTCGAGCGGAGGTTAAAATCAGATCAGCCGTGATCTTACTGAATGGTGGAACAGCATCAAAGGACAGAGTGGCCTACTTTTTTTTATATGTCCATATGAATCTAATCGTCTGAACTGTATTTCTTTCATGGTGCAAAATTTAAGGACTTAATAATAGAAAATAAATAAGAACTTGAAACTAAATAGGGTCTTGCATAACTCAACAGTGCAGCCACTTTCCTATCCATTAAGTACCCTTGAAGTGTAGTCATTGCTGTACAATAGGAAAGAACAGCAGTCAATTTGCAGGCAGTATGGTCCTGCAAATAGCACGGAAATAAATTAGCATCAGTTTTATGCCTTGGTCAGGTGATAAATATTTACTAGCTCAAGGAAAAATTCCCTGCTCTTGTTCAAATAGTAGTGAGATCTTTTGCATCTACCCAAGAAGTTAGCGTTCAAATGAGAATTTCTCCAAAACTTCAGCACGCCCTCCACAAGACTTTGAAGTGTACCTGAGATCGTGTACTCAAGTCTCTTGAGTCCATGATTTTTTGACTTATAGGCAGGAGTGCTACTAAAGATTCACAGCGGACACTTAGGACTTTTGCTTGTGCTTCAAAAAGGAATTGCATACATAATCAACACTAAAGTCAATACTATGTTATAGTTTAGAACAAGAATTTAATAAGAAATAATAGTGAACAACAATTTGTGCATGCTTTATCAAGTTCTGCGGCAAATTCAGCATCTTCAACCGTGATCATACTACTACCTTCATCTGATATGCTTATAATAGGATCATAAGTGCTGAGTTAGGTGGGAAGGAACAAATATGCCTAAAATTTATATCAATCATTTATCAAATGATATTTTTCTGCAACATACTAAAAAAAAATTCCAACGTCCAACAACAAATTATTTCAAAAGACTTTCTAGGATTGAATTGAAATGATTCCGGAACCTACATAACTCTCTTCCTCAAATGTAGCGATATTACTTCCTCTTGAGGTACTACGTTTAGCATTAGACACATCACCAGCAGCATCTGGGAACAGAAACTAAAACATACAAAATAACAAGTTAGATTACATTTACTTTGTCTTTGTCAAGGCATGTGTGCTTGGAAGTTAATTGAATTGGTGAATTAACTCTTGTACCCACATTTACATGATAAATGTATTTTCCATCACAGTTCACAATATTTCAATAAATGCTTTACTGAAGAAATAGAAAATAACTCAGCAATATGAAATTAAATTGCCATCTTATTTCATCAACAGATTGAAATTTTTATAACTTATTTTGAAACCGCTTGTGACAAAAATTGGGTACTTCATCCTTTGGCATGGTGCTCACTCCTTTAAATCCCATCAGAATGCATAGGCTATTCAAAAGCCAACTACAATCAGATCCCTCTACCAACTTTATGCAGTTCTGTGTTGCAAGATTCAACTAGAGAGAGAAAGTTAATGCAAAATTAAACAATGCTACACCATTGTTCAGTTTGCAGTTGACTGACAATTTCTTTGTGAAGTTTAATGTGAAGTGACATATTCAAAATTAAGTAATGGCCACCAACCTCATCTGAGTATTAAAAATAAAATTTTATTTGAAGTGGACAGTCTTGTAACTAATTATTGTGGAACTCAAAAAAAATCAGTTTGAAGTTACCAAGAAGCAGCTTAGATTAATAGAAATGCTCATAAAGACAAAGAAGCAAAGAAAACTCATTGTGCAATATTTGGAAGTGACTTGAGGGACATTAGCTGAGTCTTTAGAGTTATGATCTTCTTACTGTTGGTTGCTTGAGGACACAGATGATGATTTGGATTTTACAATCAGAAAGAAAACTGTTGACCTCGAAGACAGCCGCCTACGAAGAATTAGCAATTTCCTTCATCCCACAGTTATTTTGAATCTGATACCAAGTTAAGAGACTCTCCAGCTGTCCAGCAAAAGTAATGCCATCAAGCAGAGTAAACAATAATCACAAAGAAGAATTCTTAGAAACCAAATCAGGACTAAAATGTACTGATCGTCTTTCGGTTTTATAGAATTTATGAAGTGATTTAGTGAATGAAGTATACACAATACAAGGTAAAGTAACAAACTTCAAAATAATTAAACAGTGTGGAATCTCAAGTGGAAAAAAATTGCATTACACCAAATCCTTGTTATGTGGGGGGAATTGGGGCACAGACTTCCCACAGATAACAAAACATGTGGATAGCGCTCCTAAGCGACTATCCTCTGTATCATGGAGGATCAGGTGAGTCAATGAGAAAACAAATAGGGTCTGGGACCAACCTCACGAATATGCTGATGTACAGGTAATAAATCAGCGGATAACAGAAATGAGTGTATTCAAATATTAAATTAGTTCACTGGGAACAAAATAATTAGTCAGCATTACAACATCTCATGACTTGTATTAAAACTCTAGTTAAACCTCATTTTCTTGGCACAACTTTTTTATGGGCTTTTAATAGTAACATTACAACATGAAGAGGGAATCTCTCATTAATTCAATGTTTTTAGCTACTTCTGGATTTGTGCAATTAACTGTTCACATTTAAACACTAGACGTTGTTGTACGTTTCACAGAATACTGATGGTGAACGCAGATTATATCAACTAATTAGGGTGAAACTATGCCAAACTCTGGGCCAACAGTGCACGCTAAATATCCAGCTATGACCATGAATTATTTATATGCCTTTTATTTAAAAAGTGCACTTAACAAGTTTAAATTTGAAAACTGAATCTGAGGGAGGTATTCTATTTTCTCATTAAAAGCAAGACAATTTAAGATACATTCAGTAATTAATAGCAATCAAGTAAAATAAGATTTGGGTTACATTACTTAAAGTGCATTACTCAAAGCTTATCTAGATCTTGAGACCCAGGTGAACAATATCAAACATTTAGGATTTCCCACAACAGAGAGTTAATACCTGAGCCTAAATAATGTGGAGCAACAATTAAAAAAAAACTAAAGGCATTTAGAAACAATTACTTGCTAACTTCCCTACTACTCAACAATTATCAAGATTACATACAAGGTTTCTTTTATTTTGTTCCTCAAGACCAATTCTTAAGAAATCTGTAATAATATTTAAGATTTTCAGAGTTAATGGACTTTAAAAATCAATTTTTTTATGATACTGCATATGAAACTTTTAGGACAGTCTTGTGTAATTTATGCTCTCTCTCTATACCAGAGACAGCAAAGTTACACAAGGAATACAAAGACTTTCAATGGGCTTGATGTGTGATGATAACCTCAGTAAAGAAGTTGCAACTGGCATGAAGCAATGATGTTCATCAACAGGAGACAGCAGCTGTATCTAAACAATACAACTTTTTAAATAACAAAGTTAAAAATCGAAGTTATAACACTTTTACTGCTACAATCTACTTACCTACAAATTTCTGTAATTTATTTGGCTTGAGAACTGAAATTTATTTTAGCCCCAAAGTTTCCATTGGTTGTATTATTTTCATTGCACAAATTATCGCAAAAGTGATAAATTTTAGTATAGATACATCTTCAAATTATCAGTAGATCAAAATAATGACTTACTATTAAAATGGAGTTTAGAACTTCATTGCTAATTGGTGACTCTTCCACACGTCTATGTCTATGCATCCGCTTGCGAGCGCTGTGAACCATATTTGACATAGTGGATAGTCTAGGCATGTGAACAGTTGTTGGCTCTGTGAGCTTCTGCAATGCTTGGCTGATATCTGTGCTTTCTGCTCAAAAGAAGCATTACTGTGAGTATCTAATTTAGTACAAAGCAATTCTATTTATTGTACAAGCCAATCTGTTGTTTTAACCTTTGGTTTCATCTTCAAAAGCTGACCTTCCGAGAAGTTCATCAGTTGATTCCTTTCGACGACAAAGTTTGAAGAATTCGGTAAGAAAATCTCCTATATACATACACATAAATATATTAAACCATTTAGAATTTCTAGTGGAATGTTATAGCATAAAATATTACATTTATTTTCATTTGCAGTGTTCCATGTCATAATGAAAAGATTCATACCCAATAAGCATTGGGGGTTATCAGCCTTCCTTACTCTAACAGACCACTGGGGTGCTTGTACAGCATCAAGGTCCCTGACAAAAAAGGTGAATGAATTGTGAAAAGTATTTACAGTTTCATTAGCAAGTTCAAAACAGTAGTAATATTGTCAAATTCCCTGACGCACAGATGAATGTTATTAATCGCTCACAATCTCACTTTAGTTTTCTAGTGCGCAACTGAAGAAGTTAAAACCAGTTGAGTTTCAGAAGTACTCCTACAGACTTTCATCTTTCCTTTCTCTGCTTGCTTTCTTTAAGAACAACTTTATTTATTTTTCTATTCCTTTGTACAATACTCATTACTTCTGAACTGTGAATTAATTGTCAGAACTTTATCAATTTTCTATGTTGAATTTTACCTCTGTATTCCTCTCAAATTTCAGCAAAATTTAATGAAATCCTTTCTATAAGCTTGTAAAATGGATTAAATAGAGACTGAACTCTCAAGTTTTATTCTGTACAAATATGTCATCTTAGGGTAACAAAACATAGATTGTAAGTGTGGTTGTATTTTGAATTCTTTCAATAATAAATTTGCTGTTTTGCAGAAAATGAAACATCAGCATTTGAACTTTGATTCAATCATAATTATAAACTTGCTTTAAAAACAATTTTGATAGGCATAAGAAAAATTTAGGAAAATCAGTACTTACGAATATACATCATTATCAACAATAATGCCTTCTGTGAGATGAGGCCACGTGGTGGCTAAATGTAATTCACTAAAACACGAATATGACAATAGTAAGGATCCTATCCATCATTATGAAAATACATTAAAGCTCTCCTGTTCTTTGACAATTTCTACAACGTCATTTCTGGTGAAGGTACATCATTAATATGAAGTTCAATGAACATACAGAGTTCTGATATTCAACTCAAAAAGCTCAAAGACAAAACTACAAGGGTGAATGTACAATTTAGTTACATCAATCTTATCTTTGTAATACAACACTGGTGTAAATCAGATTTTCACTTAAAATTACATGCTCTGGGGAGGTTCAACTTATTTGCCCACCTGGTGTGGTTGATTAAAGATTTCTGGATTTGACAGACATAATATTAACTTACTTAAATAAACTTAACAAACAAAAATAATATTTTTAAAATGACTTATGCTATCTAACGGAAGCTTAGCATTCGCCAGGTTAGTTGACCAGGTAACAGATAACAGTGATGAGAGAAAATATCTGAGCAATGCATTGGCCACTGAGATACCATGGCGAATAATTTTATTTAAATGATTTACAATGCTATTTCTTCAACATATTGACAAATGTTCTTCCAAAATAGTATACAAATTTAATACTTACTTTATTAGGGCATTTAAAAATTGAGATAACTAATTCTTCAGCCAAAACAAAGATGTATTTTCATATGAAATTTAATTGGAATTAGTGCAGGAGCATGCCTTTTCTTGTTGCAAAATTCTAAGGTCTCCAACAAGTCACTTATTAAAGCATCCATTAAATAACACAAGAGCAGTGGATAGAGTACATTAGAACATCACGTGTGGTGGAAAGAGTCCATTAATTAGTGCAAAGTACAAAGAGAGTTATGAAACAGCACAAGAAAGTCTCTACATAGCATGAGAGTGATGGAGAGAACTCAAAACCTAACAGCAGCAAAAAACACCCTACCAAATACAGGAGAGAGCAGCAAAGAGCCCATTTAAAAGCATAAGTGGCAGAACAGATCTGCCACAAATGTCTGAAGCTTAAAGAACTTCAGATCGGAGTAAGTGAGCTGAAGCCTGAGCTGCAGACACAACACCAACCCCAGAGCAGCAAAGGTTACATGTACATCTAATTCCAGACAGTGGACATACCACTTTGAATAGGGTCTTTTCTCTTAGTCAACTGTCAGGAACAGCAGGGTGCAACTGTGAGAAAGGTAAGAGAATCAAAGAAGAGGGACTGGTGGAGCCTCAGCCTTTGAAGTTGTCCAAGAGGTTCAAGGTTCTTTTGTATGGATGAGAGCAGGGTCTGCTTGGTGGATAGCGCTTGAATTGGACAGCTATGTTGCCTGCCCAGTGTAAGGGTTCAAGACACTTACTTAAGGCTAGAGAGTAACTTGTACAGGAAGGGGGAAGCTATAGTAGTGGTGCTTAATGGAGGTACCAATGACATAGGTACAACTAGGAACAGGTTCTGTACAGGGATTATGAGCAGCTTGAAAGATAATTATTTTTGCAGCAACATCAGAGCAATGAGCAAATTGGCATAGGATAAATAAAATTAGAGACAAATTTGTGACAAAGATTGTGGGAGAAATAAGTTTTGATCATTAGGCACTGTCACCAACACTGTGAAAAGTGGAAACAGTAGCTTTGACCTTCACAGACTTCAACTGGACCATGCTGCAAACAGTAGTCTGCTGTCATAATTAAGGTGGTACAGAGAGCTCTAAACTAAGTAACAGGTGTGAGGATCAAGTTTTGGAAGATTCTGTGAATCAGATAGAGAAGACAAAAATAAGGGAAATAGGGATCAGAGCCATAAAGAAAGGGACAGAGTGTACAAGCCTAGGGATTTCAGCAATAGTAAAAAGACATATTTGACTGTGCACAGGATCTGTAATAAAACAGATGAACTGACTGCATAGAAATAAATATGTATAATCGGATAGCAACTACAAAGGCATGGTCATATGATGGCAAAGAATAGAAACTGTTTGGAATAAATCAGTTGAGATACAGTGGCAGATATTTAAAGAGCTATTTCAGTATATTCAGAATAGACAAAGTATAATTCTTGCAGGTTTCGTGAGTAAGGGAGTTTTTAAACTTTTAAATATTTTTTAAACTGTTTACTACTTTGACAGTTTTAATTTTTAAGGGATAAACTTTTTTTTAAAAAAAGTCTCATTATGCTTGCTTGCAATTTGTCATAGAGTCAGTGTCATACAGCACAGAAACAGACCTTTGGTCCAAGTCATCCATGCTGATCAGACATCCCAATCTGACCTAGTTCCATTTGCCAGCATTTGGCCCATAATCCCTCTAAAATCTTCATTTTACTTAAATTTACTCCTTGCACATTTTATATTTCTTCCAGGTTTGGATGAGTCTAATCAAGCTGCCTGCTGGAATGAAGGTGAGTTTAGCTCATTATTTAGTTGGCCTAAAAGAGCTTTGCCATTGCCAGACACTAATAATCCGAATCTCGGTAGTACAAATAAGAAGGGTTAAGTGCAGTGGAATAGAGTGGAATTACAGAGTTTGTTAAGTATGGGGATTTGGCAAGGAGAGGAGGAAGATCTTTCTTTTTTCTTTCTATCTTTGTTAGCTGCCATGAGACAAAGCTGCAATAGAGAATAGAGTTTGAAAATAAAAATCAAAGAACTACATCACAGCAGAACTGTTCAATTCATTAATCTCTAATCTTTTGCTTACAGTAAATAGGTCAAAAGTAATCTTAAATTGTAGCAAGGCACCTTAACCATAAGAAATGCCCATTCTTTGGCAAGTGGCAAAATGTAGGTATACCATATGACATGTACAAACTCATGCAGGAGGTGTCATCAGCTGCAGAAACTTGGTCTCCATGTATCGGAACTTGAACAGCAACTGGAGTGGTGCAACTACACCAAAGTTCAGAAAGGTAGTTACATCGCAGATTCAGAGCATGCAGGCAGGCAGGCAGGAAATAGGTGACCACCAGACAGCACAAGAGAATCAGACAGGTAATGCAAGAGTCCAATGAGGTCCTACTTGAGAATCAGTTTTCCAGTCTGGATACCTGGTGAAGGCAATATTCCTCAAAAGAGCTCAGCAAATGTCAAGCCCGTTGCACCACATGAAGGCCAGCTGTAAAGGGGGCAAGACACCAAGGCTCCTTCAACAACACATTCTAAACCTGCAATGTCTCCTACCTTGAGGAATAAAGGCAGCAGATGCGTGGGAACACCACCACCTGCAAGTTCCTGATAGATCAGAATTCATGTCTATTAACAATTTTTAATATAACTCCATAAATCACGTCTATTAATCTATTAACCCATTAATTCGTGGTTATAATACTAACTGCAGATTTCCATGTACCAACCACCCCCCATTCAAACTAATTTAGGGGCTCGCTACAGTATCAGGTTACAACCACTTCAATTTGCGGTTACACCCCACTTGAAAGTGCAGTCATCCATAACACGTTATGTAAACTACTCCATTTAACAAGACCAACATTCCATTCAAACCCTAACCCTAACCCTATCGCAGTCAGGTGTGGCAGCTAACAAAACTGCACAGACACTACAGGATGAAACCTTTCTGCACCCCCACATTAAAAAAAGTGTTATGTGATATTAAAATCTAACTGTGAATAGGTGCTATTACCAAGCCTTTTATCTATATCCCTCTCCAGCTAGAGTAGCTCCAAGTATCATTCAAAGGTGATAATTGGACTAGCCCTCTTACTTTAAAGTAAAATGTTACTTCTCTGCAGACTTTTCCAGTATATTATGTAACCAGGTACTTGTCCCAAGTTTTTATTCAACATGTGTATAAAACTTTACCCCACTAATAAAACTTAAATGCTATGCAGTGTATGTAAGCAACCTTTAACCCACTAATAAAACTAACAGCACTAAGTCCAGACCCGCGCGACTTTAAATGAATGAATGAAACTGACAACACTACTACACAGGTGTGACCACGAAACCGAATGAATGATAGTAAATAGAACCCACAGATGGATGCAACCATGAAACTAATTAAACACGCGATTGTAAATAAAAACCACAGACAATCAAAACTGATGGGAACTCAGACTTTTATTTAAAAAAAAGACACAGGATGTCTTTTTCTAACTTTAAAATTCTAACCTTGAAAATAACAAGACTAACACCTTTTGAATTATACAAGGACAAACCAGAAAGACACTCTAATCTCATTAAAATAACCGCTGACATTTAGCACATGTTTAAACCATCTCCGATTTCCTGCGAAACGGTTTTTGTACAATATCTACTGCTTAACACTCAAGTGTTAGAACGTTAATGTATGCTTGAATTCTGTATAAAAATGGCTGCTTTTGAGCTATGATTTTGGGATTCTCTTTCGTCTTACATCATGCTGCTGTAAATGTACAATAAAGAGGCTATTTTCGCCACTCTCTGATCCTGGTCATCTGGTTCTTTGAACACAATCTCACATTCCCTTCCAAATCTCTCTCAATCCTAATTTGATGCTATATCAATGCTCATTCACTGTCACTAGGTCAAATAACACTGTGGGTACTCATACACTCAGAGGACTCCAACAATTCAAGATAACAGCTCACTGCTTCTTCTGCAAGGCACTTCAGCACAGGCCTTAAATTCTGGCCCAAGTCCCATGAAAGACTTGAAAAAAACAGGAAGAGAAAAGAGCAGTGGATTAATTTCTGGGGGAGCAGACAGGCATTTTAGCAGCCATACATGTGACTCCAGGATGGCACCCCAACTTCCTGGTGACAGGGTCAAGAATGTTACAGATTGGCTAGAAGACATTCTTCCAGAGCAGGGTGATCAGCCAGAGATCGTAGTCCATGTTGACAACAATAATCTAAGTTGGAAGAGGGATGTAGTCCTGCAGTCAGAAATTTTGGGAGCCAGGTAGAAACCTAGCAAGCAAGGCCTCAAAAGTAGTAATGTCCAGATTACTCCATTATTATCGGGTAAAAGTGAGTACAGAAACAGGAGGGCAAGACAGATGAATTCATGACTTGAAACATAGCTCAGGAGAGAGGCAAAAAAAAAATCCACAATTACAACTATTAAACTCCGGGACAGGTGGCTTTGAACAAACTCTCCAGGGACATGGGAAACAAGGAAGCATGTTGAGACAGTAACATCAGAGTCCATAAATTGCTGCAAGAAACAGAGAGCACAATAATACAGAATCATATTTTAATAGGTTGTTCAGAGCCAAGGAGAAATTCAAACATTCAAAAACAGGTGTGCATATTTTTTATATGCATTTATGACATGACGGCATCACTAGCTAGGCCAGCATTTACTGCTCATCCCTAGTTGCCTTTAACAAGGTGCTAGTGAGCTGCTATTTATATGGTGTAGGTAGACCCACAATGCCTTTAGGGAGTAAGTTCCAGGATTTTGAACCAGCGACACTGAAGGAAAAGTATTATATTTCCAAATGAAGATGGTGAGCAGCTTGGAGGTAGTGACTGTTTGTGGATGTGGTGCAGTCAAGTGGGCTGCTTTGTCCTGGATGATGTCAGGCTGCTTTAGTGTTGTTTGAGCTGCACTGATCCAGGCAAAAGTGGAGCATTCCATGATCCTCCTGTCTTGTGCCCTGTAGGTGGTGGACAGGCTCTGGGGAGTCAAGAGGTGCACTTGTTGCATTATTCCTAGCATCTGGCACTCCCTTATTATCACAGTATTTATATCAGAGATAGCAAGAACTACAGTGTCAGAGATAACACAGTGTGGAGCTGGAGGAACACAGCAGGCCAGGCAGCATCACAGGAGCAGGCAAGTTGACGTTTTGGGTCAGGACCCTTCTTCAGAAATCGGGAAGGGGGAAGGGAGCTCAGAAATAAAAAGAGAGAGGGGAGGGGTTGGGCTGGGAAAGGTAGGTGGGATGGTGATGGGTGAGTGCAGGTAGGCAGTGGTGGGGATTGGTCAGTGAGGTGGGAGGGGCGGATAGATGAGAGAGAAGATGGACAGGTTGTGTCAGGTCAAGGGGGCAGGGATGAGAGAGAGGGTTGGACATGGGATGAGGCCGGGGTGGGAAGATGTTATTTATTTACATGACTTTATTTATTTGTTTTTATTATTTACTTACATTTATTATAATCATATGACTAGTTAAGTTTCTAGTCAACGGCAACCCCTAGGATGTTGGCAGCAGAGAATTCAGCAATGGTAATGCTGCAAATGTCATGGGGTGATGGTTAGATTCTCTTGCTGGAGATGTTCATTGCCTAGCATCTGTGTGGCGCAAATGTTATTTGTCACTTATTAGCCTAAACCTGGATATTATCTAAGTCTTGATGCATTTGGACATGGACTGATTCAGCATCTGATGAGTCATGAATGATATTGAACACTGTGCAATCAGACATGCAGAATGGAAACAGACCATTCAGTCCAATCAGTCCACATCAATCATGTTCCGAACCTAAACTAGTCTCACTTGCCTACATTTGGCCCATATCCCTCCAAATCTTTCCTATTCATGCATTTATTCAGATATCTTTTAAATATTATGAGCGTACCTGCATCCACCACTTTCTCAGGCAGTTCATTCCACACACAAACCACTGTCTGTTTTAAAAATTTCCCACTTATGACATTAGCTAACATCCTCACTTCTGCCCATATGATGGAAGGAAGGTCATTGATGAAGCAACTGAAGATGGTTGAGACAAATTATTCAGAACTATGAAAAGTTGCAGATGTTTTAGGTGTTGAGAAAGGGGGATGTGGAACAAGGACATAAAAATCTATAAAGGGTAGAAGACAAAAAATAGTAAGTCTTTTCAAGCCAAAGAAAATTGTAGCGGGACAAGTAAAGAAACAAAAGATATACTTAGAGCAGATGTCTGCTGTGTGAAAATGAAGACATCACAAAAAACAAACATGCAAAGAGAAGGAAACAAAATGAAAGGACAAAATTTACAGTTTGAAATAGTTGGGAATTCAACATTGCGTCCAGAAGGCTGTAAAGCGACCAGTCAGAACAAGAGGAACACAGCAGGCCAGGCAGTATCAGAGGAGCAGGAAAGTTGACAACTTTCCTCCTCCTCTGATGCTGCCTGGCCTGCTGTGTTCCTCCAACTTCACACTGTGCTATCTCTGACTCCAGCATCTGCAGTTCTTGCTATCTCCCAATCAAAACAGGAGGTACTGTTCATCAAGCTTAGCTTGAGATTCACTGAAACTATTCAGAAGGCCAAGGACAGAAATGATAGCATGAGGACAATATAAAGAATTGAAGTGGCAGGCAAACTGAAGCTGTTGGAGCTACAGAGTTGATTGAGAAATGGACCAAGGTATCACAGAAGGAATTGTCCATTAGGAATGCTGAAACAGTAGGGCAGAGTAAGACTTGTTTGATGGTGGCATCATGATGGAGTTGGTGAAAAGTTATCCATTGAATACTGAGGTCAGTGCAGTGCAAAGTGAGGACAAGGACAACTTTGTGGCTTTGGGACAGGAAAAAGGGGTGAAAACAGACGTGTGGAATATGTGGTGCGTGTGGCATGAGCCTTGTCACCTACGGCGGAAGAGAATGAAAGCGATATCCTCAGTTAAAGAAAATAGAATGATATTTCAGTATCATGGAACATTGCATCATTGAAACAGTTGCAACAGAGATTCAAGATTCAGGAGAACAGAATGGAGTCCTTATAGGGTCTAAGCTGTAAGGACGTATAATCAAGGTCGCTGTGACAGTCAACAGGCTTACATATTTGTTACAGTTTACCACCAGAAATTGAGACAGCAAAAAGTCAAGAAAGGGAAGAGTACTGAAGTTGAATGCATGGAATAGTTGTGCAAGACCTACAGAAAAATTCAATATAAGGACAGGCAAGCAGCCTTTTAAGCAAAGCTCTCTAGAAGATTTGTGGCACCAGAGCCATTGGTTGTAGCAAGATTGATCATCTTTGCATGCTGAGCACAGATAGTGAAGCTGTATTTATGTAGAGCAGTTATGTTTTTGCTTCAGTTTATTGTTTGTAATTGGTAGCAATAAGCATATTTAAATAGGTTATATTGTCTCTATCCAGTCCAGTGGTAGAACTCCTTATTTAACTGATAACAGGTAGGCAAATAACATTAATTACCCAAACTTCACTTTTTAAACTGAAAAACATTTCTTCTACTACAATATACTGCAGGATCAGAGAAAAAAAAAAATAACCTCATTTACTATTACAGTTTGCATCAAGAAATTGCACAGCCTTACCTTATCGGGTCTTCACATGCTCCAAATGGTAATTTTCCAAATTCTAGACCACCCACTTCTCCTCCAACCAATGCATCAAAATCTACACATGAAGGAAAATTGTGTACAAGGCACTTTGCTCACATAAAATGTCAGAAACTTTCAAAGTCTTATGTAGCTGATAAACATCTACCATACATGAATTAACTATAAATTCCTGAATTATCCAGGCCATAAGGTAAAATACAGCAAATAGAACTTCTGTGAAAAGCCTGAATGTAATTTTTTTCTCAAGTCCAAGATTAACGCTTGGTAAGCCAAGATTTATCCCACACATAGAGATAGCAGGAACTGCAGATGCTTTAGTCAGAGTTGATACAGTGTACCGTCGATACAGGACTCCTGCTGAAGGGTCTAGGCCCAAAATGTCAACTCTCCTGCTCCTGTGATGATGCCTGACCTGTTGTGTTTCTCCAGTTTCACACTGTATCGACTTATCCATACGCATTAGTTTTTTGACTATTCATAACTTTTATAGCATTTAGGCTTGTGACAATCATCATTTTGCTCCCCTTAGTTCGGATTTCTGCAGCTCTACCTCTAACCGGTACACAAAAACATCACAAAACATATATGATCTACTAATTGGTGAAACGGAAAGATTTGTACTTGCACCCAGTTTTCCCCAAAGTTTAAAATGTTTTTTCAACACAATTGCTGTTGCAATATCAGAAACACATCAGTCGATTTATGCACATCAATTTGCCACAAATAGTAATGTAATAATGACCAGATAATCTGCTCTTGCAATGCTGTTTGAGGGATTCCATAATAATCCAAGGTCTCCAGTGAAACAACCACTGCTTTGCCAACTTCCAATTGGGGACCTCACAAGGAATCAAAAGGGGCTCCCCATCAGTTCTTTAACTGATGGGTGAGATCTCTGTTGACCCAACTTAGAGTGGACTTGAACCCATAACTTTCTGACTCCATGGAAAGCCTGCTACCAACTGAGCCATGGCTGAAACTTCAAAATTGTCATAAAACTTGCCAATAATTAGACTGCCTTTAGTTTAAGGTCAGAGCTACGAAATTTAAGCATATTCTTTTAAAATGCAATTAAGCTTTACCATGGAGAATGGTTCTGCTGGACAAGACCAGCCAACTCTGCCCAAAAGTCACTTTAATAATTCATCCATCAGCAACCGGTCTAATGTTTTCTAACATTACTTTACTTTACTTTCCCTTTACTGTTCCTCTTTTTCCAGATAATTAAATCCCTTGTAAAATAGTACATACATGGGAATGCCACCACCTGCAAGATTCTCTCCAAGCAACTCATCGTCCTGACTTCTGATATATGATCGCTGTTCCTTCACTGTCACAGGGTCAAAATCATGGAATTCTCTCCTTAAGGGCATTCTGGGTCTTCAGCATATGTCTGCGGTGGTTTCAAGAAGGCAGCTTGCCACCACATTCAAGGAAAATTAGGGACAGGCAGTAAATGCTAGCCAGACAGCAGCGCCCAGGTCCCACTACAGCATGACACATGTACAGATTTTCTTTTACCAGCCTGTGGCAGAAAATTTCAAGTCTTACCAACTTCTTTATAAAGAAAGCTACATACCAAAATAAAGGCCTTTAAAACATAAGAAAAACAGCCAAGTCTAAACATAATGTTTGCCTTAAGATCAGAGTAGCCAACATCTGTCCATTACCATAAAGGCATTTAGAAAAAGAAATAAAATATAGCTAGACTTATTTAAAAAGGGTCCATTGTTACTGATACAATATATTTGAACACTCAGCAGGTAATTTAACAACATATTTCTAATTCACTATCTTTAAAACCATTAAGAGTTCAAGAGGGATCATAGCCGTTCGTATTGCAGCTATTATTGACGCAATTAAATTACAACATTATGTTTAACTGTGAAAAGGACCAGGAGTTACTAAAGCTACAAATTCAAAATACACGTTAGGAATGCATGAAAGAGAAGGACACAATGTGCTGCAAACTGCACAAATTCAGAACTATTATTTATTTCCATAACCTATCACGACCTATTTCATACAACCAAATTTGAATAAGAAGCCTGATGTATTATGCTTACATATGGATTGAATATAGTACTGGGATAAGCATTACTGTAATATACAGTTACACTGGGCTCAAACCATTAACCCTGTTTTTCTGTTCCCTTGCACTCAGAGTCAGAGTCATACAGCACGGAAACAGACCCTTCGGTCCAACCAGTCCATTCCAAACATCCCACCTGCCTGCTCTTGGCTTATTTCCCTCCAAACCTTTCCTATTCATGTACTTATCTAAGTATCTTTTAAACACTAACTGTGCCGGCTTCCACCACTTCCTCCGGAAGCTCAATCCACACGTGAACCATCCTCTAAAAAATTTGCCCCTCACGTCCTTTTTAAATCTCTTCCTCTCACTTTAAAAGCATGACCCCAGTTTTAAAATTCCCCACCTTAGAGAAAAGACATTTATCATTTACCCTATCCACACTCCATGATTTTATAAACGTCTATAAATTCACCTCTCAACCTCCTATGGTCCAGTGAAAACAGCCCCAGCCGATCCAGCCTTTCTTTACAACTCAAACCTTCCATACCCAGCAACATCCCTGTAGATTTCTTCTGAACCCTGCCTAGCTTAATATCCTTCCAATAACAGGGCGACCAGGACATTTGCAAGAATACAATTTAAATGCAGGATGGTGTCTATTAAAACATTCATGAAAGGATACAAATTAGTGTATGTATCATCTACAAATCAGAAACATTACAAGGGTAGGAGGTTAGGTATCACTGAATCAGAGACAAGTTCGTGGAATCTCAGAGATGTTTGCAACAACTGAGCATAGTTAGGTCTCATGCAAAAGCATCTATTTCAGAATAAATAGTGTTGCTAAACCTGAATTGGGCTGCTCGAGTTGCTGAATTTGGGATCTAGTTTGCCACAAAGTAGCCTACTGTGCAAATGTCAATGGGTGCCTTGAATTGAACATTGTGGTGAATAAGCTAGCAATGTCAAATGAACTCAAACACTCCTTAACATTTGAAAGAAACCTTGCTCAAAATTGTCTGTACCAAATCACCCAACTCTATGGCCAATTAATGCTGCACAGAGCCATAGGCACGATAGGGAGTATAGGGACATTACTTTTGTGCATATTGGGCCACCCATACATTCTAATGTGTTCTCTTATTCGTTGAGAAATTAGCACCAAGGTTGGGTTGTTACTACTGGCTGCTAACGTTCTAAGTTACGCAGCCACAAAAGATGGTCCATGGATCGGCAAGCCAACATATTCACTTCTGACTTCTCCAGCCGCTGCCACACACAGACCCGAGGTCTGCAATGCAGCTGAAAAAATTAGAGGGGTGAATGTAGCTGGCTGCTTGCTGCAGGTCTACCTTTATTGCTCAATATATACTTGAGGGCTCCTCAGTTCCATATGCTAAAGGAACGACCTTATTGACAGCCTCATAAATAAGGTCCCCAATCATTTGCTCACCATCCATGCTTCCTCCTGAAATAAGGTGCAAAGACAATCTGCAATACAATGGCTACCCTGATCTCTCACTGTATATTATGCAAACTCATGACCTCCAATATTAACTCAGTTTCTCTGTTCATTGCTGCCAGATCTGCTATGTCCAGCATTTTCTATTGTTACTGGTATTAATAAATGTTACTTCATGTCAAAAATTTGAGCAAGAGGTGAAGCTAGCTGTTTCAAACTGCTACTATGAGTAGCAACATTTGTGGTGTTCACTACTGCCAACAATCCAAAAAGATGATCTGCCTATCACACAAATGAATAATGTGGTAAATGAATTTCCGAGGCTGAGATATGCTTGGTATATGAGTCACACATCCTAAAGTCTGGCAGATTATATCAAACAGCATGTCTGAACTGAAAGTTCTAAACAAGAGACACACTGGACTCAAATGTTCATTCTTCTCTCTCCACACTTGCAGCCCGACCTGCTGAGTTCCTCCAGTGTTCTCTGTGCTTGTTTCATATTTTAAGCATCAATAATATTTTGATTTTAATGCTCTGGGTACAGGTACAAGAACAAGAACAAATCCTCTCATCAGCTGGGCAAATTTATATTCAATTATTGAATCTGGATCTGAAAGATGGATTGGGGCTGCAGCAGGTGATGAAGGAACCAAGAGGAGAAACCTACTGAATCTTACCTTCACCAATCTACCTGTCACAGATTCATCTGTCCATGACAGGATATGCAAAAATGATCAGTACATAGAAAGGGTACACAGGGAGAAACCTTTTCCCTTGATGGAGGAATCAATGACCAGTTGGTTTAGATTTAAGGTAAAGAATAGAAGGTTTAGAGGTGATGTGACAAAAAAAAAATTTCACTCAGAGGGTGGTGGAATCTAGAACTCACTGTGTATGAGGGTGGCAGTGGCAGAGGCAAAAGCCCTCAAAACATTTAAGAAACATTTAAGACCATAAAATGTAGGAGCAGAATTAGGCCATTCAGCCCACTGAATGTGCTCCGCCATTTGATCTTGGTTGATAATGATTCTCAACCCAATGCTCCTGCTTTTTGCCTGTGACTCTTGATCCCCTGAGTTATCAAGAACCTATTTATCTCTGTCTTAAATACACTCAATGACTTGGCCTCCGCAGCCTTCTGCAGATTCACAATCCTCTGGCTGAAGAAATTCCTCCTCATCTCAGTAGTAAAGTGTCGTCACTTCATTCTGAGACAGTGCCTTCGGATCCTCATCTCTCCTTCTAATGGATATCTCCATTAGAATATCTCCATTCTAATATCTCTTTTCCACGCCCACTCTTTCCAGGACCCTCAGTATTCTATATGTTTCAATGAGATTCCCCCTCATCCTCCTAAACTCCAGAGTACAAACCCAGCGTCCTCAACTGCTCCTCATATAACAAGACTTTCATTTAGATGTGCACTTGCGATGCCTAGGCATTCAAAGCTATGGACCAATTGCTCAAAGACGTTATCAGAGTAGTTAGATTTGACCAGCATAGACACAATGGGCCAAAGGCGCTATTACGATGTTGTAGATCTCCATGACTCCACATAGTCCTTGGAAAGACAAAGGCCCAAATTCACATTGAGGATACCACGCACAGCATTGCATGGCAATACCACCATAATGTTAACAGGATAAATTCAAAATAGATTCAGCATTTCAAAACTGGACATCCATGATCTGCTGTCATCAGCAGAATGTTATTCTGTAAATGTAACCTCATAGCATATCCCTCATTCTACCATTACCATCAAGCTAACGCCGCATTCCCTCACTCTGCCATCAACATCAAGTTTACCTGGTATATCCCTCTGTCTACCATTACCATCAAGCTAAGGTACGGTGCAATGAAGAATGCAGGATACCATTCTAGGAGTAGCACCGAGCTTACAAAACAAAAAGGTATTAAGCTGGTGAAGCTACAACACAGAAACTATTTGCTTGCCAAACAACAGAATCATACAACAACCATCGATTATATTAAATCTCTGTACTCCTCTTACAACCAATTGTGGGCAAATCAACAACTAACCAGAGGATACTGAACGTAACAAAAAATACAGTCACCAATGACACCACAGCAGCAGCATTGAAGGCTTGTGCTCCAGACCTAGCCAGGCCTGTAGCCAAGCTGTTTCATTCATGGTAGCTGTTAACACTGGCACTAACCAGCAATGTGGAAAGTTACTCAGGCACGTTATACTTAAAGACGAGAGCAAATCTAAATCGGGCAAATTACTACCCATCAGACTACTCGATCATCAGAAAAGTGATGGAAGGGGACTTTGACAGTGCTAATGGTATTTACATAGCAATAACCTGCTCACTAATGGTCAGTTTGGGTTCTGCCAAGGCAACTCTTCTCCTGCAGCTCCAGTAAAATTGAATACAATGAGAATCGGGTGATAACATTCCATTGCTTGGGGTCATAGGATAATGATTGTGGTTGTGGAAGATCTATCATCCCAGCCCCAGGATATCACTGCAAGTGTTCCTCAGGCTAATATCCTAGTCCCGATTACGGCTGTCCATGTATGACCACCTTTTCATCAAGTCAGAAGTCGAGATGTTCACATAATGCTCAGTGGACTGCACAGTTTCAAGAAGGCAACTCACCACCACCACGTCAAGGACAGACAGGGTTGGGCAATAAATGTTGACTGGCCAGCCAGCTACACCCATGTCTCACAAGCGAATAAATAAATTAGCATTCCCAACTCCTTTAAACAGCAAGGCGAGGAAAACACTCAGGCTTGGGCAAGTAACAGTCCTGCCACACGAACTAAATTTTGACTATCTCCAACCAATGAGAATCTAACCACTTCTCACTGACATTCAATGGAATGGCTACCATTGAACTGCCCACCATCAACATCCCAAGCATTACTATTGACAATAAACTGAACTGGACCAGCCATTTAATTACCATAGCTACAAGAGCCAATCGGAGACTGGAAATTCTGCAGCAAGTCATTCAGCCCCTGATTCCCCATAGCTTGCCCACTATCTGCAAAGCCAGGAGTGTGATGGAATACTCACCATTTATAAAGTCATAGAGGTCCACAGCATGGAAACAGGCCCTTTGGCCCATCTTGCCTAAATGAATGGAGTTTACTCAGACTGAAAAAGCTCAACAGCATCCAAGACAAAGCAGCTTGCTTGACTGGCACCCCATCCGCAACATTAAAAATTCAGACCCTCCACCACCGATACACAGTTGGAGTAGCTTGTGCCATGTACCAGATGGACTACAACAACACATCAAGCCTCAGTAGGTACCACTATCCAAACCTGGGACTTCTAAATAACGATAAAGACAGCAGACAAATGGGAATATCACCTTTCAAGTTTCACTTCAAGCCACACACCATCCTGACACAGAACTAAATCGCCATTCTTTTAATGTTGCTGGATCAAAATCCTGAAACTCCACCCCTAATAACATTATGTGTATATTTGATATAGATCTCCTGTAGCAGGTTTTCCACCACGTTCTGAAGGACAATTCAGGCAGCAAATGCTGGCTTTGCCAGAAACATCACCATCCCACTAAAGCATGAAAGAAGTTTGTGTAAGGGTAATTTTATTTTAACTAATGGGATGTCAGCATCGCTGGTTTGGCTAGCATTTATTACCCAGCCCTAATTGCCCAAAAGACAGTGTAAGAATCAACCACATTACCGTGGATCTGCAGGTAAAAGGTAGGCCAAACCAGTAAGGATGGCAGATTTCCTTTCCTAAAAGGCATTAGTGTACCAGATGGGCTTTTACAACAATTGACAGTAGTAACGCAGTTGCCATCAGGCTGGCTTTTTATTCCAGGTTTTTAATGAATTCAAATTTCACTGTTTGCCATGGTGGGATTTGAACTTATGTCCCAGAACATTAGCCTAAGGTTTGGATTATTTCACTAGTGACGTTACCACTCTGCCACCATCTTTCCATAAATATATACATGAAAGGAATTAGGACCTGCTGTTTGAATTTTTATTCAACGTCAACCAACCCAATGGCAGCCTTTAAACTGAACAATTAGATACACATTTACAGATTATAACAACATTAAATATGACCTGCCGTGTTCCTACCTGGGGGTTGCTGGGGCCAGGAGTATTGTTGCCAGTCTTGAAGGACATATGTAAACCGAATAGCTACACTTATTGGGGGCAAAGGTGTCAAGGGGCATCCCTAGAAGAGACAAAACACATAGGTAGCTATATCTCCAAAAGAGTACACCAGTAAACAGAAAAGGTAAGGTTTAAATTTCTCATAATATAGAAAACACTTCATCCTTTGAGCTGAAAACATCAGCAATTTTATCTCACAAAACGTTGCAGGTTTAAAAAAATTAAAGGGATCTAAAAATAATAAAAGTTTGAATAATATACTTATATCAGATAGCCGTTTTCAACCTTTTTGCTTAGGAGATCTCTTCCCACTTCATAAAAAGTTTTACACATCCCTTTTAAGAGAAGAATGTTTTTGTATAAATGAACTTTAATCAACATACATTTATTACTTAACGTGAAATTTTCGTAGTGCCACGCAGAGAGGGGTTTGAGAGAGGGGTAAGGACACCAGATCAAGACTTAGTTTAAAGTGTAGCATTGTGTTGCTGATGTAAATTTTGCTGCACTTGTCTAAGTGACAAAGTTCAGTTACTGGCTGTTGAATTGAATGGTCCTGGTGTTCAAGTGCAGGAACAAAAGGTCATGAGAGTGAAGCATAGGCAGTTTCAGCAAGTCTGGCAATCTACTCATTCTCAACACAGTTTCTACCTGAACTGCTGAGCTTTTCTAGTTTTATTGTTCTTATTTCAGATTTCCAGTATGTACAGTATTTTGCTTTTGTCATTTTAAAGAAAGTATTAAGGATCAGATGGCAGTATGTGAAGACAAATATGATAAGTGCATGGACTTGGTATGGGCTAAGACACAAGCAACAGCATTTGGATGAGCAGAAGTACATTCTGTAGAGGAATAAATGCTCTGGTTTCTCAATAGTGTGTTTTCCCGCTCTATGACATAATGTATCGTGAAGAAATTGAAAAGTTGACTGCAGGGCCCTGTACCAATTAAACAATAACACTGCATAACCACCTTTGACCATTATTTTGTTCCAGGCAAAACTAAAGGTTTTTTTTTAAACACAAGAACGTTAAAACCTGAGCAGGAGTAGGCAATTCAGTCCCTCAGGCCTGCTCTGCCATTTAATGCAATCATGGCTAATCTCATCTCAGCCTCAACTCCACTTTCCTGCCTGCTCTCCAAAACACTTCAAACCATTACTAATTTTTTTTTAAAAATCTATGTCCTCCTGCTCAATGTCCAGGCATTCACTGCAATCTGGGGTAATGAATGCCACAGATTTATGACCGCTTAAGATAAATAATTCTTCGTCATCTCTTTTTTAAGTCTGCCACCCCTTATCCTAAAATTATGACCTTTTATTCGAGACTGACCCACATGAAGAAACATCATCTTTATGTCTACTTTGTCAATCCCCCTTAACATCTACATCTCAAGTTAGTTACAGTAAAATGAATGAAGCAAGGAAAAAATCTGTATCTGAACAAAGGGCAAAAAAGAGACCTTCAGACACAAGGTCAAACAACCTGCATTAATAGGTTAGGAAAAAGAAAAGTAATACAGCAATAACAAAGGTAAGACAACCACTGGAGATCAGAGTTGTGCACCTGAGTTTGAGCTATAGAGAGAGGCTGAACAGGGTGGGATTATTATCTCTGGACTGTTGCAGGCTGAGGGGTGACTCCATAGAGGTTTATAAGATCATGAGGGGCATGGGTAGGGTGAATAGTCAAGGTCTTTTCCCCAGGGTAGGGAATCCAAAACTAGAGGGCATAGGTTTAAGGTGAAAAGGGAAAGATTTAAAAGGGACCTAAGAAGCAAATTTTTCACACAAAGGATGGTGCATGTATGGAATGAGCTGCCAGAGGAAGTGGTAGAGGCTGGCACAATTACAACATTTAAAAGGCATCTGGATGGGAAGGGTCAGTTTCCACACTGTACAGCTCTATAACTCTATGAAAACAATAGCAATGAGAAAGCAAGAGGACCCCAGCTTAGAACTCAAGATATAATATAGCTAGTTCTGCTATAATTCGTGTTTTGTTAACACGAATTGGCTGTAACGCAATTGATGAATAGTAGACGCTGCTTGGATAATGGAAACTTTCTGCTGGACAGGTATAGCAATTTTCTATAGTGCAAAGTCATGCAAGAACGCAACTACTGCATTATAGAACTACCTGTATTGAACTGGATGCAATTTCTGTCTTTTAAATCTCTTTCGCTACCACTTAATTTCAAGCAAAAGCATGTATAATAGTAAACCTCCAAGGTTTCAATGTCTCCCTGCTGACATGAAAGATTTTTGAAATGTAACACATCAACGGCTAATAATCTGTATCCTTTATGTATTTACAGATAAAAGCAGCCCACTGTGGAAATCACAGCTCAGCAATGTGAAGGGTCTAAACCTCAATAAAGGAAGTCCTGTCCTCCGAGGAGCAGGACATCTCAGTACAAGGAAATTTAATCTTAAAAGGCTATAGAAACTGGAAAAGATGTCAAGTATTAGATAGAAATTAGTATCCAATGATTCTTACAAATGCTGTAATGCAAAATTCTACCACAGGACTTATATAATCTTTCCAGAAGATATGCAGCCATGTGAAATACTTGCTTAAGTCATAATAATATTACAATACTAAGTTCTTGTGTCTTTGTTTCTAGAGCCAGCCCTTATGAAACTCATCTGAAAACAGCCTCTGTAGAGGTGACAACCCTTAAACACACCTATCCCACTGAATCATCAGCTGAAATAAATGCAGTCTTGAAGATTTCAAAACAGCAATAAGCATTTTGGCAGGTCACGAAAAAGAAAGCACAGGTGAAAGAAGTGGAAGTCCTCTTCTCTAGACCCTCCACAGCTATTTAGGTCAGGGAACTAGATCTTTGTAGTCAAAATTTTAAAAGTAGATGTTATTTAATCAAACCAGATTATTAGAATTACTGGAGGATCTGTCAAGGAACTACCAGCAAATGACAGCTAAGATAAAGAAGTCCGGCAATTAAATGGGATGCTGAGATCGGACAAAAGGTCATACGAAACAGCTCTTCCTGCACACAAAAATTACAGTTCAGCTGTCATCCAGGCTTTTAGTTGCATCACTGCCACAATGCCTACCTTGAATATATTATTTCGCTTCCTCAAATAATGTGCAAGCTGGGAACAGGTTTCCATGGTGCTACTGAAACTAATTTGTTTGTGCATCGACAAATCAGAAGGAGTACCAAAGAATCCAGAGATAGAAATAATGATAGAAGGTGCTGCTGTCAAACAAGAAGTCAGTACTTCCATATTACTTGCCCACCCTTTCCTCAGCACTTGCCAGAAGGCTGGCTGGGCCAAGCTGTCTCTACACCAGCAGATAGTTCATAGTCTATAGGATCACTCAAGAGCTGCAGCTTAAGAATTGAACAGTTGCCTCATTCGCAACACAATTAATGTTCATTCCTAAGACACAAGTAACAACTGTTACCCAGTCTCTGTGGTGGTTCACAAATATCACATTATAGCAAATCACTGCAGCAACTTAAATCACTTCTCTATTTAAAGTTTTGGGCTACAGATCAACAGATAAACGAAGAGTATGTCTGTTGATTAAAGATCTGGGAATTGAAAGCAAGTATAGAATGGATATAAAGGTTTTTCTTTGTATTTAGTGTCAGAGATGTACAAGATGGAAACAGATCCTTCGGTCCAACTTGTCCATGCCCAGTAGATATCCTAAATTAATCGAGTCCCACTTGCCAGCATTTGGCCCATAATCCCTCTAAACCCTTCACATTCATATATCCATCCAGATACCTTTTAAATGTTGTAACTGTAGCAGTCTCCACCATTTCCTCTGGCAGCTTAATCCACACATACACTACCCCCAGGGTGAAAACATTGCCTCTTAGGTCTCTTTTAAATTTTCCCCTCTCACCTTAAAACTATGCCCTCTAATTTTGGACTCCCCTACCCTGGGAAAGGGGCCTTGGCCATTCACCCTATCCATGGCCCTCATGATTTTATAAACCTCTATAAGGTCACCCCTCAGCCTCTGACGCTCCAGGAGAAATAGCCCCAGCCTTTTCAGCCTCTCCCTGTAGCTCAAACCCTCCAAACCTGGCAACATCCTTGAAGATTTCTCCGGAACCCTTTCAAGTTTGTAGTGGGATGAAATTATTATATCGACAAAATAAGAGGAATCCTTCTCTTTGTTAGTGAACCAGCTGGTTAAGTGACGTAGGGTCAGGGGTAGGGATGTGTGTGCCTTGTGCTTTCCTTCTGCAACTTGCTAACCAATCTTGCAAAATTAAAAGATGATTATTTACATCATATACCAAACACAGCATCCAGTGAATTAAGTTGCGTCATATTTTGCAATCATTTCAGAAGCCGACAAGAAGTTGGAATACACGACACACTCACTTAAATGCATTTTATATTACTTCATCCTCCACAGATAACTATATGTAACCAGCTGAACTATTATTTTAAGAATTCAGCTTTAGTACAGCCAGGTACAAATCAGGCCAAAGGATCAGTACTCATTCTTCCTGCAATCATACACATATTTTAGGCACTGAAACTAGGAATGTAACTTAGAGTCACTGAGTCATTGCAGCATGGAAAAAGGCCCTTCGGCCATCAAGTCTTCTATATTCAGTGTTAAATTAATTCCTTTGGGAAAGATCTCAAGGTCATGAAAGCACAGAAAAGATCTAGCAAGATAATACTAAGGATAAATCTTTATTTAAGAGAGAAGACTAGAGAAACTGGCTCTTGCTGGAACAGCCAGAGCTATTAGAGATTTTTAAAATTGATGAGTTTTCTTATTCTGATTTTTGCTTCTAAGTAACTCAATTATTAGCAAATTTCCAATCAAAAGACATATTTAAATTAGACAAAATGAAAAATGAAGCCGTTAACATCAGCAACATTCTAACAAGAATAGTAGAAACAGCATCCAAGGCTTTTAGAAAGGAAATAGTGAAAGTAAAAGAGAAAGGTGTAAAGCTTACAGCATGGAACTAAATGGTAGACTTTCTTTTTCAGGGAAACTGCACAAGCACAATGGCCCAAATAATCTATTTCTGCATTGCAAAATTCTATGATTCCAATCATTGTTCGATGTAAGTGTGCACAAGTGCAGTATCCTGGATCCCAAAGTGGGCTAGTGCCACAATGGAGAAAGTGTCCGACTGTGGATCAGAAGCTTGAATCCTGGCTATCATACATTTTTAGTCGGGGTCTTGTGATACAGTGGAAGTGTCACTAATTCTGGGTTTGAAGGTGTGGATTTAAGTCACATCTGCCTCAGAAGTGTACCGTAATGTCCGAACAGGTCGACTTTTAAAAAAAGTTTGTGCAGCAACCTGGAAGGTACCACCCACACTGCCCATAAGTTGCCCCATTTAAGATAATATACATAGAGATATGCAAGTCACACAAAACAAAAATTAGTTGGAGGGAACAATGATTTCAACAAAATCCAAAGTATATTTCAAGAAATCAATTAAGATACATTTCAAAAATACTTACAATCTTTGATTTAAAAATATCTAGTAAACCAGATAAATGATGATATTGGTTTGGCACTTTCCGAAGATGAACCATTTCAAAATCTGTCCGCACACCAGGACCTTCACACGCGCCCACGTACATTCTCCGAGACTTTTGCTGGATTTGCACAAATAGAGTCACCTGACTAATTTAAAATTCACAAATTAATGACACAAACCTCAAATTACATCACGCGCAAGTTACACGCAGTCACCACTTCTAAAGTAAATCAAATTTATGATGAAACATCTGCAAAATATGTTTCAATTTCTTCTTTTCAAGCTTAGTCATCCAAATTTGGTGGGGATTTTTTTATAGCAATCTGTCAACATTCACCATTAAACCTCTGAATTACCATAACTTCAGGATTTAGCACAAGTGCAGAGTGTAAATCCTGAAGTTGCAGTGTCACTCACTGCCCAACATAGATCAGACTCATTCTTTCCCAAGTCAGTCTTTGAAATCACCTCACGTAGCAAGACCTTTCCCTTCTCCTTTTTTTAAAAAATTCACATCACTGGTTAGGCTAGCATTCATTGCCTGTCCCTAATTGTCCTGAAGACAGTTAAAAGTCCACCATGTTGCTGTGGGTCTGGAGTCACAAGTCGGACAGATCTGGTAAAGATGGCAGTTACCTTCCCTAAAGGACATCAGCGAACCAAACAGGTTTTTCTGACAATGGACAATGGTGTCATCATCATCATTAGGCTCTTAATTCCAGTTTTATATTTAGTTCAAAGTTCACCATCTGCCATGGTGGGACGTGAACCTGGGTGCCCCAAACAATACCTGAGTCTTTATGTCCTAGTGACAATAACACAAGGCCATCATCTCTCCCATTGCTGTTAGAAAGCCCATACAATATTAGTTACAGTGCATCAATGAGGGCTTTTAGCGTCAATTTGATTAATAACTTAGGCTGAATAACAGATCCAGCCCTTGAAAATATATTTTTACATATGCAGAGTGCATTCTTATATGTCACTATTATGCTTGATGAACTCTTCAGGCTAACACTTTTTAAAGATTGTTCATGATATTTTGGCTTCTGCCTTCATCCGATGTGTATGCCCCTATCTTTTCTTCACTCTATGCAAAACGTTTTTCAAAGTGATCTGATTTTAGAGCCTTTCACTTCCTGTTTGACAGAATGAGAATTCTTGAATGGGATTTGCTGCTTGGCCAGCTGAATCTCTAAACATTACAATTTGGCACATACCGAAGGGTCTAGGCCCGAAACGTCAGCCTTCCTGCTCCTCTGATGCTGCTTGGCCTGCTGTGTTCATCCAGCTCTACACCTTGTTATCTCAGATTCTCCAGCATCTGCAGTTCCTACTATCTCTGTAACTAAACAATTCTGTTTCTTTTTAGTTTATAAAATCTAAGTAGTTTTAACAGCATGCTGTGATTAGAAAATTATTTTTTCAGAGCAGGTTCTGTTGCTCACTAAATGTTCTTAGACATAATGCTGTCAAAAAGCAAGAAAAAACTGGCTAAAAAAGATGGACCATTTTACAGTGTTTGAAACAAGATAGGGCAGGAAACTCGAGATTGATTGCCAGATCTAAAGGAGGCCACAATACACCCTGTAACTTCAAGATTTCCACTCTAATCCATGAATGCCGGATACCCTAAAGAGATATTTCATTTCACAGGTATGCCAATGAATGCTGGTTGTTCATAGTCAACCCCAACACCACCTCCCGCAAAATCTGGCCACCATTTCTCTAAATTGATCATTTACTCTCAATGCCATACGACATTATTGTAATACATTTGTTAATAAGAATGATGTCACAAACAAGATTTAGATTAGAGGAGACAGGAATAACAGACACAAAGCCCTCAACTAAGGTACTGACTAAGAAATGTCCAATTCTCAATTACTTTAAATTAGACGGGGCTTTAGACGCGAATAAATGACTGACTATGGGTATCACACTTTAACTGAATGGCAGGCCCTCAGATGAGAGAAAATTACCTTGCAAGATTAAACAAAACTGAAGTCTTGCTTTTCAGTTTCCTTCAACTGTTTTTTATCTTACTAGATAATCAGGGAAACAATTACAGACAGTCATAACTGGCACACAGCAGGTAGCTGTTCAGCACATTTGTTTATACCAGCTCTGTATAGTAACCCACTCATTTACTCTTATTACTGGAGCTCTGCAAATTAACTTACTTCAAGTATCCATCCATATGTCTTGGAGAGATTTAAAATGATTGAGAGGCAGCAGAAATTTCTGAATGGCATGACTTTTTTAACAAATCTAATTGATCTTCTTGACGGCATGCATTGGACACAACTAAATGGATTTTAAGAAAGCTTTCAACTAATTCAAGTTTGTGTGCAGAGAATGGCCATAAATGAAAAACTGATTTTGTTTTGGAGACAAGAAATCATGTAATTATAGCACTTCTAACGATTAAAATATGAAAACCAAAAGAACTGCAGATGTTGTAAATCAGGAACAAAAACAAAGTTGCTGGAAAAGCTCTGCAGGTCTGGCAGCATCTGTGGAGGAGAAAACAGAGTTAACGTTTCGGGTCCGGTGACCCTTCCAAGGTCTGTTTTCTTCTCCACAGATGCTGCCAGACCTGCTGAGCTTTTCTAGCAACTTTGTTTTTGTTCCTGATTAAAATATGAATGCTTTCAGCCATCTCAGATAACTGGAATTAATAGACTTCGAGGTACATTTTTTTCCTTTATCGCCAATTACAATAAAGTCACCTGGGCCATTACAGGTGCGTAAAATCAAAGTGGTCTTAGCATTTCAATATTCAAGCAATAAGGGATGAAGTCCACACTACTAACAGAACACAACCTTGATGAATTGTATACATGCAAAGGGAAGCAAAGGACAAAGTGCTTTACGAATTATTTTCCAGCACAATTAGGAACAGGAACAAAAACTGATCTTGCTCATAATAGTGCATCCCACTAATGACTAGTATATTAAAAATATCTTGAGAATTAACATGATCTCAAAGGCCAGTAAAAGCAAAACAGCACAGGTCTCCTTAACCAGCTCTCATTTATGACTTTGTAACAGTGACAAAGAACTCTTCATACTTAATACTGATGGTGACAGTGGGGGAAACAAGAACGGTTTAACAAAATAGACTGCAGCAGAGGAGTAATTTGATGCAGAGGTGGAGGGAGGAAAACAGTGAAATGTTCTTGGCACAAATTTTTTAATTTTACGTGGAAGGGTGATGGAGATAGAGTTAAGGAAAATGAATGAAATAAGACAAGATGTTCAAAGATGCAATAATGTCAGAGAGGTAGGTTGTCAGGCCAAGGTGATCTGGTAATAAGAGTCACACTGTCATCCTAAAATCTTGATTGGCAATTGGAGCAAGGTGTAAACAGACAGGGAGGCAACATTAAAGAAAATGGTGTCATTACCTGTCAGCTAGATTTCCATCAAGCTTTGTATGGTCCGGAAAGAGAGATCACATCCAGAGTGAGACACAACCTCAGTGAGTATATAGTTCAGGGAATTTGGAGGCTGCATAGGAATTTGGCAGAGAGGAAGAAGTGCTTTTTGCTTGCTTTGTTTTGCTCATAAGTGTTTTTTTTAAAAAATAGGATAAATTGAAGCCCCAGGATCAGGAGCCCAGCACAAAAGCGTGATATCACAGGTAAACTGTGTTGCATTTGAGTTTGATTTATTGTTGGCACTTGTGCCAAAACACAGCGAAGAGTGTTATTTTGCAGATTGTATCATACAAAGTGCATTATGGTAGCTTAACAGGGAGCGGCTGATTCAAACATCTATTATAAGTGACTTTCACACAGAAGATAAATTGGGAAAATGTTTACAAGTTACAAACTAAAAGACCAGCGTGAAATATTTAAAAATCAAATTAAGAACTAATTAAAATAGGAATGCAGGACCAGGTGATGTGTTGTACCTGCATGATAGTGCATGAGCTCATGATCCTATTGTGATTCATAGTGACCACATCTGTCGCAAGTGTTAGCTGCTTGAGGAACTCTGGCTCAGAGTCGACGAACACTGTGATACATCAGTGATTGGGAGAGTTACCTGGACACTGTTTTGGGAGGCAGTCATACCTCTTAGATTAACTATCTCAAATTTGATCAGTGGTTAGGGACAGGAGGGTATGACTACAAGCGAGGTAGGTAAAGTGATCCAGGAGATAGTGAAGGAGCCTCAGCCCTTGAACTCGTTTAATAGGTTTGATATTCTTGCTCCTGTATGGACGAGAGCAGGAGCTATAGGGAGGATGAGCAAACCGACTAGTGCAGGGAGTCATTCAAGAGCGGGGAGAAAAGATAAATGTAGCTGTAGTAGGGGATAGTATAGCCAAGGGAATAGAGTGTTCTCTGTAACCAGGATCGAGAGATCCGAAGGCTGTGTTGCCCAGATTCAGGACATCTCACCTTGGCCACAGAGGAACTTGGAATGGAAGGGGAATGATCTGGTTGCTCTGGCCCACACGGATACCACAATATAATAGAAAGATGATGATGTTCTGTTGAGGGAATATGGGCAGCTCGGGGCGAAGTTAAAAAGAAGAACCAAAAAAGGTAATAATCTCTGGATTACTCCCTGAGCCACGAGCAAACTGGCACAGGATCAACAAGATTAAAGAGATAAAAGCATGGCTCAGAAATTGGTGTCAGAGAAACAGGCTTGAATTCATGGGATATTGGCACCAGTACTTTGGAAGAAGGGAGCTGTAGAGGCTCCACCTGAATCATGCTGAGACCAGAGTCCTGGAAAATCACATAACTAGGGCTGTGAATAGGGCTTCAAACTAAATAGTTTTTTTTTGGGGGGGGGGGGGGGCAGTTACATGGAAATCAATGGAAAAAATTAAGTGGGGGAGAGGGCTCAGCAGAAATTAAAGTTTCCTAAACCAGTAATAAAACAGAGTATGGAAAAGATCAGAAATTTTACTTCAGGTGCAGCAGATAAGGGGACTACTATAAAAACGGGGCAGTCAACGCAGGACTAAGGGTGCTGTACTTAAATGCAAGCAGTATAACAACAAGGTAAATCAGCTTCTAATGCAGATTGAAATTGGCAGAGGCGATGTTGTGGGTATTGCAAAGGCATGTCGGCAAGGGGACCAAGGTTGGAAACTAAATATCCAAGGATATGTCTTCTATTG